CCAAACAATATTGATGGCTATAAATGTATTTCCTTATATGGCAACCCTTACCCTCACCTTCAGCGATTGAATTCAAGAATTCCCTATAATGCACATGGTTGGGTGGCACGTCGAGATGGTATGCACGTTCGCGTCTATCAGGGGATTGTGAACGATGACGCGTGCGCGGGATGACCATGTACTGCGACGGGTGATGCGAGAGCGGTTGAGCGTGCAGATGAGTGAGGACGGTGGGCACGTCATCGAGGCGGCTATCCGTTCGCTCGTCACCTTGCACGCCGGCCTCCTCCTGTGCCGCCGATGACGGGTGGCCGAATTTTGCATAGGTCCTCGCGCTCGTGAGTGGCGGTCATCCGGTGCAGGCGTGGCGGCGGGTGGGGCAGGCCTGCAAGATAGAGTTGGGCGCGGGTCAGGTGGTGATGGAGAACAAAGAACGCGGCGCGTTTGCACCGCGTGGTGATGAAGGTTACGCGAGGGGAGTGGGTGGCCATAAGACGAGAAGAGACGGGCGACCGGCAGAGCGTGAGCGGCACGGCACGTCCTCGAGCGTCGGCGACGCGTTTGCACCGCTTGGTGGTGAACGAGACACGAGTGGGAGGGTGGCCGTAAGGCGAGAAGAGACGGGCGAAAAGCAAAGGGTGAGGGGGCACGGCACGTCCTCGAGGATCGGCGGCGCGTTTGCATCGCTTGGTGGTGAACGAGACCTGAGGGGGCGAGAAGAGACGGGCGACCGGTGGAGCGTGAGGCGGCACGTCCTCCAGCGTCAGCGGCGCGTTCGCATCGCTTGGTGGTGAACGAGACATGAGGGGACGGTGGCCGTAAGGCGAGAAGGGACGGGCGAAAAGCGAGTGTGAGGCGGTGTGAGCTGCGCAAGCCGTCCGTGTGCGCTTTCGCTCGTCATGGATGAATTCGGACGGCGGGGTGCCATGCGCGGCGAGCTGGAGTGAGTGAATGCGCCCTCGAGCGACGCGCGATACAGAGCGATCACGACTCACCTAACGTGTGCAAACAAAACCGCCTACGTTCGCTCTGGCCCACCTACGTGCTCCCTGATCATGAACGACTCGCCCTCCTGCGACGCCGCTGACGACGGTGGCGATGGCGTGCAGACGTGCGCGCATTCGCGACGCTACGTTGACGGCGATGATACCGTAGCCGTACGCGGTGGAGTCGTCTCGTTCGGTGCGGGGAATGTGGTAGCGGCAAACGAACAACACGCCGTGGTGGTGAGGGAAGCGAGCGCATGCGCACCGGATGGCTGTACAAGGGCGCGAAGACGTTCGAGGCCCAGACGGGCGTGAATGGCCTTGCGTGGGCTCGCGCGCGGGTCTTCGAGGTCGGCCGATGGCGCTGGGGACGTCGAACGAGAGGGGAGATGCTTGGAAGGTCAGTATATGCGCCCTGGGACGACGCGCGATACAGGACGACCGCGACTCACCTACAGCACCCATCCAATGCCATCCAACCATCCCTCCCTCCTCCTGTACTGCCGCCACCGCTAAGTCGCCATCTCCCGCATGCGTCCGCGCGCTCGTGAACCGTGGTGATCGGGCGAGGGAGTGGGCAGCGGATGGGGCGGGTCTGCACAATCGGCGCATCGCGTCGGGCGTTGGTAAGGCGGTGGCGGCGAACAGAGAACGCGGCCGATTCGCGTGCCGTAGTGGTGAAGAACGCGCGAGCGGGCGACTGGTCATCGTATAAGGTAAGAAGAGATGGGCGATCCGCGAGGTGCGGGCACGATGCATCGCGTGCATTCTTGCGAGGGCTTCGAGGTCGCAGAGCGCGCTAAGTTGGTCGAACGAGGGGGGAAAACGCGTGAAAGGTAAGTGTATGCGCCCTGGGGCGACGTGAGACAGGACGATTGGGACTCACCTTTGGCACCCCTCCCATAATACCCATTCCATCCGTCCTCTTTCACTAACATCGCCGTCGCCGGGGTCGCCGTCTCCTGCATACGTCGACCCGCTCGTGAGCCGTGCTGATCGAGCGAGGCAGTGGGTGACAGATAGGGCGGGTCTGCGTGAACGGCTCAACGGGTTGACCGCCGTGAGGGCAGTGGTTGCGGTTGAACGACTGGGCGGGCTCGCGTTGGTACGCCGTGGGGAATAGAAAGGACAGTGGCCGTTTATCATGCGTGGGCATGCTCGTAGTTGCTGCGAAGTCGTGCTGGGGAAGAGCGACCACGCTCTCATCGAAGTCTACCGTTGGAGTTGGAAAGCGCGTGGATTTCCGAGTACAACTCGGATCTCCAGCGGATGGACGGAGATGAGAAAGATTGACCAAAGACTGCACCGTGAACAACACAGTGCGGTCGGTCGTCGAGACTGGTAAAAAAAAGCGAAATGTTGTTAGCTTTGCGAGTCTGAAATGATAACTTACCTGGCGACCTCAACGTCCGACCGCACGTATGAACAACAGCCTCTCCGCCCTTCAAGGTCACGTACGATACTTGAGAATGTCGAGGAATGCGCGGTGAGGAAGGCTGAGGTCCGAGATAGAGAGGCGAGAGGCGAGAGGTGAGAAGTGGGAACAGGCGTGAGTCTCCCCGATTGGGAAGTGAAAGCGGCAGCAAGAGCGGATCTAAGTACAGGTCCTGGAGGGTCGCAAAGGCTCCGTTCGCGGAGATTTTTGGCATACATATAGGTGAATGGTATAGTGAGAGGTCGCAAGCAGCGCCTAGGGGATAGAGTGGATGTACAGCGAGAAAAAAATAAAATGAGCTACGCACTAAGCGGGCGCTTATCGAGCGAGCTCAAAGAACAATGCATAGAAAACAAACCGGACGGTGAAAATACTTGAAATTTTGATATGATGAGGAGGATATGCATTCCTAGGGGTCGCAGAATAAAAACGGAATTTAGAGCACATGCTCAAGTTTTTAGAAATATTCTAGTCACAGTTGACAGAATGCAAAAAGTTACCTGATTGCGCAAGCTTTCGCGCATGATCCATTGCATCAAATGATTGCGACCCTTTTGCGACCCCGAGAATCGAAGCAGGGCTTTCAAATGAGATTGTTTTCAAGAGGATAGGACATGATCTCGAGGAGCTAGGAGGTGCGCACGGAGGGAGGCCGAATGTTACATTCGGCCCGGGTTATATAGATAGTGGTCAAATTAGTGATGCTCACATAGATTTGCCTGTATTTCTATTTATATAGACGGTTCGGAAGACATAATTGCATCTACACACTGTGGGCCAGATAGGCGCTGGTATCACTCGCAGTCGCAACGAATTTTTGACCAGTGAAGGGATTCAGCGCATGTGAGCACACACTCACATGAAGTTGAACATCACAGAGCAGGAGTTGGAAAGTTGCCCAAGCGGACGGTACGCATTGTCGGAACTGATCGCGCGCGGGGTGAATAGGAAGAAAGGTGTGCCTAGTGTGCGACGCTGGCGTTCGCTGATTGGCGCACGTCGAAAGGGGCGGAAGCTGAATGCTGAAGTACTGTGTGCTGGTTACGAAAGCCGGATGGAGTGGACGTGGCTGTCATCAGAGTATATAGCCTACGGTTGATGAGAACATTGATACTTACCTTGCGCATTAAGGCAAGGGATGTCATTATTAGGCCTATTGGATACACCTGAAGTTCATCAATCAGCTATGAGCGGAGGACAGAGGGTCGGTCCTGCGCCGCCAGGCTCCGCGTGTTGAAGCAGGTGGTCCACGGCCTGGTAAATATCATGAGTGTCCCACGCGAACCGCATGAACGGATTCAAAGAGCCACGGGTAGAAATGTTCCGGATAAGCACAACAGCAATATGATGAAGATCATGCGGCTGCGTCGTTTGAGGATGCGACTGGAGGCTGGAGGACGGTGCTCGCGGCTGGATTTCTGCTAAATATCAGCATAGATGCGATGCTGTTCACGATATCGTCGAGGCTTTACGGCGTCGAGCCAGATCGTGAGCGGAGAAAAGCAGTTCAGATGAAACCGGTGTCGGGCGGGGCGACCGAATGGGGAAGCTTCACTGCGTCTAATAATGCACACGACATCCCTGCATCCGACCCGCCTTCAACCCCTTCCTCCTTCCATCTCCGTCCTCTCCATCGCGCAAGGCGACGTCGCGCTCGATGGTGGCTGTGCCGAAGAAGAGGACACTGAAGATTGGCCGTGCACTGAAGACTGCTGCGAGGCTACCTGCACGCGTCTCTGGCGGCAGAGGCAGCGGCAGAAACACCTTTGCGCCTCTTCCTGGAGAAGTCCCGGTTGTCCTGCTGCGTGTTCAGGTCGTTGGTTGCAACGACTTGATAGCGAAGTATAGGAATGGTCACAGCGATCCGTACGTTCTCCCAGACTTCAGCCGCCCTCATCCACCTCCTGGCGCACTTTCTCCCGTCACTAAGGATCACCCAGCTTTGTAGTGATTTCCTTACTACGCGATCGCCACCAAACGCCCGTGATGCGACGGACGCTGAACCCGACATTCACGCCCAAGGATGCCACGTTCGACTTTCCGATATACCTCTCGCTGGCCGACAAGCTGGGCGTCCTCGAGTTCGTAGTCTGGGACAAGGATATGCTGAAGAAGGACTATCTGGGCGAGGCTAATATACCTTTGGAAGACTGGTTTAGGGATGACAATGCGTTCTCCTTTGACGATGCTAAGAATAAGGTGCGTGCATGTGCCATGATACCCATCGCTGATCTCAATGCTGGCTGCTGTAGCTCGTCACGGCGCCCATCGTCTCCACCAGAACGTCGACGCTCGCAACAGGCACGATTCAGTTCAAGCTTGGCTTCGTGCCGCCGTCAACCCATCTCACACTGGTTGATTACAGTGAGGTGTTCTCAGAACTCGTCAAGCGGTCGAGACCGAGCCTTGTTTCCGCGCCACCGGTAAGTGCGCATGCAAACGATAGATCATTGGTGCATAATCTATTGTCCATATAGACGGAAGGTATCGGCACCATCCGCTCGCATCAGACAGGACCCGAGTTCCAGGATGACGGCTTCACGTCCGATGAGGGTGAACCCAGCGAAGAAGAAGAAGATGAAGTCACTCCATTGGCTCAGATATACGCCCCTTCTGCTCACTCCGGTTTGCCTGCTGCAGAGCCGCTGATTTTGCCGATCCTTGATACTCCCACGACGCCTACCCAGTCTACTCCACCTGGCATCAAGACGCCGATCGCAAGTAAGCCGCCGTCTCCGTCATTCAAGGGCATTCCAAGGATCTTTCCCAAGCGATCAAATTCTGGAAAAATAGCTCGCGCGGAATCATCTACGCTGACGAGCATTAGTCCTGGACCATCAGCAAGCTCGTCAATCGGCTCGTCGCCGCCTCAAACCGGGCCTTCGACGCCCGTTGCGCGTTCTAATCTTGCCTCGCGAGCGAAGTTTCGTAAGTCATGGGGCGGTAGCAAACAGAAGGAGTTCAACTTCTCTGCGGCGAATGACATATTGGGAATCGTTATGCTGGAAATTCAGAAGGCTCATGATCTTCCAAAGCTGAAGAACAGTGAGTTTCTCGAATCTCCGAGCGGTCGCGTGCTAATGCGGGTTTGCACTCTGCATCCTTTAGTGACGAGGACGGGATGGGATATGGACCCCTTCGTCGTCATCTCATTCGGCAAGAAAGTCTTTCGCACACGCGTCATCCGTCACTCGTTGAATCCAACATGGGACGAGAAACTTCTTTTTCACGTTCGCCGGTACGAGACTGCATTCAAGGTGCAGCTGACCGTGCTTGACTGGGACAAGCTTTCGTCAAACGACCACGTCGGCGATGCAAGCTTCGATGTCTCCGAGCTGCTCGCGAACGCGCCTCAGAACAACCCGGTTACTGGACTGTATCCCGAAGACGTGGACGGCTCTCACCCGATGCAAGAGTTCACGCTCCCGCTCACTACGGCGAAGCAAATGCCATGGGAGGAGAAGCACAAGCCGATCCTTACTATTCGGTATGTATGTATGCTACTCCTACACTCACCATGCCCTGACGAATTTATCGCAGTGCCAAGTATCAACCATACGATGCCCTCCGCCAACGCTTCTGGCGACAGTATCTTAAGGAGTACGACACTGACGACATCAAAGCGCTGTCCCACATCGAGTTGACCTCCATGCTTGACTCATTAGGCTCAACGCTTTCTCGTGAGACTGTGGACTCGTTCTTCACACGTTTTGGCAAGAAGCCGCGCGAGGACCTGCTCACTGTCGATGAGGCCATTCAGTGTCTTGAAACGGAGATCTGCCGCCCACGCAGCGAGAAGAAGCTTGTCAACCCGGACGAGAGTGCCTTCGACACAAGTACTCCCGTCACGCCGGCTGCAGTCGCTGGCAACGGGTTTGAACACCAGCTGAGCTTGAATCTGGACAAATTGGACTTTTCTGGTCCACCGCTGACACTGCCATACTTGAATAAGGATGCAGCCTCCGATACCGATGTGCTGCGCAAGCCGGCTCCTCCACCTCCACGTCCTACCGAGCCCATGCAGCAATCTCTGATGAATGCTGCTGGGCTTCCTCACACGCACTCCCTTCCCTCTCTGTCCCATCCCTTCATACGACAGCCTTCAGGTTCGTCCTCCGATCCGGAAGACTCCTCAGGTTCAAGTTCTGACAATGCGAAGATTGACGACCTGTTCGAACGTGTGATCAACATCAAGGCCTGCCCGTTGTGTCACCGGTCTAGGCTTAACTCCAAGGCGGAGGTGGACATAGTGACCCATATCGCCACGTGCGCGAGTCAAGACTGGTCGACGGTCGACAGAATTGTGGTTGGCAACTTCGTCACGGCAAGTCAAGCACAGCGCAAGTGGTACACGAAGGTGATCAGCAAGGTGTCGAGCGGAAACTACAAGTTAGGCGCGGTGGGCGATTCCGCTTGGACACTTGAAAGTGAAATCGTCTCATTCTCTCACCATTGCAGAACTCGGCAAATATCATCGTTCAGAATCGCGTTACGGGGCAACTGGAAGAGGAGAAGATGCAAGTATACGTGCGGTTGGGTATCCGGCTTCTGTACAAGGTCAGGTTTGGTGTTGGCCCTATAGATTTTGCTTATATGTGTCTAGGGATGGAAAAGTCGGATGGAGGGTGCTCGGGGTCAGTTCTATTCGCCTCTGTTATGAATATAACAGGATTGATTTCCTCCCCTTTCAGCCCGACGCTTGCTCAAGTCAATGTCCATCAAGCAGGGACTCAAATATGATTCAACGGAATCGGCGCGTGACATTCCAGCTTTCATCGCTTTTCACAATTTGAACATCGACGAGATCTTGGATCCACTGGACTCTTTCAGTACGTAATGTTATTTGAGCCGTTCTCACGAGGCATACTCACGCTCGACCGATTGCAGAAACCTTCAATCAGTTCTTCTACAGGTAAGCGTAGCATTATATGACCACCGAAGTCATCAGCACTCACCACAACATTAGGCGATTGAAGCCGTCTGCCCGCCCGATAGAGTGCCCAGATAACCCATACCGTCTCATCAGCGGTGCTGACTGCCGTCTGATGGCCTTCGAGACCATCAGCGAGGCTACACGGCTCTGGATCAAGGGCCGCGAGTTCACGGTCAGCCGACTGCTTGGTGAGCACTACAAAGCGGAAGCAGACCGCTATGCCGGCGGTGCGCTATGCATCTTTCGACTGGCGCCGCAGGACTATCATCGCTTCCACTCGCCTGTTGATGGTACGATTGGCCCTATGACGTACATCCACGGCGAATACTACACGGTCAACGTAAGCCTCGTTTGGCCTTCCGCGCCGACGAAGACATGACTGATTCGAACCACCCTCAGCCACAAGCGATCAGAACGGCACTGGATGTCTATGGGGAGAACGTGCGCAAGGTCGTGCCGATCGATAGTCCGCAGTTCGGTCGGGTTATGTTCGTGTGCATCGGCGCGATGATGGTCGGCAGCATCAAAACGACGGTTGAAGAGGGCCAGCATGTGGAGCGTGGACAGGAGCTCGGGTATTTTGCATTTGGTTTGTGTCTTCCATTTGAACCGGGACTCATTTTATCAACTTACTCAAACACATCGTAGGTGGGTCGACAGTCGTTGTTCTATTCGAGAAAGGCGTTGTCGAATGGGACGAAGACCTCCTCATCAACGGCCGGGCATGTCTCGAGACCCTCGTTCGCGTTGGGATGGGTATTGGCCGCGGTCGTCGGCAGCGTTCAGATGTTGTGCAACGTCCTTCGTGAGATCGTGCATGGCCGTGACAAGTAAATATCGAGGAACTATGATACCACGGATTAATATTACTCAACACTTGTATAGTAGTCGAGCATCGGCGATAGAGAGCTTCGACAATGCGGAACAGTTAGAACAGGCAGCAGCATACAGCGGTGCCAGGGCGACGAGTCGGAGCATTGGAACCTTGCACTTGGCTGGTTTGAGGAAGCAGGCAGTTGCCTTAACACAATTACAATCCAATCGTTAACATTACCCATAGTTTGTTACAGTACATATTCTTCGCCGTCCCCAAACCCATCATTCCCAACGCGAAATCACTGCCATGGCTAGAAGCGAGCAAACGCAGCAGTACGATACAACGCACGGAGCATGCCACAATCATCAGAACAGGAAACAGCTGCTATACACCCAGGACGCGCTTACCCCACTGCCAGACGGCGAAGCTGACGGCGGTCATGGGGACAATCTTGAGGTAACCGACGGAGAGGCCGACGTAAAAGCCGCGCCAGCCGTTCGCGTTCCAGATGGCGTGAAAGGTCTCGCCCCAGCGCATCCAGCGGTCGGGGTGGACAAGGCCGCCGACCTGCATGCGGCGACGGATGACCTCGAAGGGGTATGAAACAGTCTGGGCAAGGGCGCCCGAGACGGCACCGATGGCGAGGTCGGCGACCGGCGTGGGTTTTTGGCGTTGATGTGCGGATGATGGCGGGGGCGGAGGAAGGAAACGCGCACGGAGGAAACCCCATGCGAGGAAGGACATGCCAGCGTAAGGTATCATGCCAATGATGGAAACGGTGAAGCCGCGGTAGAACTTGAGGATGGGGAAGCGGGTGAAGAGTGAGGAGGGGGACGTGGGGGTAGATAAAAAGGTGGTGGTCTTCATGGCGGTGTTTTCGTGGTAAATTTCGGACATGGCGGAGACGAAAGATGGGCGTATGTAGAGGTGTGGGGCAACAGCGTGTGGAGTTGACGAGCGTGTCATAAATGCCATGCGTACGCGAATGAGCTCGAGGGGGTATGTACAGATGACGGAGGTCATCCCTGATGTAGATCCGTCAGTGTGAGTGGGGCACACGACGCATTTACGCACCTGAGAGGGCACCTGCGAGGAATCTGCGGACGTTCGTCTCTGATTCTCGTGTCGGCATCAGAACCTATGAGGTGTCTCAGTGGACAGGTATTGCCACAGTATACTAGATCGTACGTGTTCTATCTGATCGTAGGCCATGAATTTGATGGCCGCGTACGGGAATATGCGGAGTAGGGTCGCAGAGTGACCCTGGAGGAGACCGCGAATGCCGCTCTCGTGGTAGATGAGCGCTGCAGCACGGAATGCGCCGGTCCATGTACCTTGACGAAGGTCAGCTAGTGAAAAAAGTATGCTTAGAGAGTAGCGCGCACCTGCATACTGGCGAAACTCAGAATTGGACGTCTGGAAAAGGATTTTGACTCTATCGAGCGGTGCGACAACTGTCTTTGCCTGGTTTCGATATCAGCCGCGTAAAATGTATCAACACAAGTGTGAGCGCGAACCACGCAACCCGCAACACCGCCAGCGAGACCTGAGCGAAGTATATATTGCAGGCTCTGTTTATTCGATACACCATCGGAACTCATTCGAGTGTGCTGGCCCCCTAGTTCATGCACTGGCAAAAGATTAGGAAGACTGCCTATATAGCTCAAGACGAGGGTCCCTCTGAGGCAGACGACGGCGACGGGGAGGAGGAGAGAGTGGTCAGCGACGAAAGTGGATTGGTGCGACAAGTCCGACGACCTTACCCACCCCGCAAATCGCGTCCACGTGAATACCCCACGTGGATGCGGAGAGACGCGCCCCTTGGCGCCTAACACCCCCGCGTCCTCTCGTCCTCGACGCACAACATGTCCGCAAAGCCCAAGGCATCCGAAGCTAAGGCTCCCGTGCTCAAGGGGCAAGAAGGTGTGCATCTCTCACTCAATAACATTCCATATATGCGCGCTCACACGCCGTCTAGCCGAGGACAAGGTCCTCGAATACATCAAGCGGGTGCGTGGGCACAGAAAGGTGAACGTGTGAACACTGACGATCTCGCGCAGATGAACCGCCCGTTTGGGGCCGTGGATGTTTCGGCGAATCTCAAGGGTGCCGTGCCCAAGACCGCGACGCAGAAGATCCTCGTGGCGCTCGCGGAGAAGGGCGACCTCGTGCAGAAGACTTATGGTGCGTTGGCAGACGGTATTGATCATATATATGCGCGTCAGATGCCACATAAATCCAGGTAAGACGACGTTCTTCGTGGCCAACCAGGCAAACCTCGAGGATATGCCCGCGGAGAAACTCGCTGCACTAGAGGCGGAACACAAGAACACCGAAGAAGGCAACAAGGTGCTTGCTTCCGAAGTCCGAACACTTTCCACAGGTATGTATGCGACGGCATGGTTTGCGCATGCACCGGAGAGATGTCATCGATCGCGCTTGCACAGAAGTGGCAAAACTTAGAGGAACACCCACGGACGCAGAGCTGGCAACGTCACTCGAGGAGGTTCTCGCCGCGGTAAGCTTATCGCTCGGGATGCCTCCATTCCACTCCCACAACCTTCTTCCGAGCCCTTGAACCACGGACACTTGATCTCTGCCGCAAGCTGTCATCGCGGCTAACATCTAACATCTCACTTGCTCGGGCGCATATATAGGTAGAGAAAGCTCGCGGGCGACTGCAGCCCCTGCGTGCGGGCACGCCGCTCGTGTCTGCCGCCGAACTAGCAGATCTGGATGCGGACTGGACAAAATGGCACGCGGAATGGGTGCGCAGAAAGAAGATATTCACCAAGTGCGTCTCGATCTCGCATTACATGTATGACGACATACGCAGGTTAACTTTATTCTTCTCCTTGGACAGCTTCTGGCAGCTCGCGACGGATGCACTGCCGCCACAGGAGGCGAAAGAGCTTGCGGAAGACCTGGGGATCGAGCTGGACACGCCAGAGCATGGTGCGCTGGAGCGAGGCGCATTCTGCTCACCATCTAGCGTGCTCGGCAAGCGGAGGAGATAGCGTGCATATATGCATGTCGGCCCCGTTCGCCATGTAGTTCGGTTGCTTTCGTGTTCTCGTGTGCGGTGTGACCTGTTGCTTGCTGATCGTGTACATGTGTGCTCTCGTCTTCGTTCATGAATGGAACTGACTTGTCCCTCGCGACGCTCGCATAGACGCCCATCCGGATGCCAAGACCGTCCTCGGCCAGACTGTGTTGCAGCCAATCAATGCACGGGGTCAACGCCTGTGGCGGCGATTTGCAGCTGGGATTGAATTGAGTTTGAACCCAGGAGGCGGACGGTCTATAAGGCCGGGCATGGTTGATGGTCGCCGTCTGCTCTCTCGTCCGACGCCGTCTCCTTCGCCCCCCTTATTCTACTCCCGACAATGTCTACAGTCGCTCTTTCCGCTCTTTTGGCAGCCGCCGCCCTCACCTCTGGTGTACATGCCCAGACCACCGCCCTCGTCGACCACACCTACGCCTATTCGGACGTTGTATGCATCCGTTTTTTCTAATTCGCGCGACTCGAGCTTAATATCACCGTAGCCGTACAAAGTTGAGCCGACCGGAGACGTCCGCGGCAGTCAGGTCGGATACAACATCTGTAACTCGACTACCCAGAACCAGGATTCATACTGCCAGACCTTGATCGTCAACGGAATAGAAGGTGCGTTCCTCCGACTGTCTGTTTATATGAAACCGATGATCGAATGGCCCACAAGACTTCTGCATCTGGTCTTCCCCCAAGGAGGACGACACTATCGGTACTTCGGAGGCGTACGAGGTCGCATGGTGCACGCAAAACGACCATGGCACGCGTCTCATTCCACAGGGCAGCCTGACAGGCGTACAGTACCTCTACACTGCCAACTACATTCAGATCGTCGGTTTCATCGACCAGTCGAATATCAACCTCCAGGCGAACGACTCGGGAGGAGAGCTCGACCCTCATGGATCCGACTTGGTCCGCATGATTCCATTCACTTTTCTGATTGAATCTTACCATCGTGGTATTCTATAGCTGGGTAATCCCATGGGTGGTCTCGTTTATTCGAACCAATACCCGACTGGCAACACGGACAACACCTCCTACACCCAGATCATCGAATGGACTCAGTAGGTTACGTTCACCTCCTGGTAAATACGTGTTTCTCATCACGCATTCCAGATTCATCGGCAACGGCCAGTTCTGCCTCAAGATTTGCAACCCGTCGAACACGAGTGCAGATAACGTCGGCTGGTGCAACAATGTCTATGACGAAGTCGGCATCAACTACAACTGCCCCAACGCGGCCCAGAATGGCACGTTTGAAGTCTGCGATGGCGACTCGATGGAGAAGATCGGTGAATACGTCTCCAATGGCGTGACAACTACCTGGACACAGCCGTGGTCTGGTGTCTGGACCGTTCCCTACACGCCTGTTGTCCCGTCGTCGTCCAACTGCCGCACGTACACCTCGACCGACATCTATACAGACAAGCTTGCTGTGACGAGCTCGGCCTCTTCTGGTTCTGCGTCTGCGACGGCCACGAGCTCCGGTGCAAGCCGATCGAGTGGTGCTTCAAGCGGCGCGTCGCGCAGCGGAGCGGCGAGTGGTGCTGCTGCGACATCGACGGGCTCTTCATCTAGCTCGAGCGGTGCAGGTGCGGTGCGCATCTCAGCGCTCGCGACACTCGCCGGCGTCGCGTTTGCCGTTGTCTTCCTGGCGTAAAGGTGCACATGTGAACCTTGGTGTACGGTGGACGCTCTATCTACTTACGATGCCACGTTCTAGTCTGTCGTTTAGTGAGAGATAGGCTGTTGTAAGTACAACCATTGTCTGCGAACCGGAGAGTCGAGACGAGCATCTACGGTCGTACCGCTTGGTTGCACGCTATTTGCCATAACTTACTTCGGACTGTATCAAGGACTTTCACGCTTGTTGACGGTCATGTAGCCTGACGTGTTGACGAGCAGCATTCATACCCAGTGTTACAATATCATTGCGGTTAATTCTCAATCCGCGTGGACCCAACCATGCATGCAAGCCACGCCAGTACATCATATGAGTTCGGAAGGGATGCTGACTTTTTTTTCTGATACATCGTAGGCACTAACGCATCTGGCAGATGCGCGAGTCGAGACGATGCGGAATGCGAGAGCAGCAGCATTGTGTCATTGACTTCCCGGTCAGTCCTCTCAAACCTTTCATGTCTTCCCATATAGTTGAGGCTCATTTGACAGATCGATTCGCCAATGACAACAGCGGTTCCGCAAGCTTTGTTGTTTCTCCCTGACATCCCGCTATCGAATTTGGTCGCAAAGGAATCCATTGGCACTGAGGGCCCGCTGATGGTTCGTTTGCGTCTCAATGTGTGCGAGGATGAATAACTGGGCGACGGTGTGTGCAAATGCCCTACATCACTCACAACGACTCTACGCCCTGTTTTCATTGCTAACAGTCCCGCAAAACAGCGTGTCCCGTCATCTTCTCGAAACGATAACGCTCGGACTCGTTTTATCTCGAAACACACTTCCCAGTGCCGAGGCGATCCATCCTGTCACCATCTGCCTTCCATCACCGACAGAGTAGCTCCTCAGAGACGTCTATGCGCGTTGCCGCTCGACGATTTTTACGGTCTGAGAGAAATCGTGCGACAAAGGGAAGCCAAGGTTCAGCGTCATGCTGATGTGCATAACTGTCGGAATGGTCTTTTTTCGCTCACGTGTGTGCTCTACGATGCTATACCTGAGCGAAGCGGCGCGGTAGTGCGACCAAGCTGGAGGAAGAGCGCACTGGGTGGTGCGACCCTTGGTGCCGTTGAATACTGTTCGTCAACATCAGTGATGATCGATGAACAATGAGGATGCCAACGTTCCGGGGATATGGAGATCCATGACGTCTACTCAGCTCGAAGTCATCTGTCAGGCACTTTCGGTCCATCCGACATGTCATAAGTACGTTCGCCTGCGCATTCATAATCTTGTTTAGTAGAAACTGATTTTAACGCCCAAATGGCGTGCAGTGGATCGCCTGCCTCAACCAGCCCGCTTTCCAAAGGATGCATGTTGTGGAAAGCAAGGCAACGCAAACACCGAGTGTTCAGACACATCCTCCGAACTAATGCTCGAGACACATCTTGACTTCCAGTTGTATCCTTTACGCCGGAGCACAAGCTCTCGAGAGCGAGGCTGCTCAACCTGCTTGTGTCCATGTGCAGGATTATCTGATGTATCATGAACTTCGCAGATCGCGACATTCATTTGTGAATCCCCGTCCTGGCTCAGTCAATGATACCTTTCGTCCCTTCTGGATGCGTTCGAACGTGAGCTCTTTCTCCTCCCTACGAAATCCTTGCATTCAGCTGGATTGCGATCGCCTCTTCGCTGTTGACAGATTGGGAGCTATATGCTGCGACTAGCAGGCTGGCTAGTGTACAGCTTTGCCATCACCGGTGAGCCGTTGATATGATCTCCGCGGAACAGGAGACGCTAGCCGACCGCATTACTGGTAGGAGGTCCATTTACCAACAGACATGATGATCCATGATTGCGATCGGAGCGCATTTGGGTGGGCGCCAGGCAAAGCCCTCTCTATGGCCTCATACGTTTTCAAAGTCGAAATAACTGCCTGAATGGTAATCGTCTTCGGCTGGACAGTCTCCAGATTATTTCGTTGTGTCGTTCTGGCCTGGATGGATAAGTTGGCAGACCTACCTCCCCTTCCAACTGCGTCGACCAGTCACGCGTACGTCTGACATGGGCATTTTCGGCGCCGTCACATTAGCGTGCATCCCCGCAGATCGCATGACCATTGGTTTATCAAGCTTTTCTTTGAGATCTTGGGCTGTAGCAGTCCTTGCCACAGGGATTTACCTGTAAGGAGCGTATGGGCAATCATAGATGTAGACGTCGAGATCATTCTCCCAGTCAATCTGCCTCCATGACGACAATACATGTGTTTATGCTCCGCGCAATCCTGAAGATTGCTGTAAGTTATCGAGATTTGGTGGCTCTCGCTTCACGCCGACTCGGCTTACCAGCGCTGTCACTGATACCCGCAGATTCAGCGCTCAGCTGCAACGGCCACTTATCTATCCAACCCGAGCGTCTGTCGGACTTCGCCTCCCACGTCAACCTTCGCGAGGATGCTTGTGTTATGCCCCAAGGGAAAACCCGCAGCTATCGAAGGCATGCTCGACCACATGATCTTCAAAGCCACGCACCTTGTAGTGCCGCCGAAATGCAGCCTCTACCGATAACTCTTGCGTCTCTCTCCTGCTGTCCAACCTAGCAATGCGGCATCAGACTGCTCTGCTACTCACTTCCAGACAAGGACATTTCGCCTTGGGGATATCGAAGCTTCCCAAGCCTGGTCCAGGAGAGATATTAATCAACGTGCGCGCGACAGCATTGAATCCTGTCGACTGGAAGATATATGCTCTCGGGATCATTGTCAACAAGTACCCTGCAGTCCTCGGAAGTGATATCGCAGGCGTAGTCGAAGACGTTGGTGAGGGTGTCGCTGGTTTCTCTAGAGGCGACAGAGTGTTCGTGCTTTCTCCTAGCTTGCAGTTTCCTATCCCGAGGGAGCTGAGAAATACCTAGACTTACTCAAGGTGTCATCAATGTGAATAGTCACTCCAGCTTCCAACAATACGCGCTCGGATTTTCTGATGTGACTGCGAAGGTGGGCTAGATATCGCGAACTCACGTTTATTCCTTATCAATATCCCTCCTCGCAGATTCCAGAGCACCTCACCTTCGAGCAAGCTGCGACGATTCCTCTCGCTCTCGCAACCGCCGCTGTTGGCCTGTTCAACCAGTACTCGGAATCTGGCAGTGCGCACCTGTACCCGCCATGGGAGCCTGGTGGGCGTGGCAAATATGATGGAGAGCCATTCCTCGTCTTTGGCGGTTCAAGCTCTGTAGGCCAATATGGTAGGTCGCACACACAGCACTGCTGTACTTGTGCTTACCTGTCTCTCAAGTCATACAGCTTGCCAAATTGGCGGGCTTTGAACCGATCATTACCACAGCCTCGCCTCACAACGCCAAGTATCTTCTTGACCTCGGAGCGACGCACGTTCTTGATCGCCACCTCTCCGCTGACGACACTCGTTCAGAGATCTTTCATATCACTTCCAAGCCTATTCAGACCATATACGATGCTGTGTCTTTGTTAGAGACGCAGAATATGGCATATGATATCCTGGCTACAGGAGGATGCCTTGTGTTGGTTCTAAACGAAGTTCTAGATAAAAAGAAGAAGAGGGAGGACAAACGTGTTGTCAAGGTTTCTGGAAGCACCGTCGTGCCGGAAGAAAATAGAGCAATGGGTATCAGTTTGTATTCGAGACTATCCGCGCTGCTGGACGAGGGCATCATAAAAGTGCGTACCTGAGTTTTTTTATTGCCATCAACCATGATCAATCCTTGTAAAGCCGAACAGGGTCGAGATTCTGCCGAATGGTCTTGAAGGTATTTCCGATGGTTTGGCGCGGCTTGGGAATGGAGTCAGCAATATCAAGCTGGTTGCGCGCCCGATGGATACTCTGTGACCTTTCATCGAGGATGCATAGCTCTGGTCGACGTACAAGTCATGCGTGGAATGTGAATTCACTCGTACAGTCTTCGGTGGCGATGTTCGACGAGCGTCTGGCACAATCGATGTCGAGAAATTCGGCGAAGCTGCCCTTCCAGTCGCTAGCATGAGGTGCTTCATGGGTCATGTTTTCAGGCGCCTTCTTCCGTTAAGGTCTACTTAGTGGTTGCACAGCCTGCCTCGAGATCTGCAAGACAAAGATAGTGCATCATGATCCATTCTATGATGGGACGTCGTATGCCTTGTTCTCCTGCGATTCATGACCATCAAGCGTTGCTAGCCTCTCAAACAACTCGCCGGGAAAGGCACAACGTCATATTGTTAATAGTTATCGTTTCAGGCCTATCCGTGGTCTTGCGTGATAGGGCACTGGTATCGATTGTTCTATGCACAGGGCGTGCACAGCCTTTTTGTCGTTTCGGGGGATAAATAGAAGCGTACAGCGCAGACTCTTTCCATCAGCTACCTAACAGCCAGACGTGAACGCGCCACATCACCTACCGATATGCTTGCTCCCTCTGCGGCAAAGAAATTGACCTTGGCGCGGTCCTTATATTTGACGCCCCTGCTGACCCTGACCTCTTATACAGGTTCATACGCAGGACCCAGTCCGAACAACTTGCCATCGACAAACAGTAGCATTGCCTTCGAGCACGCGCCACATGCAGAGCTGGCGCAGCTACGATCCCCGGAGCTTCCCGAGCCCTGGTCGGGTATCGAACGTTACCTGGCAGTCGGGTGCTGGAAAAGAATGATCTTCGAGCACCTCTTTGGGATCGTTCGTGTTTATCAAGTGGGCTGGATCTTGACATATGTTAGTGCGGAGATTGGGAGAACCATTCTCGGATATCGGCAGAGCCCCAGCCCTTCTTCGAGACAGACGTCATGGTGGTCTGCGTCGAGGGCGGAGGCATGCTCGCGCTGTCGAGCTACATCCTGCCGTTAACACTCTTCAAAGACGAATTTTACGAGGAGGAGGTTACATGGGGTTGTTCGACCCTCGAGCAGGCTGCTATCATTTGGGGTATCCCTTTGGCGGTGGTGGTCACCATTTTGTTCGGACAGGCCTTGGGGTTGGTAGTGATGCGACGATGGCTGGAGGAGTGGTCTATTATCTTGCAGGATGTCTCTGTCAAAAGGGCACTCACCTCAAGCGCGACGGGTCTACCATTAACGATTGTGGCGAGCATTGCTGTCTACCAATTCGTCGACTTCTTCAAGAGCTAGTGATGTGTTCGACAATGTAAATTTCCCGATACTCACATGTGAATACCATTCTATGCTCACAATACGACAGCTAATTGCTTCTCAGTGCCCCAGATCGTATTGAGGACGATAGACGGCACGTAAGGCGAGACGGTGGCACAGTACAGTAAGGTGTACAGACGGGGGCTGATGCATGCGGACGGTCAGACGGACGGGATGATATGTGTACTGAAATGGATTCATGAGGACGTTGTGCAATGTGTCAGGCAGTCAGTGCAGACAGAGGTTACCCAGCTTCGGTGCATTGGACCATATGTTCATGGAGATTATATATGTCTGTTTTGATGAATAAGTCAATTCCACGATAAGCCTATTCTCACGTCGATGGCCAGTCGCTTGCAAGCTTAAGTCTGAGCCAGCTGTGTTGACGGTCAGATCAAAGAAAAGAAAATTAGGTCGCGATGGCCAAAATCGATTGATCAGTCAGCGATCTGATGTCAGCAATGTGGCGCAACTACCGGGCTTCCTCTCGTTAGCTGTTTCAACGCGGTCCTGTACATCTTGTCAACTGGTAACAAAATCTTGCACTGGCATTATAGGTTTGCAACTAAATCTATGTCATACATATACTTGACTGTACGTTGCTGGTGCATCAGTATTGCTGGTGATATTTGCGTCTCGCGAGCGACCGTCGCCATATGACTTGTTGGATTCTAGATTAAGTCCTTCAGCCCATGTGTTGTTCGATGCTAATTGGTTTTCTAGAGCCCTGCTCGCGGCACCACACATCAACAATCATTTCTCGCGCAACTGTCATAATCGTGGTGGTAAGGTACTCAGTATGCTAATTCACAGCTTACGTAGGAAGCAAAAGCTGTTCGCCTCTGAACTCCAGCGGGCACCATCTATCATAGTGACATTACGAAGATGCGCGATCGGTGAAGTTCGACCTGCTATTGCGTAATAAAGAGTGAGCGATCACTTTAGATCATGCTGTGTCCTATGATCACAGGTGCCACGGCTTCATCGAACATAGAGCAGTACCAGATGAAGGCTACACCCATGCCTCAACAGCCTGGATGGACAAATAGCCACGCTTCGTTTGCAAATATATTTGCTGAAGTCAGCATTCATAACCCGTTGGTGCTGATCTAGATTGTCGAAAATGCTCTGCCACCCAGTGCCACATACATCTTGCTACGCATACAGCCGGTAAAACACAGCTTCTGTATCATCGTATTTTCTGATGGTAGGAATGACATGCTCACAATGGTTTCTCACATATATTCTCCATCCCCGCATAGCAGAAATCCGCAGCGCATGGACTTCATCTACTAGCATTCATGACGTAGACACAGCGCCCGTGAATTTCAGCACATTGCGGGGCACTCCTTCAGGTATTGTTCGCTGCACAGGATCACACAAACTTCCCAGTTCAGTCAACTCACAAATATAATTAACACCATCTATCTTACTCATAACCAGCTTCCCAGCATAATCGGGTTCGCCACACCAGCGATATCATTTGTGCAAATGGTGATCACCACTATCACAGAGACTTCGACTTTCGCACAGCATTCTACTGCCGTTCACTCTCCTACCCCAGCTACCTTCTCTGCGCAGCGGGATTCGCATGCCAGAACCTACGCATGCAGCATCATGAGGCATCGCCACAATGCCATGCTCCCCAATCTCTAGAAACCGTGACAGGCCCATGCAGCTCATCCTTTAGATCCTGGCGGATCAACATCGGTGACCAATTCGTGGAATGGACCTAGGTTGGTGGGTGGGGCTGGCCATTCACATGGCCTGTTGCGGAGACATGAAGAACCATCCTCGGCTACCGCAACAGCCTGTAGCCTTTCTTGTCAGGAGGTCAGCATCCTGGGTGCAGGGATAATCAAAGTACCCGTCTATCTCATGTTGGTGGCGGACATCATATCAACAGGGCAGAAAGGCGGCGTACTGATCTGCTTCCATTTACATGCGGCGACATGCATGGCGCTTCTGGACTTCGAGTACAGAACCAATTGTCATGTCGCAGTGTACCCTTTTTGGACATGGCAATCATCGGCCTTGATGGATACACACTAGACATAGCAGTCACATGAGGGCTTATGCTGCTGGAAGACGAAGAGATATTCATAAACAAGTTCAACATGGCTAAGGTGCTTGGTTCAAGTGCGACCGGTTAGACGCCTATTGTGGCCGGCATCTGGGTATATACGCTATGCGTCATCAGACATAGGGCCATAGTGGCGTGCCAGATGGTATGTTTTCAAAGAAGAAGGTGTGGGACAGTTCTGAGACATCTGTACATCAGCGTTTCCCTCTCAATGATACCTGCGAGTGAATAATTGAACTTATCCTCATTATAAACTTTTCCGAACATCGTACTTGACCCCACTACTGATTATGGACCTGCAATGCTTTCACGATCTTGTGGAATTAGGGGAGATATACGTTGTTCTTCGTGCCCCCCGCGTTTTGCGTTAATGCAAAAATATTCTCGAAATTAAACCGAGCAGGGAATCAACAATTATGACGGTGCAGAGAACGCACCAATGAAATTCTGCATGCTGTAGCCATATGCACGGAGAGGACATATCATACCGCTAAATGGTATCTCGACGCAACGGATACGCCGACGAGAATAACATTTCATAGAAGCCACATCTGCATTCCTTAGCTTGTATGAGTATTTTTGACACCTTGGTGTGATCCGGCTGACTTACAACTATGACGCATTGTAGGCCAGGTGAATGCTCGCGTTTTCAGTCGCCGGCCAGACGAACAGTGAGCGCCTCGCCAGGGCCATCAAGAGGGTGTGGCACCAAGCATCTGGCGCATGGCCAGTAGAGATCTCTTGAACTGGACGCGTCAAATTGTGGGTGGGTGCCTTCGTCGACATGTCCCCGAGCTAGTACCCACAGTCGCGTGGCTAACGTAGAAGTACGAACGTATGAACAGTTGTCGTCCATAGACATGCGAGCGTAAGGGGTGGCACATGAACACAGCTTCGCCATGAATGTCCGAGGGTGACACAGTTGCGGCACGTGTATATTTCAGTGGCCCGAGACAACAATAGGCACACTGCGCGTCGTCAAGATGCCCTTGCCACTATGATGGCCGTTCAGGCAGCCGCGGAGACGAGAACAGACGAGGTCCTAAAAGAAAGGCTATACGAGCATGCTGTGCGTGGGAGGGAGACAAGTTCCGCTTGGCAGTCAGTGGCACAATCACGCAAATAGAACAAACTCACGCTAGGATAGAGACATCTTTCTGTGTATAAAGATGCCCTGGAATTACCAAGACTCTCGCTGCCTCCCCCTTCGCCACCCCTCGCCAGAGACATACTAACCAGTCGTCGCTACAATGTCTGCAACACAGGGATTCGGGGTCGAACCTGCGGAGCCGATGGATCATTGGCGAGACACGTACCTCCAGGGCGCAAGGTCGCTGTCTTCTTCCTGGACCTTCCAACCGGCGCGGTCCCACAACCTGGGCAGAGGAACAAGCACCCAGTCGCCCCACGGTGCTACCGATACAGAGATATTCGTGGAAGCTTCTATGGCCGAACGATTTCGGTTCCGAGTCGTCCTCAGACGCATGACCGTCGCCGCGCTGAGATCCGCAATCTGCGCGGCCCTCGGTGGCTCTATCACCCACGACGTCTTTCCATGGTCATATAGGGTATCATTTCTAAGAACCGTCGTACCCAGTATGGCGGGAAGCTATGTCCTAGCACTCCTCGTCAGCTTTATTTGGTCAGCCATGATCAAATGTGGCGTTGTGTCTGGACAAGACGAAGCAAGGGGGATAAACGGATCGGGGCTGAGGCAAACGTTTCCTCGTTCAATCACAGCGGCAGCTATTACGATCTTCGGGCAAATCTTGGGGGCAATATCTATTCATCCACGAAGACGGAACGTACCTAGAAGCTGTCCTCTTTGCGCTTGAGACGAGTGGCTATGGTTTGGCATTCGCTGTGATCTTCACGTGTATGGCTCAAATGGCGTTCTACAACGATCGTATGGGGGAATGCTGGGCGATCATCATTCTGTTCAGCTTTTAGGTAAGACCTTCATGAGTACCAATCAACTGGAAATGCACTAATGCACTTGCAGCTCAGGATGCTGAGAAATTCCATTGGCGATCAGGTAGAAATTTCGAATAGCGTGGAGGGTTATGAGTACAATCAACGTACCTCTATATGGGAGGGAATGCAGCGCGACCTGATGTCTAGAATATGCATTCGTTTGAAAAGCTATAAAACCTCGTACAATTGAGATAGAATGCCGGTCGATCACGAACGGCGCACTTCCAGGATTTTCAGTACCCGCATTAGCTTCAAAGACGAGGTTCGTTAAAGCACTCACAGCCGTCGAAGTCAAGCCCTTTGTGTCTGTAGCTTGACATTCCCCACGGTCAGGTGATATTAGGATCGTCGAAGTGGCGTACCAACGCCACTCGCGCACAGGCACCTCACAATGCGATGCACCACCAGATTCATGTCACTCAAGCGGTGTGGATTGTGCAGCGATGCGACAGTCACTGGTAACGAAGCACCATAGCATTCTGAGTACAGTGAGTGCGTTACATGGGTACCACATAAATATCAGAGCACTTCGCCGCAGACTCTGCCTCCAACCCTTCGCATCTTTAGGAACCTCACATACCGCTGTGCTTTCCACCAGCAGAAGTCCACTAGGTTGTACCAATGCACACCCAGTTCAGGAAGACCTCGTGTGCGAACGCCATTCGCAGCCTCAGCGCCTCCTCCACGCCCCCATATGTCGATCCGATAGGCCAAGTACTGGACATCGACGACTTGCGATGCGCACCGGGTTCAGCTTGAGACGCGTTCGAACACGCCACAGAGCGTACGTGGTAATCAGACAGGGGATTGACCTTTATGGGTACTCTTATAATCATCTTCACAGACGGCTTATTCGTTTAGTCGCGCGCATTGAGATTGTACCAAGAGTACCCACGCAACCGAAAGTCGGCATATTGACTGCGGCTGGTCTCGCCAATATTGTTGCACTCGAGGTTAGTGAACACGGTGTCGGGATAGCCATCCTGCCCAGAAGCATCACGGACCGCTGACCACCGAGCATGCAGTCACATTGAGCGCGATGGTATTTAACCATGGGACTGGCTGCATTATTGGCTTTGGCGCTCTTCATAGTGTTTCTGGCCATTTTGCATCGCGATCTATTTAGGCCAAGTACTCTCATTGCACCGGTGCTGCATGCTAGCGCTCATCCGGATGATGTTGCGGGACATAGCCTTTGAAGTTTGCGGGTTGTGGTACCTGGCAAGACGTACTCGGGAGCTGTGGCGCTGCAAGAATAGCATGTGAGGCCGTGGCTAGAGCTAATATACATGCCATTGAGCCCCGGAATAAGAAAGCTGTGATCACGAAGGAACTGTGCGAAGGTTGTCTTCGACTCCGTGTGGCTGTGTGCCTGGAATTCGGCACCGACGAAGTTAGCGGCCTAGGATAAGTAAACGCTTTCAGATGAAAGACGTTTGCCACTGCCCTGTGGCGATGCGCCATCGCTCCTGAGGAATGCACCAGTCCGATTGCGATGATGCGATACGTCATGCATTCATGTCTCGATCGGTTGTAATGTGGCACGGTGCCACAGAGGGCGTCCATTCTTTGCATAAATAGGTTCGTACTCTTCCAACAAGCCGCCCTCGTCTTGTCGCCACATCCTGCACTCCACACACACCCATCCAAGGATGTCACTCGTTCTTCCTCCTGCAGCATTCGTGAGGGATTCATTTCACAGCGAACGAGTATGCCCGCCTTCGACGCTTCTGGATGAGAAGTTGTCCCCTTCACCCACTGACGAGAAGAGCACGTCCCCCGCACCACCACTCTATCTCGCCACCTCTCGCGACTGCGCATCACTATCCTCCCTCTCCACGACCACGACCGTGTTCCTCCTACCGCCACCTAGCGCCACCAAAGCATCCGGTCGGACTACGCAACAAAGAGTCGTTTCTGCAATAGACCACCTTTCATCTGCATTCAGATGCATCGGCACTGTTCTCTTCGTCATAACTTTCTTTAGCGTGCACACGACGCTATACATGATGCGCTATGCAGCGCCAGCTACAGTGTGGTCCTTGATTTGCGGTTACTTCGGCTGGACATCATTGATTCAAGTGGATGGCGCGGACACAGGAACAACCTCACACTCCGGCGTCGCGGCGGCCAGTGCGCTCGGTGGTACAATTCTCGGAGCGGCGATCGGGCTGTGGGTCGCTTTGAGGTCTCTGCCGCGCGAGGGAGAGGAGACTGAAGAAAGCACGGAACGCGAGGATTCAGATATCCGAGGTCCCAGGAGAAATCATAAGGGCTGGAAAAGGTTTTGGCTAGGTATAATCTTCGGTCTGTGTGGCCAATCCGTGGGCGCGGCCACCTTGCATGGCAGAGCGGGAGTTCCGAGCACTTTGCGTGCTATTCAGGCGAGTGCAGTTGGAGAAGCCGCTCTCCTTCCAGCAGTATTTTTAACGGTGTTATTATCGTGGCTTTGGCGCATCTGAACTGATCGTCATCGCGGTGACTCAGCCAGCGGCTACTGTAGGATCGATTTAAACTCACCATAATACCCCGGCCGTTATGCCATACCTAAAGACAACCCTTGTGATAATACATCTATGTTTATATTAGTCGCCAATCGGTACTCGTTCCACAGAAGAACACTGCAGAGACCGAATTAACCGAGGTCGACGCGACCAGCACCAATAATTCCACGTAACCGCGTCCGTATCTTGGCAAGCTACGGACCGACAGTTAGCTTGGTCTTACACCATCCTACACAGCTTCTCTGACATTGTCTTCATAGAGTGGTTCGCCAACCGAAGTGGCGCGACTGTACAGCGCAGTGGCATCATCTATCGTCGATTCCTTCGAGTAGATCACTCCAGGGACTGTTGTTCATCAAATTGGTCAACATACTCAACCGTATACCTGCTACGAGATGGAAACGCTCACCGAGATCAACTCATCGATATCTGGGTACTATGGCTATCATAAAGCTTGAAACGCGTTCCCATCCGATCACCAAGCCTCAGTTGATCAACAGAGGTCCCATCATTATCAATCAATCCACAGGATATCCAAATATGATAGCTCACCGGCAGCCGGCCTAGCAGAAGCCAGATATCCCTGCATCCTCGGCGCAAGTCATGACTTCTTCAATGACATCTCTCTGGAGACGTGACCTAGCCCGTGCTTTGCTCCATCTCCCGGTCCAGCGGTTTTTCAATGTGGAACGATACGTACTAGACGATCATCGATCATCCCTCTGGTGGCAGATATTCTTCAGCTCTGTCTGTCGGCCCTTTTCGTTTTCGCCAGTACTTGCACGGTCCCAACCTGGTACTCGCCTGCCCGTGTCAAGATCGTGCTCCGTACATCGTCGTCGGCACCATGGAATATGACGTCACATGTCCCTGCGACTCTGCGATGGAGGGTTCTCTGTGGCCAGCCGTTTGTGCATCATCGCCTCCTCCGTGAAACAAGTCGCTGCACAGCTTTTGGGCACTGTTCCCCGCGCTCAGCAAGATCACGTGTACCACGCTCCCGGGCGGCTAAATGACTCCGTCCTTCAGCGCTTTAAGCTGCACTAGCACTGCTCGAGCTCTCACAAACAACCACCATGTCCCCCACCGCTTTAGATCCTCGCCCACAAAGCTCTCAACAAGTGCTGCCAGAAGAATATGTCCAAGAGGCGTTCCACTCGTTCCTCAAGTCTTCGCTCACTCAGGCGAAGATCGAGGGCCTCCTGCCAACAGACGTGCTCTCGAGTGCAGAAGGAGATCTCATGATCACAGGTATACCGCACGGGTTAACACCTGCAACGTGCTACTGACCTTCTCCTTAGGTCCCGCGCTCTGTCTGTACTTTGCCGCATTACGATCAACGACAGAACCGCCTTCCGTTCCCCTTCCACGGCGATCCAAGAGCTCGTCCAACCCCGCGTTCGACCTCTCATACGACAACTGTCCACCGACATTCCGCCCCTTCTGGCTCGTCTGGTCCCAATCAGTTCCCGAGATCCAAGCCTTGGTCCCGGAGCACCAGCACGACCTCGCACGAATCATCTGCGGCCTTCCTCCGATTGCCACGCCCATCAACCGACGCGTAAACGGTATCGCGGCCGATCTGCGCGCGGTGGCGATTGAGATTAGCATGCGGCGGACGTTCCAGGACCGGTACGCGAATGACCTGCAGGCTGCGTTGGATGCAGGGTCCCCAGGCGGGCGGAGAAAGCTCAAGGCGAGCTTCGTCCCTCCTCCAGATTACAACACCGCACAGTCCACTCCCTCCATATCTCGTACATCGTCGGCCATGAGCTCTACCAGCACGATCTTCCCATCCCCCATCTCGCCCCACTCACCCACCATCCTTGGGCCCGACGCGCCTATAATCGAGTTCATCCGGGAGACGCTCTACGCAGCGTTAGCCGATGTCATCGAGCGCACGCCCTCCATCCGGCGTGCCCTCCGCACGGACCCGACGCGCGCCTACTTCGCCGCGGTCGCCTTCGCCATCCTCGACGTCGCCACGGGCACAGTCACCCATCCTCACAAGACAGTCGAAGACATTCTGTCCCCGGGGGATGCCGATCGCGAGGAGGCGACTATCCACGGGGTGCTGGGGAAGACGATCACGTTGTCGGAGTGTCCGCGCGAGCTGCGGCCGTTCATGGCGGAGCTGTGCGCGATCGGGAAAGCAGCGCGGGAAATGGAGGAGGAAGACTCGCTCGCGACGGTTCGCGCGCTCGAGCGCGGGCAAGATCCTCCATCGCCACGGCTAGATCGGGTGCATGACGTTCTCGAAGGCGGCGTCGGACACGCTTACGATGATGCCTGCTCGCAACGGTCGAGGAGAACAGATACCTCACGGTCGGACAGGCATGTCCCAGACTCCCGTCGTCGCACGACGTCTACTGAGAACCGCGCCGTGGCGTTTGCGAATCGGATCAACGCGCTCGCGCTGGGGATGACGAAGCTGCGCGCGTTCAGGGAGCGGCAGGATATGGTCTTCAAGGTCCTTTCAGGTATCGGTGGATGACTTTCCTTAGCGCTTGCCCGTTGACTGACTTTTCGCTGTCATGTATCAATGTAGGCTTCTAATTTGTAGTTGTACTCATAACAGTATCTCAGAAGGTCCAGATACCCATTGTATGCCATTCCATAGCGAACAACTCTGTGCCGTACTGTATCACACCCTCCTCTCATCAAATAGTACTCTATGTAGCACCCGAATCAAAGCTTAATGCATATGGCGAGGAACACATCGTGTGCGCGTGACAGTTCCTGCCCTCAAGGAGCGTAGTATGATAGTGGAGCGCGTATGTGGTGTATAAACCAGATCTATAGGCGAGACCGGGCGGGTGCGATCATGGCCTTCGCACGCTCTCTCAATAAACGTCGCAGAATCTTTCCACTCGGATTCTTCGGTATAGCATCAATGAACACGATACCTCCCGTCAGCCACTTGTACTCCGACTTTGCTTCAGCGACGTGCTGCGAAAGCTTCAACAAGCAATGCGCTCTCCTGACTAGGTATTGCTCACCTTGAAGATACTCGAACGGATCTCCGCTGCAACCGCTCCGTCAGCCTGTGCCTTCGGCGCAATGTGCGGCTGGAGAACGACGAACGCAAGCGGTAGCTCGCCCGAGTACTCGTCTGGGAGCCCGATGACGCCCGCGTCCGCTACATGTGGGTGGTCGAGAAGGTGGCCCTCCAGCTCGGCCGGGGCTACTTGGTAGCCTTTCACTTTGATGAGTTCCTACACTCATTTTCGGTGAAGATCTCTTACTGTATATGAAATGGATGAAGGCAAACCTTGATACGGTCGGTAATGAAGAGATCGCCATTCTCTTGCATGATGACCTCATCCCCAGATTTGAACCATCTACGTGGTTTCGTCAGTGATCAAGCAACGCAAGTCAGACCTACGCAGATCGCACCCATCGACAAAGCATTCCCTCGTCCTGCATCACAAGTATCAGCTAGCGCGTGTGAACGTCCGGTGAAATTGTCTTACGCTTGCTCATTCCGATGATATCCAAGAGTGATCTGTCCGCCCTTTAACCAAAGCTCTCCAGGTTCGCCCACGCCCGCGAGGGTGCCGTCGGGTCTGACGACCTTCGCTATCGTCCCCGAGATGAGTTGCCCTGCGCTTCCCGGCGTACCGACTTTGCTAGAGACGGGCCACTGCAGTACGAATCGATCAGATCACTACACGAAGGACAAGAATCACAGTTTAAACACTGACTAGGCTGACTGCAGCGCACGTTTCCGTGAGTCCTATCATAGTCATGATCACTCGGATCGCGATCGAGGAAAAGATCTGTTAGCATACCATATCCTTGACCCATGTGAATACCGGGCATCAACTTGAGCATCTGTGCGGTAAGTTCGCCGCTGAGCGGTGCCGCAGCCACCATGACGACCCGGACGCTCGACAGATCGTATTTCTTCGTCGCCGGATGCTACAAGGTATCGTCATCCCATGTGAAATAACCCAAACGGGCAGGCTTTACCTTGCAAAAGAGCACAACTTGAGGCGGTACAATGCTGACACGAATCAACACAGAATGCAAGATGGGCAGAACCTGAAAGAGCTCACAAAAGATGGGTGACCTTATATCGCTGAATGGCCTGCAACAAGCCCTCGTAGTTGAATTTCTGAACCACCACGACCGATAACTACAAGTCATGCATTGCAGCATCAGACATGAGCAAGACAGGATGATCCGCAACATACTCCTACGTAAAGAGCGAAATGCCACTCCGGCGGACGTCAGACGGCGTACATGATTCGTCTGCGAGACGACTCACCACTGCGACCAGACCGTATATGTCTGCAGATCGGGAAGATCAACATCTGTCCAAAGGAGACACGTCTCACGTACGATATATTGGTAATACTATGAGAAAGCTCATAAGACATCAGCATGAATGTGCCTCAACGGAACTATACGTACCTGCCACAGATCGATCTCCTGGACGATATCTACGGTCCTCCCAAGGTGCATAATCTTCATTGACGCGGTTTGTCGTCGCTGTCTGGAGAATATTCGAAATAATATTATAGTGCGAGACAGCGACAGCCTGCCACGAGCGAATGCACATCAACTCGCGAAGAAGCACAGCAATGTTTAAATCAAAATCCGCACCTTCGGATTTCCCGTGGTTCCAGAAGAGAAGCAAAGCGCAGCAATCTTCGTCTTGCCCTCACCAGGCGCAAGTGTGAACTCGGGCACTGAAGGTAGCAGGTGTCCTTCGTCGATAAGTGCGCTCACGGACTTACAAGACACCGGCGAGTGGGATTTATGTGCATCTAGGACGATGACGCGATCTTGCGCGAGACCATATTGGAATGCAGCCTCAAGGACGGTCGATATGTTCTCTCCGTGTGCAATTATAAGGGCAGGCTCTGCGAGCTTGAGCTGGTATACTGACACGCATCAGACAGATATAATTGAACATTTAAACTTGAAACATAAGCATACCAAGCTCAGATGTGGTGAGTGACGGGCCCATCATCCTGATAGACATATGTCAACAGTTGGATGTTGACACTGTGCAAAGACGTACGCGACGGCAGCCCCGAGCCTATGAGTAGCCCAGACGCTGATTGGATAATCTGAAGGACCATCAGAAGCGTTATTGGGGTCATGTACGAGCCCATTCACCTATCTGATTCGGACTGCAGATCGCGACTGTCAGGCGGGTCAATGGTGAGCGAACAGCAGCTGTATGACAGACGAACCGACATCATCCTTCCCTACAGTTCGCAGCATTGGTCACATCACTGCATCAGAATAGTACCAGGAGTGATACGCACCTATTCCCCACCCATGCCGCATCGCCCTTGCGAACGCATCCGTCCTGGCTCGCACCTAAGGCGAATTTCAGTAAAATCACACAAACGTCAAACTCCTCATACCTCTTCCTCGAACACCATCCTCCCATTCTCCTCATCCACGAACCACGGAATGTCGCGCGGACGCACCGGCCTTGTCGGGTGTCCTCCACGATAGTCGAGCATGACCTGTGGCAGCGTCAGATCATCCGGCGGCGGGACGAGTGGCGGCGCATTCGAGTGGAAGATCGTCATGGGCGGCAGCGAGTCCGATGACAGCAAGAACGATGGGAGGGCGACGAGTCGCGGCAGATGCGTGCGATGCACGATGCCCACGTCGTGATATATCAGCTGCAGAAGCGCCTACATGCTTCATGGGGAAAGCGCTGAATTCTCTTCCGAAGTGTTCGGGTAGAAGGATGATCGGGTGATGGTTGGCTGATGTCTCTCCTGAGATCTGGGGAAGATAGGCACTCCTCTCACGGAAAATGGGGCGTGGGTATCCAGACGCGTGTTCGCTCAATCTGCACTCTGTTCGGATATTCGAACCTAGCACGCACCGACGATACGGGCAGTTATGTGTAGATGTGCAAACATCGAACAGCGCCTGTGTCAGAGAAATGCGCCGAAGTCTGTCTTCCGGCAACCAAGAAGGGCTTGCCGGATGCTGGTCAGCAAATTGGAAATGGAGGTACTGTCGCTGCGACATGTTCGGCAATGGAAGGCCACGGAGAGGATACCATCCGCGGGTATAAAACCTTGAGTGATCATCTTAATTCATGTGCACCGTGCAAGATGTTGTGACGTCTGGGCCAAGGGTATGCGGCTGAAAGATACTCGGTGATGCAAGGCGAAGACGGCACCATTCGTGAGCAGCACATTTGACTACTACCTCACCGTCGCGCATATGCAGCATTGATGATGTGGCAAAGTGGGTGCCATTATGCAAAGCATCGTGATTCAATTTAGCTCCACGCGCGATATACCTATCACTGAGAACCGCATACGCGCCATGGCAAACTCACCATGTCGACAGCCCGTCTCAATGTTCCATGCAATTCCTGGCACGTAGCGCAATACCGCAAAGGGACGACGAAACACATAAAGAGCAGACCCTATAGCCAGAAACTAGAACCAAATCGCCTTTGGCATCCAGAGGCCTCTCGGAGTCTCATCACAGCCAGCAAAAGTCAGAGCAGAGGCTATCCCAGAAAGCATCATCTTCTCTCTCAGGCTATGACATCCAAGCCCGTCATGTCACGAGGCCGCAAAGCATATCAAAGGGCCAGCATAGGTCGACATCGCAAGTATCCACTTTGCACCATCGAAGTGAACGTTGGGAGTGAAGGTGCGCCGCCTTTCGCCCGTACGCGTCGACGTCCCGGAGTAGTTCATAAGACCAACAGCTGGCAAAGGCAACAATCCACATAAGAACGATCTGCAAGTACACAGTAGAGAAGAGTCAGGGGAGCTGCTCAAGTGGGCGTGCATATCGGCTGGTCCTAGTAGACATGATCATGGTCGGAGAGCAAGGCGCGTCGAGAAGGGATGTGATCGACATGCGGGTTTCATGATCGCGGAGTCTGGGATGACCTTATAACAAGCAAATGATCATGCTGCCTATGTAAAACGCTTTGATGGAAAGCGAAGAAAAAAAATCAAGATGAAAAGAAGTGATTCATTGACGGGAGGAAAACGCTGACAAGAGCGGGATTCGAACCCGCGCCTGGATACCCAGATGAGAAGACCCACAATAGCAGGCAAGCTTTCGCTTGAGTCACACGCCTTGGACCGCTCGGCCATCTTGCCATAACCTAAACATCATTTCAATATATGATAATCACCGTAACAAAATGCCTCCGCAACATATCGTCAGTACATATATACACATATACACTTTCTTGAATCTCCCCGCCGACTTACAGCCTCTCTGGACTCCGATACCACACATCCATCCTCACAAAATTGTTATACACCTCTCCCGATGCAAGCAGCGTGTCATTCGCGCTCGGACCCTGCGTCCCAGGGAACAGCCACGCTGCCAGTGGTTCATGAAACTCGAGGAACGCCGCAGCTAGCCCGTAATGACCCCATCAGTAATCATGATACGCGAATGGAACGAAGAGAGGAAGATGAGGGAAGGAAGGAGGACGTACAGCACGGCTCATACCCGTCGCCCACCGCGCCCGATCCGCCGTGGATCTTCTTCCGCGCCTGCTTCGCCGGGTCCGCAAAGTTGTTCGAGTAAAACTGCACGCCCGACTCTACGTACGACACGTTCGATCAGTATTAGGCGTTGACGTGAGGCGGAGGGAGAGGGTAGTGCGTACGGTTAGTGTCGAATGTTACGCGCAGCCCGCTCTTCGCGCCTGCGAGCTCGACAACGGGCTCACGCGCCTCGGTATCGAGCACTCCCTTGAGAAGGTCCGTCTCTGCTGTGAGATCGGACGCTGCGAGGCGCGTGGGCGGAATGGGCACAGAGCGATCGGAGAAGAGGTAGAACTCGTCTGCAGGACGCGAATCCAGCCCGAACAAATGATCAAAGCAAGTGGCGCATCGAGCGACGAATGATGTCAAAAAGAGGAATAGATTGAAAGGCACAGTCAGTATAGAACGGTATAGGGCGGCGAGACAAATTCCACACCGTATCCATTCGGCGGGAATCGTTCGCCGATCGTGCCCGTCTCCTTCTCAGCGTGCGCATGATGTGTACCCTGAACCGGCAGGAGCGAGCCAGCAGAGTTGGCATCAGATGCAAGCAGGATGGTATTGTCCGCCTATATGATGGATGATGAAGTAGCAGAGGCGATGCAAAGACGCCAGATCGCACCTTGATCTTGAGCTTATGGTCCTTGATGCTCTGCCCTTCCTGCAACGATGCATCGAGATTGAACCCCCAGTGCTAGGAAGCGCGCATCAATCTCGATAAAAGAGGACGTCGGCGCATTGCGCTCACCTGCGTCATATTCAGTGGCGTAACCTTGCCCTCATCCAGCAGCTTTGCCCTATACACAATCAGCACACTACCAAGATTCCATTCCTTCCCTTCGTTCACCGGCGGTCCCTTTGGCTGAACGAGCCCCACGAGCACCTCAACGAGCAACCGCCCGGGATATCCCTCCTCACCATCCTCCGAGATCCGCCTGAACACACACGCAGCAGGGATCTCCGCCATCGCGGTCGCGAGCTCTGCCTGCGTAAACAGCTCTGCCTGTGAAGGGTCCATGAGAGGCTCCCACGGGAGCGAGTCGAAGCCGACGGGTCCGCCGTGGAGGGAGACACTGGGGGACTCGTTCGCGATCGCAGTGAGGCTGGCGGAGAGGCCGTTGCGCGCGAGGGCGTGAGTACCGACGGGGACGCGGTTCGCATAGCGGCCGATAATGGTGTTGGTGTATTTTTGGGTGATATGGCCGGCAGGTGACTCGGGACCGATGAGGATGTCGTGTGTCTAGGGGCGCGATTAACGTCCCTGGAGACGATTAGAGAAGATCGAGAGAGAACTGGCCAACCTTTCCGTCTGCCTGCACGAAGAGGCGGTGCAGAGTGAGTCCGTAGGGCAGGATCTGTGCAGGAGAGCGGGGAACGTCGTCAGAACGACCACACTTTGCGCATTATTGCTGAGTGGCTCACCTCGAGCGCTAGACTGGGTGTCAGCGACGGGAGGGTGAGGAGTATGGGCTGCAAGGACGGATCGCTCTCTGTCGTGGCCATCGTGTGTCACTGCGAATGGATGGGAGAGAAGGGAGGGAAGGAGACGAGGAGGGCGAAGGAGGCGAGTCAAGCAGGCCATTGTGGCGTATCTTATCGTCATATGCCTCCGCTGCGGCGCTCCGAGATCGCTCCGAAGATCCATCGATCATCGATCACTGGCCACGCCCTCGTTTCTGCGTCCACTTCATGTCTTTTTTTCTGCTTCAGTGTTGCTTTACTGCTCGCGCCGAATGATTGAACTGGCCAGTAGTAGCAAATGCTTCAAATTAAAGTTAGATCTCGATTGTCCTTAAACATTGGCTTTAGTATCAACCCTACGAAACGAGCGTCTACAACAAATTCATAACTCGCTACATACGGACTTTTTCTCGCAATGACCAAAAACCTCTGCAGAGGACATGATAAAGCAATACCTTGATGTGATGGAAACCTGTCGTCATGACGTTCATGTCCAAATCGGAATATGTTTACAATGCAGCGCGCAGTGCTGGATCGACGGCTGGAGATGTGACTGGGTTGATCCACTTTTTTCGCCTGTGTACGTTGAGCGGCAGCAGTGGAACTTGAAGGAGCACTGACATGACCACCGGCTCGCGGAAGGGACAATTCAATGAAATGATCGTCTGAAGGGTTTGCGTGCGAGCGTCTCGTCCACAGCCCTACCTCTCCTCTGGACAATCGTTCCAAATGCGTCTTCTCCATCTGGCGTCTGCGCTGTTCTTTTCCGTCTCCCAAGTACTGTCGTCCTCTTCTCCCCTCTTCCATTGTTGTTTTCGTCCTCCCTCTCCCTCCGCCGTTGCTCTCGTCTCTGCCTCTCAACCCAGCTCAGCTCGCTCTTCTGCGCACCTATGCACATGGCTGATGCATCTCGCCATCGTCAATGCATCCTAGCCGCTCGATGATAGGCTCTATAGATCGCTCAAATCGCACTCTATGACCCGAATGTGTTGTTCAATTCGTCGCTGAACAATCATACGACACCTTCTCCTCTGGCTCATCCAGACAATCATACGTAAACGTCGACTTACTGTTATCCAGTTTCATTTCGGAACTCCTTTCCAGCCCAATCTGCGTCTCCTCCTTGCATTCGAACGTCGGAAGATTCATGTGGTTGAGATATTCGGTGAGATCATGCTGGAACGGCGCGCTTGTCTGCACTGCAATCAAAGACCTGTGTCGGTATCAAGTAGCCTCTCGTCTTCATTGGGTGCTTCTATCTACTCATCTCCTCATGCCTGCAATAACGGACCTGCATCAGCTTATGCTCGTGTCTCTGTGCGACACCACTGCGGATTACGCACCAGTCGGCATAACTAACGAGTTGGTGGGCCTCGTCCTTAGTCGATCGTAGGTCATGGAGGATGTGTTTATATCCCGAGTCTCACTCCGCCCCCTAATCTGACTCGAAGTTGTCGCTTCTTCTTCTCTCCTTCATGGCTGCTGCTTTATCTGGTGCACAACGCACTATTCTGTGGTATCCTCCCGCGTACGATATCCGCGTGGAGACGGTGCCGATTCATCAGTAAGCGCATCATTGGAAGATGTTTGAACCGTGGCCTGCTTGCGCTTCAACGCCGTAGGTGGTCATGATCTGTAGGATCGTTGACCCGGATGATGCGATCGTGAAGATCAAGGTGGAAAGGTAGGATTACGATGGTTCGCAGGGTCCCTAAAGCACTACCACACTCTAGCTAGCGGGCCTATGTGGAAGTGATCTTCATATCTATACAAGATACGAGGATATAGATGCACAGCAAGTGCCGGGCAACGTCATGGAGACTCACGAAGTGACCGAGCGGCGTCCGCTTTAGGATGCTGGAATGCCTTCGCGTGGTGCGCGTGCTAATAGAGCGCGATTTTATCCCATTGGAGCTTGGAGGTGGGTCTGCAAGTCCTTGTTTTCCTTGCTGGCGTTTGTATTGCTGGCATACGGACACTCATTCGATCATGATGAGTGGCTGGCTGAACTTCTCGAGCGAGGAGGAACACCGCCATCAGGCGTATACGTAGACCAAACGGAGGAATCAGCGCCGGGTGGCAGTGACAGTCACGAGCCCAATACGCTCGGGCTGCTGGATGCTTTCCTCGATAGTCCTGTGGGCCATAATCCAAGGAACACCTTCTCTTGCAATTCTCGATATCCTGCAGTAGCATCGCAGCCAGCACTGCAAACTCCTGTTATTGACTGGTCATTAATTTACCCAGATACCCTTTCCTCCCTCGCACAAGAACACCGCCTCTCGCATTCACCGGCTTTCACGCACGTTCACAGCTCGGTTGGACTCCATGCTCATGGCGACACCCGATGCGCAAGATGATATATTCGATGCCGTCGAGAACGCGGTCCGGATCCCATATGGCCTGGAGGACAGCGTAGATTCGACAGATCTGCGGCGAATCTGTGAGTAGCGTGCTAGAATGACCAAGGATCGAAGGCGATCAAGATGTTGGAGTCGCTGTGTCGTGTGTATGCGTGGCGAAAGATGCAAAACGATATCACTCCCCCGATGTACACTGCCTTGCCGGTCTTCACGCAACCGAAGGCACCGAAGACCCCGGATACCAGCGTTGACCGCGAAACAGAGTCGGTACGGGTGAGCACTCTTCGTATGTATCAACAGAAATTTCCTCTGAAACCTCAATTTCAGGATGACACAAACACTCTTGAGCGACAACGCGCGGCATTCGTTGTGGTTGTCGGCATCAACTCGTACGGCGAGGGCTCCGAGCTGAACGAAGCGAATAAGGACGCGCTTTCAGTTCATGACTTCCTTCTGCACGATCTCCAAATTCCCGTGGCCCACATCAAGCTATTTCTTGACCACGACGCTACGCGCCGGTGTATTATGGATGCACTACACACACACTTCCTTAATAACCCTGACGTCCGCCCTGGCGACGCAATCATATTCTACTTCGCAGGCCATGGGTGCAATCGCGACGTCTCCGGCAGGCATGCTGTTGAATGCAGATCGGCTCGTTATCAGTTGGTATAATGCATTCATCATACCAGTGGATAACGAGCCAATCTGAGAGCACGAGCTGCAGGCCTTTCTCAAGGATCTGTCCCGCGCGAAGGGCAACATCACCATCGTTTGTGACTGCTGCTTTACTGCGGGTGCACGCGGGACGGCTGGCCCACCCCCGCCCACCCTGGATCGTCAGGATCGTATTCGGGATCACAGAGAGCACGACGGGTGGACTCGTTCATTGTCGCTGCGATATAAGGCCTGCCCAGATCGGGTTGTGCGCGCTGTTTAGCAGGCGACGATGATTGGAAGCGATGTGCTCCTCACTGCGTGCCGCGACTACGAACGTGCGTTAGAGAGCGCAGAGGGCAGTGCGTTTACTGTCGCGCTGTTGAAGCTCCTCCGGTCCGTCCCGCGAGATACGATCACGTATAAGCAGCTTATGGATAGTTTTCCGAGTTTGGGGCTGAGACAACATCCTGACGTTGTGGGCGAGCATGAGAATGATCCTATTTTTTGGATTGGGTGGCAGGAGTCGTCCTCTGCTGCTCGGTGATGGCGTCTCTGGAAGTCTGACGCTCACTCATCCTCGACATGCAGAGGCGCTCGACGCATGCTGTGGGGACTATAAAACAGAACGCTTCTGAATTTTGAAGATATCGCTTTGTTGCTTCAAGGCGCCGTTTTGATTTGTATAGCATCGGAACGCTCTCCATCTCACTGTCTTTCCACCCATTGGATGTTTGGGTTTCTTATCTTTTCTGATATATTTCGGCACATTAACGTTTATGCCTGTTATAGTTCCTCAGCAGACGATCACGACTGCACCACCACGTATAGTACGTTCATTTGTTTTCGGAACAGCGAGCGCAAGTTTGCGGCCAAACACGCGAGAGACGAAGCCGACGCATATTCGTGTGGCGCCCCAGTGCATCGCTTTTTGAGACATGGCTGTGCAAAGAGGTCCGTTTGCGCTATCTGGATACGGCGGGTTCTGGAGCGCATCTACGAGTACATCGACTGAAGATGGCTGCGGCTCGGATCGCGTTATCTACGTTCCATGCTCTCGACCAGCTGGGAACAGTGCCCAGGCCCACCAGGCTTCTGGTACGATAGAACACGAGAAGGTTGAGGCGGTGAGTAAGACAGTGCTGCTTCGACTGTCGTCTTTGTCAAAGTGCTGCTCTCCGTCTAGGTAGCAAGCTCCGCGAATCCTTTCATGGGCTGGCTGATCCCCGCGGAGGGTACGGATGAACGAGCGGTATCCCGGACTGGATGGGTTTGTCGAAGCAGGCCAGATCTACGCTACTTCGGAATCCTGACGCTGTTAATGATCGTGCCCAATGGGATCGATCATGAATCACGATCGATCTTGTGGAGGCTCCTACGAAGCCATCGTTCCTGCAGATCACGGAACGATGCTGTCTGCAGGTCACTATGGCCTCGACATGCGAGATCTCCTCGAGAACATCCTCCCGAACAACAGCAGTCGAGGGCGAGGGTGATGCTGTGTGCCCTTTCGCGTCACGGAGCTACTTCAAGAAGGAATGCAGCTCTGTGCCATTGGCATATGTCTTCGACGATGTGCGCCGATTAGGTGTCTGGCCGGTGGTAAATGCTTTTAATTCTTGAGACACTACAAGCACATTAGCGATAGAGCCCGGTACACGCAGTACATATTGGACTTTCTCTTGCAGTTATCACAAATACATCCACCGATGTGGATTCATGGCTACATCGCCACTATCGCAAGCCAGAATGAAGCAGAGAGGTATGCGAAGATCTTGTTGGTCCTGCCATCAAGTACGCTGAATAACATTTTTTTCAACGGGACCGATAGCTACCGAGATGTTGATATTGAAGAGGCTGAGCCCGCGTTACTTGCTTATCCAGGCTTTCGTCCAGGCGATCCAGCGCGTCCGATGTGTGCTGCGCTCTCTCGTTTGCATCTGCATCTGCCATCGTATGCTGCCTATGCAAAACCAAGTGTACTCTTGAAGAGGTATGCACGGCGGTGAGTATGTCTCCAAATCAAGGCAAATCGTGTTCTGTAACACTTGCCTACTGGCAATCGCATGGAATCCTACTCTCGTAGCTTTCTCACTGCCCATATATCAGTGCCCCGCGTCGTGATCCTCATTGCTAGGAACGTTTACTACTGACAATCCTTTCGACAGCCCCATGTACACCTTTGCTCTTGGCGACATTTCACACCAATTTTTGACATCGTATGCCTTGCAGGCTCACTAGAACGGTAGCCTGTGTAGGACTGCTTTAGGAGCTATGCTGCGATTGCATTTCTGGTCGCGTTCTGGGAACATCATAAGGAAGCAAGACAAAACTTTACCGCGATCCCACAGCTCAAACGTTTCTGCACAATACGTGCTGGAAGACTCGAGCCTCTCACGATTGGCATAAACCTCACAATGCATGCGATTGACGTGAGCTTTCCATTACGAACAGTGGCGAGCATTCTGAATATTAAGTATACAAGATTAGGGGAAGTATGGGATGACGCCTGACTTTCAGAAGGGACAATTCAATGGAAAATAAGCCCTTGAAGGGTCTGGTTCCCGAAGCGTGCGAGCGTTTCATTTACCGTTCCACCTCTTTTCTGTACAATATTCTGAAATGCGCCTCTGAACTCCGCGAACGCATCGCCATACGCATCTTCTCTGATATATTGTTCGATCGGCTTTCCTCGAACCAAAAGGCCCGACCACTGCTTTGCCCAATGCGGACGCGGATTCATCGTCCTTCCGTCTTCGCCTTTAGTATCATAGCTTGTCCACCGATCCGTGACCTCCTGGCAAAACGACGCCCATTCGCTTTGTGGACTGGCGAGCGTCGTGAGGACCTCGATGGATACGGTTCCACTGGCGTTTCCGCGTTGCGGAGCGAGAAGTACAGATGACTGTCCTGTCAGCCGCATTTCGAGCGCGACGCGGGCGGGGGCATCATGGATGCGGGCGTACATCGCGGATATTCCGTCCCACCTACTGTTGTGTTAGAGCCTATCCTAGATCCTTCGAAGCGCGAACATACCATGCACGTTGGATGGTCTCGTAGTGCCGCTCGCCATTCTGCGAAGGGATGGGAATCTCCCACTCCGAATCCCAGCAGCGGAAGTTCTCTACTCGCATAATCGTTGGTTGTGTAAATGCCCACTGGTCGAGAGAGCTCAAACTTTGTGACACTCACGGATTCCACGTCTGAAATGCAGCGCTTCGCTCACATACGTCTCAATGGCATTCTTCGGGTCGGTGATGTTCGGCAGTACAGCCATGGTCGCGAGGCCAAACAGCCAGGCTTGCATGTAGCCGGGCAAGTCCTTCCAGAGGAAGAAGCTCGTAATCTCCTGCGCAACCGTCTCCTGGAGCTACACAGAAGTATCTGAGTTGAGACTGTCGAAAAAGGCTGTTGATGTACAATGCGGCGTACCTCTTGCGACTTCACGCCGGTAAGCCAATTGTTGCCAGGATATGCTTGCAGATGGGCATCCTGTGGTGTCATGTCACGTCCTGACGAGGTGGAAGGTAAGTGAAACTAAATTATATCATAGTAGAGGCATGCTTACGTTTCCACGTATTAACCCAGCACGTTTCCTGGTACGGAAACCAGAACCATTCGAGGTAGTAATCCTCCTTGCACCTTCGTACGAAATCTAGCCGTGCTTCCTCCAATTGCTTCTCGGTGATCTTCTCCTTCTTCATCATTTGTTCCACTTGAGGAGGCAGTTGATAATCCTTCGGCGGCGGTATGGCCAACGGAAGTGGCTTGTGCACCGGCATAAGCTCCGCCACACCCATCTGATCGAGCTGCAACGTGACCGATATCACAACACCCAATAAGCCGAAACATCCGCTCGCAGCGCGGAGCTCCTCTGCATCATTCACAATCTGCAGACCGCCATGCACGTCCACATAGCACACCTCCACGACGAGGTCGGAGAGCGTGCTCGACCCAAAGCCCGAGCCGTGGCAGATGGGCCCGTTCGTCCCGCCGAACGTGACCTCGAGCATAATCACGTTGAACGGCATGCACCACGTCTTGTTATCGAAGCACCATTGGCGGAACTGGTCGTTCGTCGTGCCGGCCATGATCTTGCAGAAGGCCTTCCTCGGCGGAGGCGCGCGCCCGGCGATGGTGGGGACGAGCTGGATCCCTGCGAGCTCCGTCGTCCAGTCCTTGGGGGGTTGCTTGTAAGGTAGCTTTGTGAGGCTCTCGACGGGAAGGAACATGATGATGACGTCTCCGTCGGCACCGTACAGATCTCTATAAGACTTGTCAACTCATTTACACACCTCATGCAGTTCACTGTGACTCACGACCAGGTGTGACGGAACGCGGACACGCGGACGCGTTTCCCCTTATTCGCAGCCCACTTCACCACCTCGCATACCCCTCGGATCGTCCGCACCACAAGCGTATGGCTCGGTGTATACTGCACAGTGCGTCCCCAATTGAGGAACTCCGGACTGTCGCGGTGCTCCAGGGAACGCACAAGGTGCTGAACGTCGTCCTGGACCTTGTGTCCGGCTTCTATCATCTCATGGAACGGTTCGAGCCGAAAGAGCGCAGGCTCGCTGGACTCTGCCTTCCGCGAGAGCTCTGAAGTGTTGACGTCCTGGAGTTTGGAGAGCGCTTGCTCGACATCCTGGAAGTGGTCGACGTGTGGCTCTTCTACCGCTTGGAGCAGGGTGATCAATGGATTGAGTCGCTCATCGTCTGCGACCATGGACGCTAGGATCTCCTTGAATTTGTCATGCTACCGAAAGACATAAGCCACCGTGGGTAAGCTGTGCGGTACTCGATCCTGACTTACGCTGAGCGTTGCGTTAACATCCGTCGTTAATGGCAATAATGAAGTTGGCGCTGGGGTATTGCCAATCATTGTTGTTAAGGACGAAATTGTGAGTGACACCGTACACAGGAGTGAGAATAAGTGAGGGTGCCTGCTGATGGGTATGGCACACGCATCGCGACGATGGGCGTTGACCCACACTATGTACTGGAGGGCCCATCAAACTATATCCATCGGAGTGATAGGTACCCGCTATCGCGAGAGCGCCAAACATGCCATCAGCGAGAGCAGTGCCCCTGACATATCACATGTGAAGATGCGCCGCGATGGGCTACAGATATACTGCAAAGGTGTCGGTCAACCATGACGAATTGGTGCAATTGTTGTTCATGAAGAAAACATACTACCACTGTGCGCGGTCGATGATGAGGTACGACATTCTTGAGGTATGTAAGCGGTCTTCGAGGAGGAAGGTACGCAGCTGACGCAGTGCGCGCCCAGTGCGCCGAAAATCGGACGAGAGGCTGTTCGAAACCAACGCCGACGGTGCAGTAGCGCCTATCTATATGTAATTTCGAGCAAATAAATGGTCATGAGATGGGCGGATCTACCACGGAGATGCACCGCCAAATTTACTCACTGACTATCTGTTGACTTCATCACAGCGGCCGTGCTGTCCTACTCGCTGAGGCTGGACTTTCCCTCTTCCCAACTTCGTTTAGACGCAATGGCAATTTCCGCGACCAAAGTGGCTGGGCACCGGCCCTCACTGTTGCGCTGATGTGCTTTGAAAGTAACATGCAGTCGGTATGAGGTCTAACACTGGTATTAGATCGAGTAAGCTTGTTTGCAAGTGACAGTACTTCTATGGACTGTGCCAACGTTATTTCAGATCTGCCTATGCTCCAGCTCTCGACTGATCATCTAAAGCGCGCGACAAAGTCTACTTACAACTTGGACACCAAAGCAAAGAACAGGTTAAGCGCTTTCGGCGTCCGCCGTAGCGTACGCGAGGGCGAGGGAGAGGCGCTGTCATCGCTGCTTTGTCATGTGGATCACGTGCAAAACGAGTCGTCGGGGTGGCTGCGAATTCTGTTCACGGCGCTGTAGCTCATCGACGGTCTCGTCAATGCTCTGTCTCAAGTCTTCCGACAATATTTACTTTTCTTCAATCTGACTGCTGGGTCCCTTTGTTTTCTGGATGTCCTTGCTCACTCTATCATCCGGTCGGAACCCTGGGTGGGTCCTGGCCTGCTCAACCATCAAGCAATGTATGCCATCATGCCGGCCGAAGTCGTAGTCCCCCTAAATATGATATAAAACAAGTTCCCGATTCACGAGAGGGCATCCGCACATCAGTATGACCCTCCCACCGACCACCCAAAGGGCCCTTGTCCTTACCGACAAGCATGGCGTCTTCGTCGTCACCCACGTCCCCGTCCCCCACCCCGGGCCGGGCGAGTTGCTCATCAAGATACATGCATCCGCTCTCAACTCTCTCGACATCAAAGTGCAGGAATACGGCGTATTCGTGACACACTACCCTGCGGTGCTCGGCATGGACATCGCGGGGACCGTGGAGACGCTGGGCGAAGGCGTAGTTGGATTTGAGAAGGGCGATCGGGTGTATGTCACGATACACTTTCTTGCGTGATGCGATCTTTGACGACCCGAGCTAGCATCGTGGAAAGTTACTACGAGAACTCGCACGCCGGGTTCCAGCAATACACGCTCGCGCGCGCCGATCTCGTCGCCAAGGCAGGTTTTTCGATCAAACCCCGTCCCATATACCAAGCATTTGTTTAATCTCTTTATAGATCCCGTCTAATATCTCATTTGAGCAAGCTGCTACCCTCCCCGTGGGGCTTCTCACCGCCGCACTCGGCCTTTTCACCCAGAATCTGCCCCTAGACGCTGCACACGAAGGTGCGGGTCCCTTTGGCAGCGCAGGGCTCTTTCCGCCCTGGGACGCGGGCGGGCGTGGGAAGTACGCAGGAAAGCCATTCCTCGTCCTTGGTGCGTCTGGATCTGTGGGACAGTATGGTGCGTGCATTACACCATGGTTTTCCATCATCTACTGGAATGCGGGTTTGGATCCCCTTCTTAGTTGTTCAGCTCGCGAAACTCGCCGGTTTCTCCCCGATCATTGCCACCGCCTCCCCGCATAATGCGCCCCTCCTTCTCTCCCTCGGCGCAACGCACTTCCTCGACCGGCACCTTTCCACGTCCTCTCTGCGTGCCGAGATCGCGAAGATTACCTCTGCACCGTTCGAGGTCATCTTCGACGCCGTGTCATTCCCGCAGACGCAGCAGGAGGCGTACGACATTCTCGCGCCGGGAGGGACGCTCGTTCTCGTGCTGCCGCCGAAGATCAAGGTGAAGCCAGAGGAGCAAAAGCGCGTGGTGAAGGTCTTCGCGTCAGCGTATGTGTGTGAGCAGAATCGGGCTCTCACGTCGAGCTTGTTTAAGGCACTTCCCGGTCTGCTCGAGGAAGAGACTATCAAGGTACGTCCTCGTCACAAGTGCAGAACTGACTATAGCTGACTGCGTGTACAGCCTAATCCGGTCGACCTCGTCCCTGGAGGATTGGGCGCTATTGCAGACGCGTTGGTGCGCTTCACCAATAACAAAGTGAGCGGCGTCAAGTTGGTCGTGCGCCCTCAGGAGACACAATGAGCCGTGCATGAACGGGATCGCGTGTGGCCGAACTGGACACATGTGAGACGACTTTGAACTTCAGATCTGAGGATACATACAGTTATGGAGGCTGTATTTAAATGTGTAAAACATTGATACATTGCGCGACTCGTTATAGATGCGGTCATCGAATGCGAACAGATGTTCGTTATGTAAAACCGTCCTGGACTAATGCTCGAGGAAGACATGTCGGTGGCGCTGATAAACGCGTCGCGCGTAAACAAGGTGCACTCATTCGCTCGCCCACGGTCTGGTTGTTTGACCATCGAGGATCTGACTGCAACGTGTCTCTCTCTCTCAAGAAGTGGCACTTCACGTCACTCGTATGGTTGCAAGTGCAGTCCGAGGATTGAAGACTGTTGTGACACCCCCAGCAGCCCCTAACATCAATATCTATATAACGTCGAGGGGATACTCCCTACCCTCGAGATTTCAAGCCAATTCCCTTGATTAGGATAGCCACATACTGGTTGACGACACAAAGAGGCTGTAAAGGAAAGGACCTCCCGGCGATCGCTATCGATGGGGTGGCCAAGAACCTGTAATAATTACACTACGCTTGCCTTTGCAGAACTTGACATGACTATCATACATCTGGCACACCAAACCGCGTCTTGCTCTAATTATACAAGTGTATGCCGTGCTCTTCGAAAAATCCGAGAGCGAAATCCTTCGTCTAAAGTGCTGACGGAGGCATTCACTGTCACCGAGAACGATCGCAAACGCGAAAGAGCACGCTATCTTGGTGCTCGCCCACAACCATGGGATGTTGCCGCTCGCCCAGGCTGACAAGCTTCGCCATCAGCCGAACGTACGTCATGGTGGTCAAACAGGTGGTCGAGCAAATCAACCGAAGTCGCCGCAGGAGAGCTCGTGTGAATGCACCGCCACGTACGGAATCCATCGCCAGCTCGTCCTCCTGACATGCCGCGAGCAGAACGTGTGATGTCATGTCACGCTCCCAGTCGTTGTCTCCTGTGAGACAACGGACACAACGCTTGCGCTCGCATTGAGCGGTGCGCTGGTCGAGTCGTGGTGGGGGATGATGCAGGGGCGCCGCGGACCTGACCGCACGTGTCGCTGCGGGACCTCCTCGAGAACATCCTCCCGAATAACAACAGTCGAGGATGAGGGTGATGTTGTACCCTTTCGCATCGCGGAGTTGATTCAAGTAGGAATGGAGCTTGTGCTCGCATATATCTTCGACGATGTCGAGGCTGTCTGCTGATAGCATCTTTCCGCGATCTGCAGGGACGATGGCCTCGTAGGAGCCTCCACGATCGTTCACATAGCGAGCTCCATGCCCTGCGAAGTAGATGATGATCGCATCGCCACGTTTGATCATGGGGTTGTTGAGTAGGTGGTCGTGCAAGGTTGTGATGATGGCTTCGCGAGTCGCGTTCCGGTCAAGCAGCAGGGAGATGTGGTCCTCTGGAACATGAAGAAAGTGCAGCAGGAACTCTCGAACAGCACATGCGTCCTTGACGGCTCCGTCCAACCATTGTGCATGGGCATACTTATTGGTGCCGATCACGACAGCCCAGACTGGATCAACAGGTGCGCTGGAGTTCTGTGAGAGATCAAAGTGAGGCGAGTCAGATTCACGTAATATTGAATATGAGGCGAACATACCAAGGATGCCGTTTTTAAGCGAGGAGGCGCAACTATGGAGGTGGTAGTTGGCTTAGGAAGAGGAAACATTGCTGAGAGGTAGCACATAATCTCGTCCTTCTCTTTCTTCTTGTGATTGAGTTCACTGGATAACTGCAGGTATCCTTGGATTTCCGTCGGCTTGTCGTTCTTGGGATCTTCTCGTAAATCGGCGGCGGCTGAAAGATCGAGATAATGCATTCCAGGATGACTTCTGGCTGCACACAGAGCAGCGCTTAATTTCTTGATTTCGTGATCTAAGATCTTATAACGTTCGTACAAGTCATCACGATAGCGTACCGAGCAGGCAACTGCAACCTGCACCATTCGAACGTCGGATATCAAAACTTCTGATCCCCCAGATGTCATGAACTAGGACAACGAGATTGGAGACCGCGGGGACTCACATGGATAGCGCTTGGTATGCACAGCTCACGAGCCACGATCAGTTTGTACAGCCGATCTACAGTTCCTGGGAAATAGAACGTGAAGGGTCGTGAAGGTCGTACGTGCCAATACTCGCGGATTGTAAGACCCAGTCAACCGTTCGTGGAGAGCGAGTCAATAGTGACGGTGATACATTTTGCCCCACTTCGTATCAGCTGCGTTATGTACTCGACGCTGCAGCCTCGCCGGAGCGTATTAGGACAAGTATTGCCTATGGACTCGATCGCTCTCCCCGAGATCTAGGCTTGAAAGACGGCGTGCGCTTCATAGGCAACGTAATTGGTATGTCTTGCTCCGAGTGTCACGACGGTTGTTAGAACATTACAAATGCCAGGAATGTCAGGAATACTCATACAGACAGCGATCCAGACCATACTAGAAGCATGTTCATCTGTAGCACGGAACACGAAGGACTTAAAACGACCTGGCGAGGTTACTGATAAGGAGCCCGGGACGGAGAGATGAGGAAGCAGACGAGTAGCATCATAGGATGACGTGTACTGAGCTGTGCACTGAGCATTGAAAGGGACCTCGCGAGAGCTTTTGCCGAACGGACAACGCTCTGAGCGGCAGGCGCATCGAGGACAGGGACAGGCAAGCTCGGCGCTCTAGTATGAGGAATTTAAACTCCGACCCTCGTCTGCGATGAATCTCTCTGCTTATTGTGCAGCCTTCAGGCTTCGAGTGCAACGATTCGATCAATATGAGAGAAAATCGATCCTAAACAAGGTATCAAGGAGAAAGAAACGTTCCGATGGACTGGCAGAAAACGGTTATTGCAAGCTATGTACAGCTTCTGCTTCGCTTTGTAACCATATTTCATAGACTGCACTCGCGATTACGTGCTGGGAGCACATCCAGCAAGAGGTTCGAAAAATCGAGTAATGTATTTATACTAGACAAACTTTGAGCGCTGTGCGAGCGTGATCGATTACGATCTCCACTGTCTCTAACGCTGCCAGTGCGGCTCGCTTCCAGCGGTCATGATCATCCTTGATGTTTGTTGGAGATTATTTTCATTGTGATCTTGGCCACAAACGGCTAAGATCAGTTACCATTTCAGGTCTTCGTATCTACAAATCCACGAAGTTATGGACAGCTCAAGCGTTGCGCGTCAACACATCCACTTTTATGGTAGTCCACTGTTCCTTCAAATTCAACTACCTTGCTATCAACTGGCCAAACGGGCGAACTTATCCTGTGCATATAAATGCTGCGGCCACTCCTTGGGAAAAGACCAAACCTGCGTCAAAAATCTACATGTTTCTGCGCCCTGAATCTGAAGCATGCGTGAGTCAGACATTCTACGTGTGATTGAAGGTATGTGTCTACGTACCACGCATAGCAATGCCCACTCACGATCGATCCGATTGGGCGTGATCGGCAACAGCGTCACTGCAGGCCGTCAGGATTTCAAGTTAGCATCTGGCCCGTTTCAAAAATCCCATTGAGTCTAAGATCACCGCTCGTTCACTTTCAACTCTCGACTCTGAGCATCCACGTACCATATCCTCCCACGTTGGTCGTGACTTTCCACAATTTCCTCTTTAAAGATGTCTATCATCAATACAGCCCGCGCACGGTTGACTTCGGTCACAAACGCAAGTTTGCTTCGTCATCTCAGCGTCAACCACCGTGCTCGTACTGGCGCCGGTGCTATCGACTCCGCAGACCGTCAATTACCTGTCAATACCATCCCTCCGACTGTTTCCCATGAATCAATCCGGAAGAGCACATTGCCAGAGAGCTCGAGCTTATCGGCGAGGAAGGACGAACTTAGTGCATTTGGAGCCCTTCAAGGAGAAGATAACTCTGTAATGGACGGTCCAGGTTTGGTTTGCAACTTTCTAGCCGTTGAGGTCCTTTCTTAAGTGTCACTTACTAGGTCTACGTGCATCTACATCCTCATCGATCTTCGATGATGACGACCCCGTTCATCTTGGCCTCCACCGTGATCGACGACCTTCATGTGCTCCAGTGGGCCCGTCCATAGTGGCCAGTTGTCAATTTGCGAGTAACACTTCGCTCAACGTGGGACCTCCTTCAAGTTCCTCTTCCATGAGCCTAATAGCCTCGGCTTCTTTCGACACGAACACGGTGCATGAAGCATTTTCAGCGCTTTCCTTGTCCTCTTCGCTGGCTTCAATTACGTCTCTACGGTCCTTGGCGTCCCAAGATGTTGGGCGCTCCTTCATACGCCGTGACACTGCTCTGCCTGATCTTCCACCTGCAACCCCGGCGACGCTAATGAAACTCGACCAACCTGCCCCTCTTCCAGAATCTCCACTCGCTCACTCGCGACGCGCTATTCCAGCTCCCTCCATGACTTTCACCGCGACTCCTTTTGAGTACGTCTTCTCCGCCCCTCTCTGGGAAGGTCTCTCGGCCGAGATGATCACCGCTTACGCGAAACGAGGCGACCGGCTGGCTGTCACCGTGGATGCGTGGCACCAAGAGAAAGACTGTGCGTAGCTAGTCGCGGGCTGGGGTCCGTGCAGCGCTCTCACCGCTTATATTGACGCGTATATTTGTCTATTAGCTCATTGCGAGTGGGAGATATCCTTCTCTCCGCACGATGTCGACTTGACCACAACCCGTGTCCGGTTGGAAGCCGGTGGCATGCTCAACATCACGATCCGTAGGAATGAAGAGTATTCTGCAGAGGCTGATCCGCCTGTTATCCGATGTTAGTTGCAAACATGCTCTCGAGTTTGTCTGCTCAGTGTATGATAGAGCGCACGGTGCTAGCTCGCTCTTCAGATCGATACCCTTGACTTGTTCTCCGTTTTCGATCGTGCTTCGCCCGCCTATCTCTTGCTAAAGAAAAATGCCTGTTAATCGACTCTTGAGGTCACAGGTGCCTTATTGAATCAGCTCTGTCTGATACCGAGCATGAGGCGGTAAGAGTGTCGACGAGCTCCGCCATAGCGAGCGTATGAATGTGAGGGCATGGTAACGTATTGGCTGCCGAATCGAGTGCAGGGTGGTCTTGCCGCTATACCTGCATCAAACTGGATGATGAAAAGAAGCAGTAGCGACCAGCTTGCCCGTTGAACGTTCCCTACTGCCTAGACAGAGAGCAGCACTTTGACAAAGACGGCACTCAAAGCAGCACTGTGTTGCTTACCATCATAACCCTCTCGCGTCCTATCGTACCGTAAGCCGGGTGGACTTGGGCACTATTCACAGCTGATCGAGCGTGAAAAACCTAGATAACGCGATCCGAGCCTGGCACCGTCGTTCGATACAGCTTTCTTCGCTCCACCATACGAACACCGCATTTCGACACCCGTCTCGGCAAGCCATCTTCAGTCGATGTGTCCATCGATGCGTTCCAGGAACCGCTATATCCAGAGTGTGCGAATGCACCTCTTTGCGTAGGCAGGTCTTGAAAACGTATGCGCTGGAATACCACACAGACTTGCGTCGGCTCCGGCACATGCATGTCTGGTCGCAATCTTGGGCTCGCCATCCTGAAAACCCGTCAACGTACTAAACATAATCATGTATTCGTGGCCGTATACTCAGATACTACAACAAACAAAAGCATCAATGCCCCATAACATAACAAATAATAGAAGATGAGAAATCCAGATATCCAAAGAGGGGGAATAATGAGATGGAGAGCAGTCCGATCCTATACAAACGATCCTATACACGGCGCCTTCGATCAAACAAGAACATCAACGCCCCTCAATATATCATAAAAGATGGGAAATCCAGATATCCAAAGAGGGGAAATAACGAAATGGAGAGCGATCTGATGCTATGCAAAATAAAAGCGGCACTTTGAAGCAACATGAAGCAATACCTTCAAAATTCGGAAGCTTTCCGTGCTTGAATCCCACGATACGGTTTTGAGCGTCTCTGCAAGCCGCGCAAGAGTAAGCGTCAGACTTGCAGAGACGCCATCACCGAGCAGCAGAAGACGACTTCTGCGAGTCATGCCACCCAATACGAAAAAGAGTATCATTCCTATGGTCCCCTACGGCGACAGGGTGTTGCCTTGGACCCAAATTCGGAAAACTGTCCATGAGCTGCTTGTATGTGATCGTATCTCGCGGAACGGATCGGAGGTGTCTCAACAGCGCGACAGTGAACGCGCCGCCCTTCGCGTTCTCAAAAGCAAGCTCGTAGTCGCGGCACGCAGCAAGGAGCACATGTGTCGTCATGTCCCGCTCCCAATCATCGTCGCCTGCTAAACAATGCGCACAATCCGATCCCGGTAGGCCTTGGATCGCAGCGACAACGGACGGGTCCACGCGTCGTACTCTCTGTGATCCCGAATACAATCCTGACGATCCAGGGTGGGCGGACCAGCCGTCCCGCGTACATCCAGCGGCAAAGCAGCAGTCGAGAATGACGGTGATGTTCTTGCCCTTCGCGTGGGACAGATCCTTGAGAAAGGTGTGCAGTTCGTGTTCACAGATGAGCTTGCCATCCACTGCCATGATGTATTCAACAGCGCCCTTGCCGGGGGCGTCGTGGCTAGACCCGTGTCCTGCGAAGTAGAATATGATTGCGTCGCCAGGGCGGATGTCAGGGTTATTGAGGAGGTGTGTATGTAGGGCGTCCATAATGCACTGGCGCGTAGCGTCGTGGTCGAGAAGTAGCTTGATGTGGGCCGACGGAATCTGGAGATCGTGTAGAAGGAAGTCGTAAACTGAAAGCGCGTCCTTATTCGCTCCGTTCAGCTTGAAGCCCTCGCCGTACGAGTTGATACCGACCACCACGGCGAATGTCGCCCGTTCCCGCTCAAGCGTGTTTGCACCGTCCTGCAATTTAGATTTCAGAGAAAACTTCTGTTGATACGCACGAAGGATGCTCACCTGCACGGCTGTCTTGCGGTCGACGCTAGTACCTGGGACCTTCGGCAGCGTGAAGACGGGTAAGGCATCGTGGGTTGGGAGAGTGATCGCGTTATCGTTTTGCTGCTTTCGCCACGCATACACACGACACAACACGTCCAACAACTTAATCGCCTTCGAGTCCCTGGCCATTTTGGCACGCTGCTCGCAGATCCGCCGCAGGTCTGTCGAATCTACGCTGTCCTCCAGGCCATATGCAATCCGCACCGCGTTCTCGACGGCCTCCAATATGTCATCTCGCGCATTGGGTGCCTCCATGAACATTGGATCCAGCCGAGCTGTGAACGTTCGTGGTTTTCGCTCAACAGTATTTGTACCATCCTGCGATTGAGTTTTATAAGGAAACTTCTGTTGAAACACAGGAAGGACGCGCACCGCTACCGCCGTCCTGCGGTCTACGCTACTATCCGGGGTCGTCTGCTGCGTTGAGACCGGGGAGGCATTGTGCATCGAGGAGCTGATATCGTTTTGCTTCTTTCGCAATGTATACATAGAATACAGCGATTGCGATAGCTGGATCGCCTTCGAGTCGTTGGTCATTCTTGCACGCTCCTTGCAGATCCGCCGCAGGTCTGTAGAATCTACGTCGTCCTCCAGGCCATACGCGATCCGCACCACGTCCTCGACGGCCTCGAATATATCATCTTGCGCATCGGGTGCCGCCATGACCATGGAATCCAACCGAGCTGTGAAAGTTCGTGAAAGCTGGTGTATGTGAGATGCGGTGTTCTTGTGCGAGGGAGGAAAGATTATCTGCCTGGGAGGCTTAGATTGATGACCAGTGGGCAAAGGAATTTGCAGTGCTGGCTGCGATGCCACTGTAGGAGATCGAGAAGTGCAAGAGAGGATGTTCCTTGGATTAATGGCCCACAGGACTATCGAGGAAAGCGTCCAGCAGCCGCGCGTATTGGGCTCGTGACTGTCACTGTCACCAAGCGCTGATGCCTTTTCAGACTCGTAGGCGCTTGAGAGCGGTGTTTCTCCTTGCTCAAGAAACTCAGGCAACCATTCTCCATGACCAAACGACATGCGTATGCCAGCAAGAGAAAAATAAGAAGTTGCAGACCCGCGTCCAACGAAAAACGCGCTCTAGCCAGCGCGTTGCCGCGACACCAAGCAATCGTCCCGGCACGAATACTATGCAGACTTGGCCATATTCTCGAGAGCTTGCAGATAATGTAGCCAACAATGGCGATAACGCAGCCTGAAAAGCTGCCGTGACACCGCAGTTCAGCCTAACCAGGTCTTCTAGGAAGAGAAGTCCGAGCACAGCGATTAGAGATGTGACGGCAGCAGAGACACTACGCGAAGGCATTCGGGCATCCTAGGGAACACGATAGCAGCTTGCCACGCTAGTATGGACTCCGTAGGCGCAAGTCGCACGAACAATGTGGTCAATTGTGCCGACTGGTGCGTAATCCGCAGTGGCATCGCACAGAGGCACGATCACAGCTGATGCGGTTCCGCTACTCCAGGCATGAGAAGATCGTCAGACAGAGGGACGCAGTGAAGATGAGAGACCACTTGATGCCGATACATGTCCTTGATTGCAGTGTAGACAAGTGCACCGTTCTAGCATGACCCCCACCGAGGTAAGACCGCGGTATCGCAACCACATGAGTGTTTCAACATTCGAATGCAAGGAGAAGAACCTGGTTGTACGCGCAAAGGGAGGAGACGCAGTAGGAGTTTCAAGTCGAACTTTATGTATGATTGTCTGGATCAGCCAGCAATAGAGCCTGCCCTGGAGTTGACAAGACGCGTTGACGACGGCAAGATGCATCAGCCATGCGCACAGGTGCGTAAGAGAGTGAGCTGAGCGACGGAGACAAGAGCGAAGGAGGGAGAGGAAGGACGAGGACAACGGTGGGGAGAGGAGGATGGTGGGAGAGGGCAAGGGACAGCGCAGACGGGCCACCCTAAGCCAGCCATCCGAATCAAAAAAAAGTTCATCCAACTGCCTCGCCGGAAATGCGCCCATCCCAAAGGGGGATCTAACACCGGGTAGCGCCCAACAAGTCATCAAACCAGCTGCCATTACAGGCGATAATCGACCGGCGGAAAGTGATCTCCGGGTACCGTGCGATGCCATGACACATATGACTAATGATATTTTATCACGTGAATTAGATCCGAAAGTCCAGATGAACTTTATTTTCCTCACCCGCCCTACGACGACTGGCGACACAATATACAAACAATCAGCCACCGTGGCTGATGGAGCTCGGAGGCTAAAAGTTGGTGGACGTCAAATGCCAGGCGCGCCATGGGCAGGTCAGCGTCGCATTGCGTACATACGAGACCGCCGCGCGTCGCATCTCCTGAGGCCTGATCGATGATCGATGATCGCCCATCTTTCCACCCGGGCTACTGGCTTCAGCGCTATTCGAGAAGGCCTCCGAAGGTAAGCCAACTTGCGCTCTACACTACACTATGTCAGTAAGTAAGTATTGCTCTTTAGGAGAAGGCTGTCGGTTCACCGCCCAAATAAAAGATCTAAAGTCTGGCATACACCCACTGTTGACCTTCGGCCCGCCTGCTTCGAAAAGCTTCCAATGCCAGGATGAACAGCTACAGTGTTTGCTTACGCGCTTAAAATTTCTTCCGCTATTGAGAACTGCTTATGTGTAGCAGTTACGCCGCTCGTACTGCCGACGAACTTTCAATCGGAATGTCCATGCGTTCGCACAAACCCAATTAACGTCAACCCTTCGGCTGTGGCACAGGAACATTCGAGATCACGCCAGGTTAAGGGTTCCTGTGCGCCGCTTCTCTGTTGCTGAAGTGAGATGTGCAATGGCCGGGCCTGAAGTAAGTACTTATTCGCTTAGAAGTTTGCTCCATTCTCAATGGTAAATCGAGTCAGGCACATGGTCATCGTCACTGGTCGTGGTCACAATTGCGTCTCGAGCTATCCGGAATATAACCTGGCGTGCGGCTTGTTGAAGTTCTCGATCCGGCCAGAATTAGACCTATTATATGCATTCAAGAAAAATGTTCTGATTGTGCCTCTCTGAGCAACGATAGTGCCCTACTTCCCAACCCAGCAGCAACGCGCGTGTTGCGTACGACTAGGAACCCAACGTTTCATCGGCTCGGTGTCAGCCACCCATCTCCCAACATTGCTGCTAGCAGTGAAATAGCAGAACGTTCCGCCAACTCAATCCAGTCAGTCACTCTCTGGCGACCTTGTGGGCGCAGACCGCTGGACAAGCTCGAAAAGTGGCACCGGTGAGAGACGACGAATCCGAGGTCAGGAACTGCTATGGCAGTGCCACATTGAATCCATTCAAGGCACGTCTCTCAAAGCCTACTTTTTTAATGCAATAATCTCGAGGCCTGCATGAGCGAGCATGTCAACAGTCCTCAAGAATGACTGCGTGCATCCTGTGCCTCATACGTCGACAGTTGTACTTTCGTTCGGTTGACCAGTCTGGCGAACCTGCGCTTCGAAAATGGCGCATCGGGCAGTACCATGTCATGGAGCGTTTCATTCGGATCCCCGCAAGCACTTTGGCCTTGGCTTCATCGTCGATAACAAAGTCAGTGAAATGCAAACTCGGGATGTTGCTCTGCTCCTTGTCTGTACTGTGATGATGTGGGATCATTCTCTTCTCCTCCTTCTCACCTTTCGGGCATCCACCATTGCATCCTATCCCAACCTCCTCACAGCAACACATATTCACTATATTTTCTCTGATACTCTCGGGTCTGTCACAAGACACGCCAAATTTGATTGCTATATGAGATGACCTCCCTCTGGGATTGCTGTTTGGCGACGACTCATGTCCTGTCAGCACTTGGAAGCTGATTCTACGCTACGGTCTATGGAATCGAACCAACTCCGCAGATGTCGCGTTGCTTGTGGATCTGCCGGCTATCGCATTTGTACGACCTGCGAGGGAGTCTCGACTTCCAGGCTCAGCTCTGAATGTCTGCATCTCATGTGGTAGTCCCCTTTTATTAGTATATGCTATTCGCCGATGCTGGACATTTCATTCGTTCTCTTCGGACTATCTGTTGGAAGATGTCTTGATCTCGCATGGTCCCGGTCGAGCTTTTGGTCCGACACGGAAGGCATATCATCCTGGCCTAGCTACAAAGCGATCGCGCTGGAACTGGTGCGCGAGCACCCTAGCAGTCTTGAATCGAACGAACCTGCGCACCTCGACCCGCTTCACAATCAGCTATCTGTTCCCTCGATCGCGTCTCTTATTCCCTCTCCCCGCCAACATGGTCGCTTTAATCCAGCGCACGATGCTCGCACCGATTATCCTTATACTAACTTGTCTCCCGCTCCACGTCTCCTCGGGAAACGTCCCTGAAGGCGGCGCCTGCTCTCCCTCCAACACCCACCTCGACCCTTCCTCTCACAAGCTCCTCAGTGACTGCTCCGAGACGACATTCTGTTCCAGCTCTTCGTCCCAAGCAAACATCACGACTTCCAGCTCCACAACGTCCACCAGCAGCACAGGCACCTGCCAGCCACGTCTCTGTCGCCGGGACGAGTTTCCGTTCTGGTACTACCACGCTGACGAATCCGGCCCATCAAATGCTTCCGCTCCCCTTCTCACCCTGCCTCCGCTCTGTCCAGTCGGGCGTTTCTGTCCGGACGAGGGTAGCGGGTGTCGGCCGCTCGTGGCGCCGGGACAGCCATGCGAGATGAACCGGGACGACCAGTGCGCACCACCACCTGGCTCCGAACGAATAGCATTGTCGAGCGAGCGGAACGTCAATGGGTCGATATGCTTACGCGAAATCTGCATGTACGTATTATTGGAGCTGCGACGACGAGAAGGACGTTCGTGATTTGCTGATATGCTTGGGCGCAGGTACGCGAACGCGACGCTCGGCCAGGCTTGCATCATCGACAACAACACCTACGTTGACGAAGGCCCTGACGGACGACAGTATATTAACAGTATCGCCCGGGACAACTGCCGCACCACTCCGCCGCAGCCACTGTATTGTGACGGCGCGTCCCTGCAGTGCGTCCCAAGCAAGCCACTTGGCGCAGCATGCGATGCAGATCGGGAGTGCGAGAGCGTGCATACACTCGCCATTGCATGCGTCATGATGCTGACTCACACGATGCTTATAGTACAAATGCGGCTCGTCGGGGACCTGTGTCCCTTCGCCGTCGATGCCCTTGCGAATTGCGCCATGGAAGTACGCCATCACAGCCGTCTGCGTTCTGGCTTGTAAGCGTTGTTCCTCGCTCCCTGCTGCACAACAAGATCGTCATGACTGACGTTCCGCTTTACAATACTTCCTCCAGGTATGACAGCCACCCTCGCCGCTCTCGTCTTCGTGCACAAGCGTCTCCGCCTCCAGCGCTATCGCGAGATTCGGGAGTATTACGATGAGCAGATGAGGTGTGTTGCTCTTACTTTGCAATGACAGAACATTATTGATGCATAGTTTTCGCAATATAGTTTACGTCGTTCGATGGCGGCTCTTCACGCAGCCGTTGCGGAGAGACATCGTTATTCCGATGCCTACGCAGATGAGGACGAGAAATGATTCTGAGCTATAGTGACTAACCTCGAATGCGTTCGAGTGTGTTGTATGTTGCTCTTTATTGGGGATTAAGCTGCTATGGTGAATCTATGACGGAATGAAAGCATATATACAGCGACAGAGAGTATCCTACATAGGTATGTCATATCATAGTGCATAATTGATCGATACCCGAGAAGCTATTCGACAAAGCCCATCTATCCACTCACCATCCCGTTGGAGCAGAGTGACCACCGTGCACCTCACCGCCTCACCGATCCAGGCGATCTCATCCCAATACGGCGGAAGACACGTACCAGGATGAATCGGCCGGCCTCCTCAACGCGCTGCCCACCTTTCGCAGCCTCTGTCTTTGGCATTGATGGCTGCTCCTTCTGCACATCTACGCGTCCCGGCGCTTTACCGAGGAGCACAGACGATTCCCTGCTCGAAGCCTTCTCTTCCTGAGGCAAGCCTGCCGACGAGCCCTTCATCCATACCAGTCCTTCTTTCCCCTTGAAGATACCTGAGTCGCCAGACCCACTTGTGATGGGCGACTCGCACATGGGAATATCAATGTCCTCCCCTGCGCATATTGCGCTGTCGAACGTGTTCGAGTCCGCGTCAAAAACCGTCGTGTGCGTGCATGTGGCGAGGTCGAGCTTGGGCGGCCTCCGGAGCGCGCCTTTATGGTCCTCTGAGGAGGTGTGGCGCGGTCAGTGATGATCGTGTCGATGTTCATACGTGATGTAAATACAGGTATGGAGAACGACGACAATTGTGGCGCGTCAAATCTCGCGCCTGTCGCGTTGATCATCGGCATTTCACTGAAGGTTGTACGTACCTGGGTGCGGCCCTGCCAGACGGATTGTGTCGAAGGTGTATTGACTCATTGTCGAGTTAGGAAATGCGACGAAGAGAAGGGACCTTTGACAGAGGGAGGCTATGCGATGGACAGATGTTCAGCGTCCCATGAGGGGTGCGTTTGCGAGGCATAAGTTTGGCCCATTAAATATCTCGAGCTCATGCTTATACATGAGACTCGGGCTCGTAGTCATGGGCGACAAGCATTCTTGCGGCGTTTTTGCACTGTCGTCGTCAAGGTACTCGTAGAAGCTTCAAGACCGTAAGAACAGGCCAGCATCAGTGGTCTGTACCTTGATCTATTGTATCTTTTGGGAGGGGGATTACAACGACGGCGACGATGGCGCCAGAGAAAGTGTGGAGAAAAGCATCGGAAAAGCACGCCGAACAACCAGCTAACAAGCCATAGTCGAATGTTATTGTTGCTGCATCGGAAAATCCATCTAGAACTGAGGATAGTGCGAGAATATGGACCCACAACAGATTCAACTGGTAAGATTCTGCATTGAGCGCTGTGCTCGATGATTCGGCAATCAAGTAACACCAAAAAAGAATGACAAACAAAAGCACAGTGTTTTGTTCTTCGTCTAATGGGCTGCGATGTAGGCAGCAAACGGATTGATCTCGTACTACACCTCGAACTTAAACGCTGACGCAAACCGTCTGACTTTACATAATTGATCTGATCAATTGCAATCGTCGATGATTTGATGCCAGGACCGGCTTTCCCCGCAATGCACACCAGCCAGCTCGGCCACCTCCAAGTCCTTCAGAGCATTCGACTTGTCACAGCGTTCGACCGTTCTGTCAACTCTGAAAAATGAGCGTTACACGTCCGTTCAAAGCGACCGACCTGTTCAAGTTCAACCACATGTGAGTGAACGGCACGCCTTGGGCGAATTCGATATGAGAGAGGAATTTATCACGCATACAGCAACTTGGACATATGGACAGAGACGGTGAGTGCTCTCCAATTCGTTTAGTGTGAGACCATGTGTAATTAGCAGCGATACGTAGTATGGTATTAGCTTCTACCTCGGCTATCTCTCGCGCTGGCCCGACCTCTGCACCGTGCAAGAGTCGCCGAACGGAAAGATGATGGGCTACGGTGCGCGCATCCTTTCCACCTCCCTCACACCTTCTCACCCATTCTCCGACACATACAGTTCTCGGCAAAGCCGAAGGCAGTGGCGCAGACTGGCACGGGCACGTCACCGCGCTCACCGTCGCGCCATCCTACCGCCGGCTCGGCCTCGCCCGTAAAATGATCGAGCACCTCGAGCGCATATCCGACGAGGCTTATCGTGCCTTTTTCGTCGACCTCTACGTTCGCTGCACCAACGGCACTGCCATACAGATGTATGAGGGCATGGGCTACAGTGTGTACAGACGAGTGAGAGAGTACTACGGGAGCTTGGGCTTGGGTAGGAACTCGAAGGATGAGGAGGACGCGTTTGGTGAGTGGCGATTATGTTTCATTCCGGTGTGGGTAAATAACAGCACGTTTCGCAGACATGCGAAAACCGCTCTCACGAGACCCCATGCGCCGCTCCGTGCGCTCCAACGGACGCGAGATTGTCGTCAGCGCACATGATGTATCATAGTCTCTACCATGTCAGCCTCTTCTCTCCTATCCACACACATCTACACCGGATCTCTATACGGCAAAAGCCTTCGACACTCGAAGCAACGTCTGCAGTAGGTGAGTGTGCGGTGTATGATTTGCTATCAATTTTGCATAGTACGAATGCATTCGTGAGTCTCGAGATCTTTCTCTCTACGGGTTGCCACATTACCCCATCGCGATGTGAATACACTCGCCACACCAAAGTTCTCGCCGAGACGTCACACACGATAGCGGGCGCTTCCGCTATGCATCAATGCTTCCGAATATTCTTCATCAAGTTCTTTGTTCTAAAAACTGTAGTGACCACACCTTTACGATTTGAATGGCCCGATAATTGAGTTATTAATGTATTACGATGCTGCGGTCCAGATGATAAATTAATGTGATCTACAGCAAATGTCTTGTCACGCGGCGAACAATGTCCACCGTCAGAAACGCTTCTGCATGCAAAACACAGACGATCAGCATGCATTTAACCTGAGCCCAGAACAATGATTGAATGGTTCATCAGAAGAATAATGGTGCAATACGTGCACCGAATATAAGCCGGACGTAGATCACTCCTCTTCCCGAAGGCCAGCCCGTCCGTCTGCATGCCCACTCTCGCAGACAGAGGCGCACAAAGCCAGCCTCCCGAAGGGTCATATGGCCCCGGCAAGCTTTCATCTCGCAGAGAAATTCCACTAGACAGTCGACTCACCCTGAATCACGGTCATACTGCCACTTCTTCCTCCTCGTCATCGTCATCGTCATCCGTAAGCTCCTCTCCCTCCTGCACGCCGCGGTGCCTCTCCAATCCTGGCCGACGCGCCCACGCGCGGCCATCGGTATATGGTTCGATGCGAAAGGGGAAGAGGAGGGTATAAAGAGGGCTGCGTGTTCAAAAGTGAGTTGAATCTGGCAGACTGGTCAGTTTCCTCGTACGTACTATCCATCCTGGCCAACATTGAAGAACAGCTCAAGGTTTCTCCGCTTTCTGAAGATGTTCCACATAAGAGCGAACGAACGAATAGCGCCCATTCATAGCTTGCTCACCCTAGGTCATAGGAATTCACGAATGTCTACAGCAGAACATATCAGACTACACCTCACGCCAAAGAGCGGAGCGTCCGACTCACCTCGCCCCGCCCTTTCGCCATCGTCCGGTACATCTCGTTGTCCGCCGCCTCCACGGACGTCTCCCCGCACGCGATACCATACAGGTGCCACGCGGTCATGATCGTCACTGCAAAAAAGAGGATGGCAGAGAGTATGAAGGTGATGACGAACGCGATTGGAGGGGCATAGTAGTCCCACGTATCCTAGAAGGGAATATCGTGAGAGACGTGTGGAGAAATGGGGACGAAAAGGGAGACGAACGTCTCCGTGCCACCCCATTGCGGAAAGGACGTGCGGCCAGCCGGAGATGGCGTAGCAGAATGTGGAGATCGAGAGGTATATGCTATGAGATAGGTTAGTTCTGAATGTAGCCGCATGGATGCGTCGCACTGTCACGTACAGGAAGAGCACAAAGTGCCGCTCGTTGTGCAAGCCGACACACTGGTTGATCCCTACCGCCAGTCATGCATACACTTGAGCGTGCAAACGCTCACAACGAGATAAACATACACTGCACACAAGTCAGAGCAGAGTTATCAGGCACGAACGACACCACGTACTGGGCAGTGATGGTCATACTTCAGCACGCAGCGGTTGCATATCCGACAATGGTGAGACCTCTCGCAGCGCACACCCATCAGCACCTCCTACCCCCCCGTACCAGCTCGATTACTCACCTCGGGCCTCATCACAAGACACTTCCGACACCGCCGCATGCTCGCTCTTGTGACGTTCAACAACTCCGACCAGCGCACTCCGCCCGGCGTGCTCGTCCTTTTCTGCGCCCACATCCATCCCGAGCGCGGTTCCGGCGACAGTGGCGGGTCGTCTATGAACCCCGGCGGGATGGTGCACACCCAGTAGTAGTGCATGAAGAGGTTGAACGCGATCAACGCGCATATGGGGGTTGTGAGCCACAGGAGAGGCAAGGTCGGTTGTATCACCTCGACTAAGAAACGCATGCAGTAGGCACAGGAGTGATCTCGTCAACTGAAAGACTAGGTACTAGGTACTTACAGAAACAGAACGCTCCGCTGGAGAGCAGGATGACCCCGAGGGTAACGAACAGAGGGCCGGCGGCGCCTGTGATTCTGTCCGCAATACGCTCAAGCCTCCTGAAGCATCTGAAAACTTGTCTCGCGCAGATCATGCGGTACCACTCAGGAAAGGGTTTAAACAGCAAGATCTAACGAAGGAGTGCGTGGTCGCAACGAGCGCAGCGTCCAGGTTGCACCTGATGGTTAGGGTGGAACAGCGACTTGAGAGCGCTCCCCGGAGCGCTGCGCCGCGGTTGCTAGTCAGAGAGCCTGAGTGAAAGACAACCTGCAAAGTCTCGTAGTACGTGCGAGCATGAACCAGCATACCCAGCAAGCATTCTGCGCTATACAGTAGTACAGAGACAAGCATTACATTCCCGAAAGGCTCGAGGTCATCATGAGCGTGTAGGAGTAGGACGAACGGAATTATATCCAAATATCAATACATAGCACCCCGCGCCGTCCATAGTGAACGAGAGAACGCGACCTATGGGCAGCATGTACCGTCGTGCGGAGATAGTAGCAGCCGTGGGGATGAAGCAGGGAAACTCCGGGCTCTAGCTAGATCCAACCGAGATATATATATGAAGAGACATCTGCAGCAGTAATACGAGCGAGCGGCAGGCCGCTCACCTGCCCCTCCCAGGCGTCACAGCTCTGCGAGGCGTACCTGGCGGCTTCCGCGGTGTTGGCGGAGGCACACCCGTCAATCGACGCTCTGCCACGCCTGGAGCGTCCACGGCACGCTGCACCTCCCTGACAGCCCGCCGCGCCGCATCGCCCACCTGCGCCTGCGGCCGCTCAGCGTCCACGCGGGTGAGCGCACGGAGGAGATCTTGCGGGTCCGTAGTGGGCGGTGGCCGCGATCGGCTGGGCGGGAAGTATAGTGAGAGTGCACCCACGGGAGGAGCTGTGGAGGGCCCTAGCTGGGTACGCGAGCTGAGATTGAGCATTGCAAATCGGCGGTCGAGGTCTGCTTCTGTTAAGTGTGTAGTTTCGAGCGCAGAGTTCGCGACCGTGTGCAGACGATCCATCTGTTGAGATTTTTCAGCGACAAGTCGTTAGGGACAATGATAGCTATATAACGCACTGTGAACTCTAGATCGTCCAAACGGCTGCTCAAGTTGCCTTCCTTGTCTATCGCAGAACTGACGACACCGCGAGCTAGATCAAGGCTCCTGCTCCCTCGGAAGTATGCAGGAAGGGCCTTCTCATCAACATTCCACTCGTCGACATCCTCAGCTGATGCTCGTTGTTTGCCTTTAACCCTCGTGGATGCGAACTTCTCCAGCTCGGCGAGGACTTCCGTGCGATATGCATTATAGTGGTTCGTCACCTCTAACCAAGCATCCTCCTCAGCTTTCGACCTGACAAACAGCAGATTAGCTTGAAGGTTCACGTATCCACTCGCCGACCACGATCAACGTCACGTGCAACGCACCGTTGGTTGTGGGCATTGAATTTAATCTCGCGCGCTCGGTTCTTCACGTTCTGCTCGTTCTCCCGCTTCGGTTTTGCCGTATCCTCCGATTCCACCACCCCATAGACATTGGTGTCAACGCGTTTCTCAGCCAATGAGCGGATCATCTTCTCCTCCACTCGAGTGAGCACCTGCGCGCCCTGCGCCGATAACGGTGGTGGATCCTTCCCAGGTCTCTGCTGCTCTCCCAGGATAGACGATAACGCCTGTCTCTGTTCTGGGGACTCGGTCATGGCGCGGTGTGTGCACCAAATCAGTAGCTGTCGCGCGCGTGCAGGCTCCGGTAAATCTTGGTCGATGTGCTTGTGGAAACTTGATGAGGGCACTGACGTATGCGGGTATGCTGCTTTGCGATCAGATACTCGTACACGGTGAATGTGGTTCGCACGCTTACAGATTACACCAGTCGCTTCATAGCTTGAACTGATTCGCTTACCACGGCTGAGCGAACGCTTCCTCCTGGACCCGGGACCGTCTCTCATGAACCGATTCCGCTCAATCGTCGGTGTCTCCTGCTGGGAAAGCGGCTGCGTAGTGTCACGTATTCGCTGGCTGGACTGCGGCGCGTGCGATCTACTCGACCTTGGGGGTCCGAACTGGATCTCAGAAGTCAGATGCCCAGCAGAGCGCTCTGCTGCCTGTGATTTGCGTCGCAGGATGTCTGTCTCCGACTGCATGCGGCGCACATCTTCCTCGACATCGTGGTCCGGGCGCACGCCCGTATGAAGCTCCCGCTCCTTGCCCTTCGCACTCTGGGGGAGTGTGGCTGTGCTGCTATCGGCCTTGAACCTCTTAGATGGATGTCTAGATGCGTCGATAGGATGTGAGGAATGGTTTGTCTGGCTAGAAGTGGCCCGCGGGGCCGCGTGCGATGGCGCTGAGCTCTGAGAGGACGAGGATGCGGCAGAGTCCAATATCTGTGAATACGAAGGCACAGCACGTTTGATGACCAGGCCACCAGGTTGCTCCTCGCCGTTCACTGGTCACTCAGAATTAAACCCGACGGCTGCGCCAGACACGCGAATGGCCACGTACGCTTCCGCTTGTTTGACGGACCCGTCCTGTTAGAAGTCTGTCATACGAATGTGAACCAACGCACGAAAGGTAAAATAGCACGTGTTGCCCACCTCTCTCTTGAGTCTCTTTGCTGTGGCTGCGAGTGGGTTTCCATCATCGTGTCCTTTCCGTTTGGACGTTGGTTGAGACTGGGAGGGTATCATCTGGACCTCCACTGTCGATGTCGTGTACATATATCCGTGAGAGAACCCTCCAGAGCGTGAGCAGCGGCGGCAGCGGTGGCGCGGCGCGGACGACGAGGGACGCGTTCACCGACGCGCGCGCGATAGTGATGGCGCAAAACAAACCGGAGTGGCGGACTTCGAAATGGTCTCCCACGCATCACGTCGTTAAACAGACCCGCGGCGCGAGGCATGAGTCACGTGGACTGCGCGCGTTGCCGCGCGTGCGGCATCTCCCGTGACTTCGCGGAGAACGCGTGCGGGGCGTCCATACTGAACGGACAAAATCGGCGATGTCTGATTGGCTCCCAGAAGCACCGGGCGGAACCGGTTTCATGCCAGCCTTATAACAAAATTTCGACGCCATCGCTGGTCACCGCTTCTCTATTCAGATCTCACTCCTGGTCGTCGCGCCGTCTGTAATATTTCTCTAGTCCTATCTTACCTCACGACCTCTAGACTTTTAAGATGCCGTTCAAGCAAGGTGCGCGTTTATTCCCGTGCGGTGAGGGCGAGAGAACGGGCGAGCTGAAGTTGCAGTGGTGTAGGTGACGCCGGCAAGGGTGCTGGTCTCTTCAAGACTCGTTGTGCTCAGTGTCACACGGTCGGTGCTGGCGAGCCTAACAAGGTCGGCCCCAACCTTCATGGGTGAGCAGTGCTTCTTTGCAGTGATTAGATGGTTGGGAGGCTGAGTCCGTGACAGCATCTTCGGTCGCAAGTCCGGCCAAGTTGAGGGCTTCTCCTACACCGCCGCGAACGTGAACAAGGGCGTTACCTGGGACGAGGAGACTTTGTTTGAGTACCTCGAGAACCCTAAAAAGGTGTGTGCATCTTCCGTTGCCCCCTGGATATCTCGTTGAAATCGTGCGATCTTTTACTCAGTACATCCCGGGCACGAAGATGGCGTTCGCGGGTCTCAAGAAGGATAAGGACCGCAATGATCTCGTTACATGGCTGAAGGAGGCGGTACGTCTGGTAACCATCATCCGGGCAGCGCCTGTACTGACAATCGGCCTGTCCAGACTGCATAAGCTACCGCACAACCTCCGCCTTCTGCAAGAGACTCTGATATGGACCGCTACCTACCATACGTCGTGGCTAGACTGGTCTTAGTGCATGTAGATGACCATCACTGTCCGTTCTTGCATACATACACCCCCACTTCTTCCGCCCTGATGCATTAATTATACCATCTCTCGGGTTTGGTGTCGACGTCGGCACACGCTCAGCCACAACGATGAGCAGGTGCACACTCATGATATTTCGTTTCTCATGCCGTTCGTTTTGGGTGATGCGTTTAAGCTGCCGCGAGACGAGACACGCGACGTTGTTCAATTCGCTGCACACGCGTGACGTCATGCAATGTTTGACCTTGTTGTGGCTTGTTGTCCAAAGGCTTTGGAATCAAACAACTGGGCGCTTACTCATCGCTTTGTCTGTGCCACCGTGCCTTCCTCAAACCACATTCAACGCAACTTTGCCTTCTCTCTCTGCTTGGTATAAATTGAACTGGTCTTGCCGATCGAAACTACTCAGTATCTTTCTTCTTGCTCCCATCCTCTCAGATTCGTGTGCAATACCTTTTAATCGCGAACTGACGACGAGACAATGGACGGACCCAGCGTCGAAGAGGACACCAAACACTTTGACTCTGTTCAGGGTGCTCACGATGGAGATTCACAACCAGATCCGAATGAGCCTCTCATGCTGGATGCAGGCAATGGCAGAGTATGGTTGGTGAAAGTAAGTCTTCTAGTATTTCCAATTCCCCATTATGTCCCAACGTATCCCGCAAGATCCCGAAAACTCTCATGGAAAAATGGTCAAAAATTGATGCAGAGGGAGTTCACCTCGCCAATATCCGCGTCTATCACAACGCCAAGGCACCCTCGGGCAAAAAACCGCGCATCGTACTCATCCTCCCGTCGGATCCAGAAACTCCAGACGTGCTGGGCGAACGGTACGAGATGGAGATGGTGAATGAGTCCGTGGAGAACCAGGTCGTGATCGCCGAACGTGAAAAGGAACCTGGGACAGGCAGTCGTGCACGCACGACGATCCTGACAGGGCGGGTCAAACATGAGTGCCATTTGAAACAGGCGTCTTTGACCGCTCAGTATAGACAACGGGTGAAGCAACGGACTATCGCTGCTAATACGCCGAAGCGGAAGACGAAGCCGATCGAGGAGGCGATGCTCGGGCGAGGCAACGTCAAGATGCTTACTAGTGGAGCAGCACCCAACGCGCCCATGTCGCTTTACGTGCGTATACTGATCTACCACAATCTCTCCTTGTACTCACTGGTACCGGTTCTGACCATCTTTTCATCGCTTACGGACATGCAGAAGCCGAAGCCGAAGCTGCAGAAGGGCCAGTACGAGCGCATGGCGCGGATGCCACGCGACCAGCTGCTCGACGAACTCTTTCGTGCATTCCAGGAACATGAGTTTTGGGCCATTAAGGCGTTGCGCGAGCGCACGCAGCAGCCTGAGGCGTACCTTAAAGAAGTTCTGTCCGAGATCGCGATCAATCGCCGCAGCGGCGAGCACGCACAAAGCTGGGAGCTACTGCCGAACTTCAAGGGTGAAGGGGTGAGTGTGCTCATCGTTTTGTGATACTTGTTACTGATATGTGATTCGGGAGCAGATGAAGGCGGAGAACGTACCCGGCCCGAGCCTCTCACAAGGTATGAGCGCTAGTCAGAGCTCAGCGGATGTGAAGATGGAGGAGGCCGAGGAAGATGAGGATGAGGACGAAGATGAGGATGACATGGAAGAAGTCTCATGATGGCGTATGTTATGCTCGTCGGACTGCTGTCGGTACGACTGTCCCCCTTTACCGTATCATTATTATCTGCAAATGTGCAGCTTCACAGTGTATTATATCCTCACAATTGGAACAGAGTGGGTTTTTTCACCGCATTTGACATATGCGTCTTCCCAGAAGCGGATGGGGAGCAGCCTGACTTGAGTCGCTTCGGGAGGATTTCTGACAATGCTGACGGTATTTTCGTGCTACGTGACGAGCTCATGATTACCGCAATTTTGCTTGGTAAGATGACTTGGCAGATCGTCCACGCTCACTAATTGTAGTTACGAATACCAGACCATCCCCACTTGCTTACTGATTTCCCGATCATCGCGATTTAGATCTTCACTTAAGCGGCGCAATTTCTGGTTTCTGGACACACATGTGTATACGCATCAATTTCCCCACATCGCAGCAATTACATCATTTACTGGATTATAACATAGTCCGTCACCATGTCCGCCATACTTCCGACGACGCAGAAAGCTCTCCTGCTTACTGCCAAGCAGGGCACCTTTGCCCTCAAAACCATCCCTATTCACACCCCAGGCTCTGGAGAGCTATTGCTCAAGGTCCAGGCCGTCGCACTCAACCCCGTCGACTGGAAAATCCGCGCGAATGGCATCATCGTGCGTGACTATCCCGCCGTGCTGGGGATGGATATTTCTGGCACGGTGGAGGTTGTAGGCGGGGACGTGCACGGATTCGAACGGGGTGACCGAGTGTGCGCTCAACGTCTACTGTGATCCGCTTTGATTGATTGATCCGATGACGCTCATTCAGGGTCACCCAGGGCTTCCTGACTAATACTCACGCAGGCTTTCAACAGTACACGCTCGCGAATGCAGATATCACAGCCAAGGCACGTCCTCTCTCCACAAATATCTGAACGTCTAGTTGATCTCCGAAGTTTGTCCATTCTGCTTCGGTCAGATTCCGGAGAAACTGTCCTTCGATGCAGCTGCCAGTATTCCCACCGGGCTCGTCACCGCCGCACTTGGGCTGTATACTAGCGTCATTCCCGCTGGCGTAGACTATGGGAGTGCTGGACTTCACCCGCCTTGGGAGGAGGGCGGACGGGGCAAGTACGCTGGGACACCGATAATAGTCTTGGGAGCTTCCGGGTCCGTGGGCCAATTCGGTGTGTTCATAACCTTACGTATACTATGCAATCGGTTCATGAGATCTGGATTTTGTGGAAATGGCTCAGCGCTTCAGTTAGCAAGACTGTCCGGGTTCTCACCTATCCTTGCGACCGCATCCCTTTACCCCGAGACCGTCTCAAACCTGCATACTCTCGGAGCCACACATATCCTCGACAGGCGACTTCCCCTATCCGCACTACGAGATGCGATTGCCCAGGTCACCTCTGCCGAATTCCCGGTAGTCTTCGACGGGGCCTCTCTTCCGGAGACTCAAGCGCTCGGCTACGAGCTGCTCGCACCGGGCGGGTGTCTCGTCACTGTGCTCTATCCGCAGGTCGGACAGAATGAACGGGCGCAAGACGGAAAGCGTGTCGTTAAGGCATTTGGACAGGCGAACTTCCCACCGGAGAACAGAGAGATAGGGAGGAAGCTTTTCGGACATCTGACAGCTTTCCTGCAGGAAGGTATCATAAAGTGCGTTGAGCGTGTTCTGACGGTTGGTAATGTGTGATTTGGCTCAAATTATGGTTGTATCTGATTGCAGCCAAGTCGCGTCGAGCTCCTCTCGTTGGGCTTGGAGGGCGTTGAAACTGGCCTTGAGCGGATGCGCAAGGGAGAGATGAGTGGCGTCAAGCTTGTAACGAGGCCGCAGGAGACAGAATAATGTTATATGGAAATACGTAGCCAAGCTGAAATTGGTCATGTCTCAGGGTTGAATAGCGCTGGTAGGCCCATTTATCAGCGAACACTGGGGTAATCATTATCATTGGAGGACATGAAGCATAGCCTCGAATATCAAAGACTCCTATTTGACTTCACGTTGCGTACTGTCGCCTTGCGTTCCACGACACAATCAGTGGCAGCCACAATGTGCTATGCGGATCCGAACAGGTCACTCGAAGCACGTTACGGGCCTCAGCCATCGATCGCTCCATCTTACACGTCTTTTGGAGCTGATGCATCGACACCGGGTGACGGGTGCGTCTTCGACATCTAAGCTGTGCCCTCTCGCGGACGATTCTGCACTTAAGAGCGCCACTTTTAGATTGACGGCTCGGTCATCGACACCCTATCTCCACAGTAGCGGACCTCCAGTTCTCGTTGACCGAGACGGGGTACGCGGCGGCCGAAATCATCAGCTTCGTGACATTTACATTCTTATGCCTGCGCTGCGCGAATCAACTTGGCCATCATCTCATACCGCGCTGTCAGTAGCATCAGGTCCTCCTCCATGTAGCTTTGGATCCGAGAGTGTACTCTCGTGCTTCATCGATACCGTCGAGGGCTGAGGTTAATATGCAACGGTAGGTCCATTACGATTTTCTCCGCATGATGTACTTCATTTGATATGTTATGTCAGGCATAACAAACCCGAAGCGCTGTGCGAGAATTGTGCTTTCGCTCGACTAGCCCTTCAAGACGATTGCGATAACCGCGCCCGGGTACTGATCTAGTATCGTGGATATCGACCAACAACCCTGACAACCCTCATCCCTTGCCCGGCACAATTCGACCTGACGCGACCGTCTCCGACATGTGTAGTCGACGGAAATGCACGCGTGCAACAGTTCTCGGCGATCCTTGCTATAGTGCGGGATGGACATCAGCTACCGGGCACAATTAAACGAAACCGACCACATACCAATCCATCTCATCAATATACACCTATTTGGGGAACTACAGCTGTGAAAACCCGTCGCAGCCCGCGCCTGTAGCCCAATGTGAAGATCATATGGCCGTTGCGGGGCAGACGTCGGTGCTCGTGGACAACCGTGTATTGCGAAAGCAAAGACTGCGTACATGACAGAGTTACCCTATAGTAGCCTCTCTAGCTCTCTTTTTGCCCTGTATTCTGTCCCAATATTTCTCTCAATGCCAATGGTTGTCCTCACGCCTCGATGCTGACAGAGAGAGTGGTGGCCGCTATGCCTGCCATGGTTGCCCAAGCACACGCACGAAGGTGCAGCGAAGACCGCCAGTCGAGCACGATGATCCGCCGCTTGACAGGAGTGTCGCACGCTGAACACAATCTTTCCAAGGAGCGTTGTGGGCGGTCGACGGCGATGTTGCAGATGTGTGCCAACTCAAGAAGCACCTAAAAGGGGGACATACAACGAGAAAAGACAAGGCAACATCAACAGCAACGGAACATACCTGGTCATTCCAACCAGATGTAATTTTGTTTATGTTGAGCTGGCACCGATATAACGCTACAAAGTGCAACGTGAGCATTGAACACGACAGGGAAAGCCTGCAGATCCACTGCTGAATTAGAGAACAACCGACGAGAACCACCTCCAACGGCAAAGACTTTCATAGACGAGCAGTGTGAATGTGCAAAAACAATATGATTTTCTCCTGAGTGACTGCACCGAGGAGAAAGGCGTACAGTCTTCAACCGGTCCTTTATACACCACCAATCCTTTATACAGCAGCATTTTTCTCACTCATTTTCGAGTCAAATTGCTCAGTAAAAATGCATTATATAGCTACTGGCTACATGATTCATGGCCCATAGGAAAAGATGCAGGTGGCATGCCTGTTCTTTTGCAATATGGCATTTTTGCTGTTCAGAGCTTTTTAGTGAAATATTATTTTGGCTCTCATAGCATGTAGAGGGAGAAATTCTCAAATGTCATCATGCCAACTACATCTACAGTCAAGAGCCATGTTGTATGCATTTATTTGAGCTGACAGCATGGGTGCATCGACCACAGTAGGTGATCGATCTCCGGAGAGGGGGGGATGTCACGTTCTGTCACGTGTGACCTCACGTTGTTCTGAGCTGAGTTGTGGCGAGAGCGTGACTATGCGTGACAGTGTATAGAGGAGTGGGAGACGTGCATTTTGGCCCTCTCGGCTTCTTTTATTTTTGTACATCACAGCTCTCATTAGCCTGCTCTGAAACTTTATGACAATATGCTTTTAGATGTCCTTAATAAGTTTAGATACTTTTTTGAGATGAAAGTGAGAAGTGCTTGTACAGGAAGCTCAAACAATTTGAGCGTATAAAGGACCGGTTGAAGACTGTACAATGCATCAAACAGCAAAGCGACGGAAAGCCCTGAACTAAACTAATCAACAAAACGTAACAGGAGAGACGAAGTGAACACTGACCTTTCCCAAGCAAACCGCACAACAACACAGAAGCACGTTTAACAACGCAGCGGTTCGCGACGCCATGACAGAAGGCGGCGAGGTGCGGTAGACGCTGAGGCGAAAGAACGAGGGATCCGGAGGGGCGACCCTGGGGGCCTGGGAGGCCGAACCTCATGTAATGTAATATTTGTCCCATGTAATGTAATATTTGGCCTTGTTGCAGTTTATTGTCCAAGAGCTTTGGATCCAAACAACCGGGCGCTTGGCCACCGCCTTCGTCAAACTCAAACCACATTCGGAAACTTGCCTTCACTCCCTGCTCGGTATAAACTAAGCGAGTACTTCGGATCTAGACTACTCAGCGTCATTTTTCTTGTTTCCATCCCCCAGATAGCCCTTTTGGCTGAAAGACGTTGCCACGTTGCAGCCGGAGTTCCTCATGCGTGAACATGCTGTTATCAGCAGGGCATTGAGTGACAGCATCTCATCCCCGGACCCTTACCCTGAGAATCACGCAAACCTTATAAAAGGGTGGACCTGCAGATCTGACATTCTCCATCCCTCACCTTTCGTCGCAGGTCCTTGTTAAAGCTACTAAAGGCCTTCTTGGGTTGCAAGACAAATGGCAGCTTCCCGGCTTTTGTATGCATCCTGACCTTATATTGAGCTTTTGATGCTCACCACTAATACTTTCATTATCAGGACGTTCAATGCAAAATGTTTCTCAATGTCTGTCACAGCCTATCCATGTATGTTTGTGGGACTTGTCGGGGTTGCTGTCTTGTTGGCATGGGCAACAATCCGTAAGCGATAAACAGCCTGATGATCATGTAGTGTTATGACTCATGAAATCCCCCATCCTTGATTACTTCTCAGCTCGAAATGTGAACGAAAGTGTCGCATCCCGCCCGCACACCACAGCAGATCATCCAACGTGCACGTCAAAGGCCATCGATCACAAGCCAGATGAGGGTAGCGGGAATCCTACACAATGAAAGAACAACCTGTACGGTGATTGGATTTCGAGTCTTACCACCACTTATCACAAATTGCAGAACACAAAGGGACGAGCTTTTATCGCACTCAAGGGAAGCAAACTCGTTAATGTCAATTCGCCCACGTGAGGGCTCGGCAGTAGTGGTGGGTCAAATTAATCCTGTCCTTGCAGCATGCTGAAATTGAAACGAGAAAAGAATGACGTCCAGACGAATGAGCCTATGTTGGGCCGCAACATGTGGGCCGTGATCATTGGAATAACCAATTACAAACATGGATCCAATAGTCCCGCGCTTGGGGCAACCGCAGATGCAGATGCGTTCCATGAGTGCTTGGAACGAAGATTCGGCGTCCCCTCCGATCACATTGTCAAATTACTGGATGATCATGCGACGAGGAAGAACATCATCGATAGCCTATACGATCATCTCAAAGTTAACGAGAGAATTCGACCCGGCGACGCCATCATTGTATTCTTCGCAGGCCACGGCTCACGCTACAAGTCGCCATGGCATTCTGACGAATTCATCGAGGCCATCATGCCAGTGGATCGCGGTCAGAGCGAGACCCCGAACGGTGAACAGGTACAAGATATCAGTGATCGGGAACTCAACCTTTTCTTCGCGGAGCTCAGAGATGTGAAGGGAGGAAACATCATCATCATTCTAGACTGCTGTCACTCTGGCGGAGGGACACGCGGCATTCGATCTAATGGAGAGATGGCAGTTCGCTTTATGGGTCCAATGGATGACGATTGCCTTCCGATGCTTCGCGCTGCCGAGTCGAACACGAGAAAACGTTGGCCCAAGGGAGCGGCGATGGCGGAATCGTGGACGCCTGACATGACGTCTCATGTACTGCTCGCTGCATGCAAAGACGATGAAGAAGCATACCGCTCTCATGTCGGGGGAAAGTTCACCAGAGCGCTTCTGCGTCAATTGTGGTCGCGTTCGCTAGCAAGTGCAACCTACGTCGCTCTTCTCAAATGGCTTGACTTCCTTGCCGATATTCAGCAACCGGTTGCTGATGGCGAGCACAAAGACAGTCTCATCTTTCGCATTGGACAGAAATCAAAGCTATCGGTAAGAGGCAAATTCTGTACCTCTGTCCATTAGTGATTTTCTCCCGTTCTGTGCAATTCAGCCGATATACGTCCAAAACTGAACATACCGTAAATCGTGGCTGTAATGGTTTCTTCAGATTCCGTTACTACTCATTTCTCTTCCCGGTGTATCTGGCATTCGGGATTCGAGCTCTCCTCTGATGTATCGCTGGTATTATTATCTTGGATGAAGATCCATCGTGCTGGTGTCCTCAAATTATTTTGTAACTCCCCTGACCTCGCGGACAGGAGGTGAATATACCTATCTCTGAGAGGTTCGAATTAGCTATGTATTTACTGGAATCCACGGGCGGGATCCGTAATTGTCATGTAGATGCAGATGTTATCTCGATAGTATCATCATTATTCCCAGAGAGATACAGTTGGCGGTGGGGGGTTGTAAGGCGCTCCATGCTGCGATTGTTAGTGCCAATGCAAAAGGCATTCCCCCTGGCAAGGGATGGCCCTGGTGCAGCAGTTGCGTATTCCATTGAACGAGTGGAAGGGAGAGCGGGAATGTCAGTAAACATGGGGCTAATGGGAACGATAAATTGCAACCTACCCTCCACTGATGTTGATTGCGTGGGAATGTTACGGTCCATCGTGTCGCTCATCTGATCCAACAAATCGAAATATTGAGCATTACCATGGCACGAGCACAGCGGGATTAATGAGTATCATGTCATCGTTGCATGGGAAGGCTGAACGTAGTCGAGCTGGTCGGGACATGAAAGATCGGCGCTCAATACAATTCAACATTTCAAATTTCAATACTGAAGCGCGGAAGACTCGGAGCCCGAGCCGTCACGTTGGTGAGATCGATCTCTCTGCGTTTCTGTTTCCAATCCTCTGGACCCGACTCGATACTGAACATCTCTCTCCTTGCGCTGCCTCCAACATGGTCAATGAACCAGACTTCGCGGCCACAGCCTACATGTGCACGCCCAGAACCGTGAGAAGGACCGGACGGGACGTTCCTCATGATAGGCACAGGGCCTTGAGCTTGAACCTACCGTGACCACGCCATCATGATACGGGCTCCGTTGGAAAGCAAACATACGGCGTAGAATAACAGTGCTCCCACAACTTGAGTCGGGCTCGTGCGAAGGTTGATGTCTGCGGCAACGACGTCGAGGACCTGATCTGGCGCGAACTGGCGGTCAATGTCAAGACGATCCTCAAGTCTCACATAACATCCCAAGTATCCTGCTAGGCATGTGGCGAGTGACACAGTCCTCTCTGGTGCTGTGACTGTCAGACGGTGTGCTTCGCGCTCAGGCCGACGTCGTGATTCGCTTCTAGCCGACCGCGCCATCGGAGCAGCTCGACAATGAACAGCTTGACTGTCGACGGATTGGCTTCCACTGACATGAGTGTACGCTTCCCGCTGTCGCACATGTCCTGCACCGTATCGACTATATATGGCTGTCGTTTGCCAAAGAACTTTGGCGACGCGCCGATACCTGCCCGCAACGACCGTACGACCTCAATATTTGACCGCAGGTGCATGCTCATCGACATGCCGGTGGTGCGATGGCCTTTCCATGGTTGATGCTCGCGGAGGAGGTGGGCGTGTGTCGACGAGGTGAATGGTACATGATCGTTTTCGGTTGATTGCTCCTGCAGCTGATATCCGTCATGCACCATAGCAAAGATCCTGGAGGGCAGTTGCACGCTGACATCCCCGTCGACTGGGAATGTCGAAGACGGTCGCGTCGCGTCGCGTCGTGATGCGTTAGCGTCCAGACATAATGTGGGGAAAACAACCACCTTGAATGGAAATAAATGTCATCTCGAGGCTGAGCGCTTGCGGATGAGTTGTGATAGCAAAGACTACGTAAATGAACAGAGTACTCTCTGGGTCTCTTTATGCCCTGTATCCTGTCCCATCTCTCTGTTGTTTTATCGTGCTCGTAACGCGATGCTGAGGAGAGGACATTCAGGTCGCCGGGATGGCCGCAATGCCAGGTGTGCGTTCGGTTGGTTGGCGCGGGCGTGGCCACGAGCGCGCGGGGTTGGAAAACCCGGTGGGAGCCGAGGTGGCGGTTCGATCATCTGATCGACTGCGTTTGGTAATCGTCAGGCTCTGCCGGCGCCACGCGTGTATCGCTGCCGACATTGACTTGGACTGCCCGCTTACCGCTCTGCTCTGGCACGACCACAGGGGGACAACTCCTGCTGCTTGCTGCTTGCCGCGCCTTCGCTCACGACAGACATGTCTTCGCAAGAGGACGAGCCGCACGACGCCGACAGCAGCGCCCAGAACCTCAAGAAGAGACGGGTGCAGCGCGCGTGCGACGTCTGCAGACGCAAAAAGAGTGCGTATCACGCCACTAGCTCCGCTATCGTCCGCGCTGACGGAATCGAAAGTCCGATGTGAGGATTAGAGCGATGGCAGCTCCATTTGATACGCTGACGGAAGCTAGGTGACGGAGGGCAGATGCCGAACAACCGCTGCTCAAACTGCGTGACATACAACTATGAATGCTCCTACATCGAAGCTGCAAAGGTATGTCGCCGTCCATAGATCACGCGTCTCCCAGTGATGACCGGGCACCAAGAAACGCGGCCCCCCTAAAGGGTATGTGCCGCGTTGCTGCCTGTCCTCCTAATCTCATCAATCTTCAGATACGTAGAAAGCCTGGAAACCCGTCTCGAGAAGATGGAAAAGCTCCTCAACAAGGTGACCCGTCAGCATCGCGGCCTCATCGTGTCATGTCTCGCTGAACCTCCGCGCAGCTGTGTCCCGACGCCGACTTTTCCAAGGAACTGGGCGGTCACTTTGACAAGGCCGCTTGGCTCGCCGAGCGCGACGACAGGGCTGGCCGGTCGACCGCTGCGCAAGGCGTCCAAGTCGTCTCGTCTGCCACTCCCCACGCACAGCCCACCGATCCGGACGAGCTCGAGCCCAGCGACGACGAAGTCATGGCGCACTACACGCTCGTCCAGAGTCTCCGTCGCATGCGCATCAACCCGAATGCGCTCCGGTTCTTTGGAAAGTCGAGCAGCATCATGTTCGTCCGGACCGCCATGGACCTGAAGCGGGAGTACTCCGGAAACAGCGATGAGCCCTTACCAGAGGGTATCCACGCCCGCCCGGAGCTGCTCTTCGGCCGTCGGCGCCAAGGCCACTACAGCCTGCATCCCGTACGTCTCCCTTCCCGTATCACGACTTATCGAATGACGGACGGCCTCTCCCAGTGGCTCTCAGCGCAAATGCGCGAAGAGCTGGAACCGCATAAGCCACAAAACTTCCCCGAGGACGACCTGATGTGGAAGCTGATCGATTTGTACTTTGTCAACGTCAACGTCTACCTCCCGTTCCTCCACCGGCCCACGTTCGAGAGAGGCGTCAGAGCCGGCCTGCATCTCGACGACGAGGGATTCGGGTCGACGGTGCTGCTGGTGTGCGCTAATGGGGCACGCTTCACTGATGATCCGCGTGTGCTCCTGCCGGATGGCGACAAGGGAGAGAAGAACAGCTTGTCGTGTGGCTGGGAGTGGTTCAAGCAGGTGCAGATGATCCGCAAGTCGCTGTTGGCACCTCCGCAGTTGTACGATCTTCAGATATACTGCGTAAGTGGCGCGTCATTCATCCATTTGCATGTGTTGACACCCATATTCGCAGCTCACTGCGTTGTTCTTGCAAGGATCCTCTGCCCCTCAAGCTTGCTGGACTATCATCGGCGTCGGCATTCGCATGGCTCAAGATGTGGGCGCCCACCGCAAGAAAGTCTACAATGCGAAACCAACAGTGGATGAAGAGCTATGGAAACGTGCATTCTGGTATTCGTCTTCCCCTCCGTTTAGTCCGCATATGCTTATATATCATATATTGATCTAATCGTTATAGGGTCTTAGTGGCATTAGACAGGTCGATGAGTTCTGCTCTTGGACGACCGTGTGCGATCCAAGATGAGGAGTCAGTGGACCTTCCTTGGTTGAACCCTCACCTGTCCTCAATATATATTGCAGCTTCGATCTCGACCTGCCGACGGAGTGCGACGACGAATATTGGGAAACCCCAGATCCCGATCTAGCGTTCAAACAACCTCCCGGGAAGCCGTCCGTGATAGCGTTCTTCAACTGTTTCATCAGACTGAACCAAATTCTGGGATTTGCACTTCGTACTATCGTGAGTGGGCCGCCGCAGTCGCAGAATGCACAGGTGTCAATCTTTCTTTCGCGTGTGTACTACAGTACTCGATAAATAAGTCCAAGGCGCTGCTGGGCTTCGTGGGCCAGCAGTGGGAGCAGCACATCGTGGCCGAGCTAGATTCGGCTCTGAATAAATGGATAGACTCTGTCCCTGATCACCGTGCGTCTATCACTCTTCATCGCTACATTTAGTATGGTGGCTCATGCTCTTCATCAGTGCGATGGGACCCGAACAGGGAGAACATCACGTTCCTGAACCAATCCGCCCACCTCTACGCTTCTTATTACATGCTGCAGGTCTCCGTGCACCGTCCGTTTATCCCTTCCCCGCGCAAGCCATCACCGCTATCCTTCCCATCGCTCGCTATCTGCACCAACGCTGCACGATCATGCACGCACGTCATGGACATCCAATACAAACGCACCGGTGGCCCTCTGTATCTCAACATGGTAATTATGACCCCACGGGCATGCACCTCCTCAGGCGTTCTTGCTCACGTGGCAATTCATAGATGGCGACGTTCACCTCTGGGATCGTGTTGTTGCTCAACATTTGGGGCGGTAAGCGGTCGGGGCTCTCGACGGATCCTAATAAGGAGATGGCCGAGGTGCATAAATGCATGAAGATGCTCAAGTGCATTGAGCCCCAGTGGCACACAGCTGGCCGGCTGTGGTAGGATCCAATTTTTACATCGTCGTAGTAGGCCGCTGCTTATGGATTCTCCATATGTAGGGATATCCTATACGAACTTGCGTCCGTAGGCGACCTGCCTCTACCGGGCACACCCCCGAGCCACAAGCGCGAACGAGACTCAGACAGCCCCAAATCCTCCACATCGAACGCCTCGAACGCCCCAACACCCTCCGACCTCCCCACCATGGACACCACACAACGCAGCATCGCAGGCTCACGACGAGTCTCACGAGACACATCCTCAATGGCCGCATCCATTTTCGGGCGGCAGCCTATTTCGCCGCAGGTCGTGACAAGCCCCGAGGGGCCCATCAACGGGCTTGATCAGCCCAACATGCACAGCTTCGCGCTCCCTATTCATAGCGACGAGCTTGGGCGGCTGCCGTTGCACCCCGGGTTCTCGATGGACGGCCATGTGCACTCGCCGATGGGCAACGCGTGGTACACCGCAGGCCCATCCAGCGCCGTCTCCCCCCTCGCGAGCACCTCGCAAGCGGGCGCGCTGAACGGCGCCGAGCTGGACCCGGCGCTCACGTCGCTGTTTGCGATGCCGAACCCGAACATGTACGGCTCGATCTTCAGCGCGATGCCGGGGCAGTATGCGGCGCCGAGCCCGCAGGACTTTTCGTCGCAGATTCAGGGCATGCAGGACCCCGGCGGTGCTAACCTGCCTGGTGGTGTGCAGGGCGCGGGGTCGTCGTTTACGGATAATACGCTTGCGATGTGGTCGGCTGCGCCGAGTGGGTTTGAGTGAGTGTTCATCAATGACTGTTTGTAGGGGTGCGTCGTGCTGATTGATTGATGCGTGGCTTGTTAGGTGGGACGATTGGGGGTCGTATATTAGTAGCGTTAGTGGGTTGAACAATCCGATGGGGTCGGGTCCGTCGCGGCCTGCTGGAGGGTGATGGTTCGTTTGCATGATGGTGAACAGTGCTATTTTATATCTGCTAGTGTATCTCAAGTTTCGTGTTACCGTGATTTTTGAATGTAGCTGTACGTTCTTGTCTTATCTGTCTTCCTGCCAGTGTCTTCCCGCTGTCACGCGTCTCTTCGGTGATGAATCAAGCTTTCATTATTTCGTGAGCGCTGGGAGCAAGGGCAGAGTGGGGGATGTTTTTGAATTACACTCGTCACAGGTGAGCACGCTTTGAATTATTCTTGAGGGAAAGCCTTCCGATGACTCCGCGACAGCAGTGATGTTGCGCGTGTATAGATGCCGTACGTGTGCGATCCGTATCAACCGTTCTCGCCCCCCTGTTGCTGGCGAGTTTGATGTTCTTTCGTCACCCCGGCGTTGTCCTCCTTCTTGTGCTCTCTTTTCCACTCCACCTGCGCAAGCATGCAAAGTGGGTGGCCCACATATGCAGGTAACCGCCTTTGAACGAGAGCGGAGGTACGTAACATCATGCCTTGCCGCTAGTGCTTGTGCGCTCGCGAAACGTGAGCAATGTTATTGAGAGGCAACGGTGTCTTCTGACGGGACTTCAGAGCTTCACTATCCGTCTCGAGATCGGGTTGTGATTTGTTTGCGTGCATTAAGCTATGCTCGACCAGAACTGAATTCAGCAGTGAGGCTTCCCTCTCGCCATGGTTAATGGACTCCACATGATGTTCTGCGCGCACTGGAAGAGATTGTGTGGGGAAAGGTAGGTTTCATAAGCTATAAAGCCATTCCGTCGTTACCTGAAATGGCTGGATTGCGAGTACGTACGGGCAGCGAGAAACTCGACTGGGACCCCGGCCTCATTGATCGGGGCACATCGGGGCACATCGATCCCAATGTGGGCGCCTATGTGTGCGAGACGCAGAAGGGCGGTCACCAGAGCGTGACTTAACCTCCAAGGTATAGATCACATAGTAGGTCCGTGATGCCGCCAAATTGACTGTGCCCGCTTAAGCTCTCATATATTCAAACACAGTATGTGTCACCATGTTTGCCTCAGTCGTTCAGATTTTCTGTGCTGTTTGAACAGTTTCATTTCGATACTGCCCAAACGGAAATGATTCACGTTCAGCATTTCAAATAGATTCAAACTGCGGGGTTGGGTCCCGGTTCCCACTCCGCCGAGAAGAAGCGTGATGCCTCTCACCATCTGGCATCTGCTCTCCTCAGATCTAGATTATCCTTTTGCGCGGTTCTTGTTTACCGTTAAAGTCCTAGTCTTCGCAGTCTCTTTCTCGAAATCTTGATCTAAGTCAATCGCTCAGACTTGCGTTAACAATATTCCTTTCGTCATTTCGACTGCCTCGGAGTGATCTTTTCTCAGGAGCGTCACGTCTGATCACATCGTCATGCTCAAACGGCGCTGCATACCACGTTCAAGAATGGTGACAATGCGCGGACACCTCAACTCAAAATTTAAGGCTCGGTTAGCAACTCGTCCATATCATGCGACCTATGTGCAAGACGTCAGCAAAGAAACAGTTCCTAGGCATCAGGACGTGACCGGAACCCTCACATCACCCTGTTTTGAATGTCCGGTCACACAGCCACCATCAGAATGCTCTGCTCTCGGTGAGCTCCCATGGTTGCGAAGAGCCGGCGATTCCACTTTGTCATGCGTATGTCCGTCGTTTTTATATCATGCAGTTTCCTCGAGGCTTGGCCTGTTGAGTCAATAGAGGGCCATTATCAGCTCCAGGTATCCCGTCTATGCAGCTTTCTCACCCAAATCAATCAAAGCGATCGGTGGTTTTGCGGAAATGCATATTAACTGCAGGGATCCAAGACCACACAGCGAATGTAGTCTCTCGTGCCTCCGCGCCGACCTATCAATGCCAACCTTCATGCTATGGCCATGCGTCGCAGTGGGCAAGCCGCACGTAGCATACACTAGCTGTTACGCAATGGAATAGAGCGGTCCGCACGGCATGCGTTTTCAACAACTCGATGGGTCATCCAGAATAGAGCTAGCGTAGAGCATTTCATAGCATACGTGTCAACGCCCAATTGCAGATACAATTAGTTACTAGTATGTATGTTCATACGAGAAACATGTCAAACACGATTTATAGCACGACGCGTATCTGCTGAGGTTGTGCGGAAAGAAATCTGCGAATGCAGCTGGATGAGATGGAACGTGTGAAGGAAGAGTGGTTTGCCACTTACAAATAGCAAGTGAAAACGCAATCACCCTCAATCTGACAGTCCGGCTTGGAGGCCCATTCTCTCCCCTCACGCGTTATCCTCCTCATCCGGCAGCGTCTCTTCCTCGACTTCGTTCATTCCCTCTTCCTCGTTCACGTCCCGATGAGCATCGCCAACGATCGCAACGTTGTCCGCCATGTTGCGCGGTTCTGCAATGCCTTCATGACGTTCGATGGAGCCTCGTGGGCGAGAGTGATCGATCTCCTGGGCTTGTTCGGTGCTGCCTAGGATATTCAATTCGAATGACATGTTCTCGACGTCCGCTTGTGTCTGGAGACCATGCTGCGACCTGACGAAGGAGGGCGTTTGGGACTGCTCTCCGCGTGTGGACCGCGCTGCGTCTCGGACGTTGAGGAGGATACGAGAGGTCAGAATGGGAACGAGTCTGTAATATTGTCAGTGTGTCATTGGCAGAAAAACATATAAGAAAATTGCTTCACGACTCACGAGGATCTCAAATGGCCGACGACATCTTCAGTGCTCTACCAGTGCATAGTCATATATGTATAGCAGAGTAATTAGAATTTGGCAGAAGATACGGGGCATGTGAGAAGAGCATGCACTTACGACGTCCAGGAAGATCAAGACAGTCCCAAGTAAGCTCAGTAGTAACAGTGCTCTAAACAATATGCTTCAGATGTTGTCAAATTAAGTCCGACTCCACTTCTCACGTCAATTGAATCGTGCCTATGAAAAGAGTGGCCAAAAATGTTATTCGAGCTCAGAGACCCATAGTCAGTGTCCGATAATCGTACCATCTCTGAGCAATAGTGCCGCAAGTGACAAATTTCTCGTAGACAGGACGTCAACGGCGGCCAGTCTATGGTGGACATATAGCTTGTGCCAGAGAATTGCGAGCATCATGATGGCGTTAATTGTTTCACCGACCGCATTGACTATGTACACTGTGGTGCAAAAGTCAAAAAAGTGTAGAGGAAAGCATCCCTGAGTTCGGACTCACATCTATGTCAAACAGATAAGCAAGTACAAATTCAGTGAAGATACCGGCTTACATACTTTGCAACGACACCTTGCACTGAACCTGAGGTGTAGAAGTCGAAGCATATGGCTGTCCTGTTCAATACAACCACAGAATATGACACTGGGATGAAGGCTTCTCACATAGTCATCCAAAGTTAATTGACGATATGTCCCAATCAGGAGAAAGCGTACCGGTGTAGACATTTCCAACCACATCGAAGACCATAAACAGTGTGAGGAGCATAACAGGCCGTCGATCGCCACCTGTCACGGCGTATATTCGCAAAAGTATAACCACTTGGCTATGTTTGAGCTGTGATAATGTGTCACGAAGCATGCCAGCCTACCGTCTGAGATTATTCCGATGAGTAAGAGAAGCAGATCGCTCGCCACGAAGTTTGCCATACAACTGAACCATAAGAGTAATCAGACATGAACAAATATGACATCAGGGAACAACTCGCCTCTACAACATTTCACAAGTCGAACTTATATCCAGACGAGACAATATTGATTCACGTACCGTTACTGCGTCAAAGTTCACGAGTGACCAAACAGAAATGACTGTATAGCTCAATGCAAGCATCCGATTGGCAAAGAACAACCATGCAGAGAACGATCGCTCTCCCCAGAACAGCTGGACCTCCTGGCCGAATGTTATGACATGGTCGAAGAATATGAGCGCTGTGTGAACAAAAATCCTCAACGATAAGCCAGTAATAAGCAAAAAATGTTCGACTGGCCTGCGCCCGCGATAAGAGCACAGCTTTCCGTATTGCTGATTATACATCGTTCAATGCAGTACAGTTTCAATTATCTGAAGAGACGCACGATCCGTCCAATACGGTGATTGCTTCAGAGGCGGCGACGATAGACATGCCTGAGTAGAGAGAACGGAGGTCGAATTAAGGCGATGGACAGTCAGCCTGGTTTATGACGCCTTATTCCATCACGAGATAACGTTACATCACTGCCCGCATATCGACATATGCTGTGAGCCAACGCGCCTGTGATGGTGTCTGCAAAGCGAAAAGAAAAGGTGGCTCACAACCAATGACTCCATCATGCCCGTATGCGTAAAACGGCAACTGAGAGAGATACGCACATCGGAATGGAAAGGTCGCTCGGCTCATATGAGATGAGATCATGAGAAGGACTGTGTTTAGTTTGATCCGTTGCTGTGTTCTCATGACTGAACTGCATCACGGATAGGATCAGAGGAATCTCCTGGCAATTATCAGCTGAGCAAGCGATAAACGTAGCACGCGTACAGGGACCCGCAAAAGCGAGGGTAGAATGTGCCCCATGGTCGGGTCCCGCTCGCAATCTAGTGACGAATACCCGCATGAGAAATGCCGGAATAGGGCAGAAACCGCGGGATGATTGATTTGCGATTTGACCCTGGAAATAACGCTCGTGGCTCAGTTATTGAGTGTTCTATATCAAATGAATCGTGGACAAAGGAAGGTGAGATGTATGACAGATGGAGTTCACCGGTGCAATAGTGACTGACACGATGATAGAATGGGATGCCTTCACTACCGTTCCTTCACTACGGGAGAGACTTAGCCGAAATTATGATTCGAGTATCGTACCTCCTGCAGCGCTGCCTTTCAACTTGAAGAAGACGCGCCTGTGGCGTGGTAATTGCCTTTAGCGTTCCCGATCATTCTGGTCATGTGGCACGCGTCCGACCAACTACACACCGGCGCGTGAACAGGAGCTGAATTCGTCCCAGGCTGTGCACTGCAACGACAAGTGAGAGAAATTTACGCTTTCGAGTTTCGCTCAGAGCGACCACTGCAAGAGCTACGGCTCTCCACAGAGCATAAGATTTGAAAACAGGCATTTACGGTATGGCCTGTTCATCGGGACGAACATGATATTCCCACTGCCAGCTTCAAGAATCAATGCTGGGCTCGCGTAGTGCAAGGCAGGCGTGATGGGGATTTTCCTGGCACATTGACTCGTGCGGGTGCAAACGTTGGTACGTCGCCTTAGCAAAGTATTACATTACGGTAGCAGCCCGGAAGACTCGGCGAGTTCAGCCGGTGTTCGACCTGCTCTCTTCTAACTGTATCCATAAAACTTCATAAGACCTTGCACAACCAATCAATCAGGCTTAGCAAAGAGACTCAGACAATGCGATCTTACCCACAGTCTCAGATGAGTAGTTGAATCTGTCTTGTTGTCTCAGCTCGTCTCACTCTATGCATTACATGTCGTCCACTGGTCAAAATGTTCGGTAGGTAGTGCTTTTTATTCAACAGATCTGTCAATGCTCTGTCGGTCAAGTCCATCCCGTTTCGCCAGGTACCTCTGATCTGCTGTGGACTTGGCTATTCTTGCGACCAACGCCGGCGGCGCTCTCACGGGTGATGTTTGATGTCAGTAGCAATGAACTGCCAGACTGTTCAGGTACCCTATTCGGCGTTGTGAGTCAACGAACATGCTGTGCTTTCTGCCAAACAAGGATCCATGCTGAGGCCGTCAAGCAGTAGCGCAGTTCGTCCTCGCATCACAACAGCTACTGTGGTCCAACGCCGACACAATATGTCCCCAGGAAATCCACCCGATCCGTGGCAAACGTTTATCGTCTTAGTTGTCGATTCCTCGTTGGTCGGGGCATGACCTCGTACAATACCCATTTGCACTATACATGCATGGAGACCTCACTGTCTAGGGCCTGGCCTGCAGCTTATGCTGGCTGTCAAATTGTGGAAAGCCTGCTGTTGTTATGAGTGCCGGGACAACTCAACCCTATACGTATAACCGGGCGTCTGCGCTTTCTCATTGGGAGCTGGTTTCCCTTCGTGGCGCAATGGTAAGCTCGCACGTCGGATGCATGCCTGGGTTGACAAGGTACATATTGATACTGATATGGATTGGGCGATCTGTAAGAAAACTAGCCCATCGACGAGGTCTGAAAACGATATGAGGACTCTTTCTTGGTAAACTATCCATTTCGATACTCATCTGTCACTGAAATTTGGTATGGTCGCCTGCCAGCCCGGTCTTCTCGAGCAGCCACATTCTAATCATAATTGCGTCAGTCGTACGTGTTCGTCCACGCAAAACGTCAATTCTAGCTATCTGCGATCACAACAGGATTTGTTTCCCTAGCACCGATCACTTCGCGCTGTCCGCGGACTGCCTCGACATTATGTTCTCCCGAGGCATCTGCATCAAGGTGAGTGGACGGCTCATAGCTTTCTCGTGAGATGCAGCTGTGCTCGTATTTTACTCGCAATGTGTCGCTTGGGTGACACGCCATATCGCACATCAACCCGGTAGTACGACCCATGTCGATGGCGTAGTCGAAAGCTGGGCTCGGAACTCGACCATCAATGCTCATACGATGCGACCGAAAGACATCGTCAAAGCAACGGTTCTGAGCACCAGTAGATGACTATCCGGACAGATTTCTTGAGCTGCCATTCATCGTAGACCTCACCTCACTTTCCCGCTCTTGATATCTGTATCGTCTTGCTTCCTCGGCACTTCCGCGGTCGCTTTCAACATTCCGGTGGAGATTAGAATCACAAGCGAACTGCCTAGGGAACTCAGTTCGATGAATGCTCGCATCTTGCGGTTGTACGATGATTATCTGATCGCATAGCCACCCTCGAAGTGCTCGTGTATCAGTGAAGCTCGAATGGTCGTAAAGAGCCGATTATTTCCTTTAACGAATATGGATTCATTAATTTCATACCACGCAGGTTCTTTGACGCAGACTGTTTAGTCAATTTGATATGCGGATAGACTCTGAGGCATCGCGCGTATGTCGCTCCCACCATAATCGACTAAATTGCGTGACAATGCCGTGGCCAGAGGTGGCACTTTGCATCACGCCTCGATGGCGACAATTGTGGCACCACAAGTACCGTCTCTCTGATCTCAGCATGGAATTACCTGCACCAGTAGTGCTCGCCAGCTGTGTATTGCAGCATGGAATAAGCGACTCGTATCATACGGAGGCATACTCAGTAGAGAGATACCGTCTGTGTATCGTGCAATTCAATCATTTGAGAGCTCTAAGGAAGATTGAGCACATGGTATGTCATATCAGGCACGTCGGAAAGCGACGATGAATACAACAAACACGGGAAGTTGGAGGAAAAACATATTACGAAAGATCTATAGTGTAACAGTATCTGCTGAGGTTGGCTATGAAGCCCTGTCACGACGATTGAATGGTCAGCAGCCATGTCAGTCACGGTAGGCTCCGAACGAGTATCGGAATGCGATCGCCGGCGGCAAAGGACTTGGGGCTATTCAGAAGATGGTTTCGGCCGCTTGTCGAACGTCGTTGTCGCCCACGCGTTAACCAGCAACGCGAAACCGCCCCGGAATCGTCATGCATCGGGCTCCCCATTCCATCGGCCCTCACGCCCTGCGTCTACGAGCCCTGTTGCTGCCGGTCATAAGGGCATTTTCACACCTGACGGGCCGCTGGTTCAACGACATCGCCGTTCCGAACCCGATGATATGGCGATGAATGAGTAACAGATGATCAACGAACATTTATGTTGGATGAGCTGGGAGGGACGGATGGTGGGCTGCGTGGTCATCGCAATCGTCCTGAAAGGCTAGATGAACAAGGGCACGCTTCTCGCACATCTTTTCGGTTTTGTAGTGCTTGACACAACAAATCAGGTGGAGCACACCATGCAGAGGAAATGATGACGCACATATCGTCGCATACTAATTTCACCCCTCGACCTGGTACCAATGAAGCACGAGTACAATGTCGGAACCCAAAGCACCGGGGGCATGAGCCCATGATTCCACCGGGAACATTTTAGACACATTGTGATAAAAGTCACAATGTGATTATAATGTTACCAATGTAAACATTATGAAATTATTTGAATTGTTTTGAGTGCGATCATTGTGGAATAATTGTGATATTATTCAGAAAGACACTACAATGCGACGACAATTTTGCTCCAGCCAGCATTCACAGAACATGTTGGCATCATTTTGAATGGACCTTAAGTGTACATTACAAATGTGATTAAGGTGAGGTTACAATGAGTGCCAGATGTCTTCCATCATGTGCCGGCTGGGATCATCTTGAACGCATCAGGGATGTCCTAATCTGGTTAGCACATTACTATATATGGTAATACAATTTATACGATCACAATGAACCCAGTGGGAGCATCTTGACAACATCATGGCCCCTCAGGAATATCATTTAAAATGTTCCCTCGAGAAATGTTCAAGATATTACTGCAATATTGCTTGAATGCTATCAGCAGCAACATTGGGGCCTGATTCGGGTATCATTATGAATGTTATCAAAATTGTCCCATAATGCTGATGCTTAAAACATTAAAAATGATTTCAAAATGTATACACCGAAAACATTGCATGATTATTTAGACTGTTGTCACAATGTGTCTAAAATGTTCCCGGTGGAATCATGGGCTCATGCCCCCGGTGAAGGAATGTGCAACAGGACTGGATGTTGCTGACGGCGCGGTACGAGATCGTGGTCGACTTGACCCGTGTGCCGTGGGCGTAAGGATGCAATATCACAAAGGTGCTGGTTCCGGCCACCGCACACCCCGATACGTCTTGGTCAACGAGAAATAGAAGTCGGTTACTGCGGAGATAGGGTGTCGGTATCCGCCACCCGGCTTCGACGCCATCAGCCCCAAAAGACGTATGAGATGGAGCGATCGATGCCTGATGCCCGTAACGTGCCTATAATGGCCTGTTCGGGTCTGTATAGCACACCGTGGCCGTCCCTGCTGTGTCATGGAACGTTCTCCATGCGCAAGGCAAGTATGCAACGTGAAGTCAGATAGGGCGTGACGCGTCAGGATAATAGTACGAACTGTCGATCGGGTCATCGCCGCCCATAGATGAACGAAAGCGCACCCCCGTTACATCTGCACTGCAGACGAGTGCAAATCCGAAGCGTCAGCGCGTCAACGCCAGTGTGCCGTCCGGAGTGACACGCACTGGGAAGCGTCGCCTGCTCCGGGTTGGACACGTCGCTGCTATCGGGCTCATGTTCGTTCAAGCAAACCTAGCCGACCAAGATCTGAGACTTGCATACTTGTCGACTGATAAGACCATCCGTGAGTCTCGGCAGCGAGTGAACGGTTCAAAAGGGTATGTACGAACGACCAGGCCACGAACAAAAACAATTGGAGCGCATTTCCTGCGTCGCCCGTTTGAGCCCGCCCAGAAGCTGCTACCCGTTGTCGAGTCCAATATTCAGCTTGTCATGAATATTACAGTCACTCACTTGGTGCTGCTCAACGTTCAAGCTCAAGGCCCTGTGCCTGTGAGGAACGTCCCGTCCGGTCCTTCTCACCCTTCTTGGGGCGCATGTAGGCTGTAGCCGCGAGCTCTGTTAATTCCTAACTAAATATGTTGAAGGCCTTCCCAGTGCACGTGTATGTGAGAGCTGAAAAGAACAAGGACTAAAGAGACAGAAATCAATCGCGCCCACGTGACGCAACTCTCTCTTGCTATGCAACCACCATCTACTTCGCGCCAGCTTTCGCAACGCGACCCCGGCGACGCTGTTATGGATGACTGCTCGTACGGCGAGAACTCGATTGACAATGAAGTTCGCGCTACGTTTACCGTGGCGCTGTCCGGGATCACCCTTGCTATGGAACAAGCGCTTACTGACCTCAGCGACGACGACGGCCTCGGGGCGACCAGCGCGAGCGAGCGGTGGTCCACTACAGTCCATACACTTCTCTCCGCCATTCTCCGCACTACCAGCTCCGTGAAGGATAGCCCCTTTGTGCGCGATTCCACTCTTGTTCGCCAGGTCCGTGAGCGCATCACCTGTGTTCACCGTGAGGTTGGGGCTAGCTGGATCCTGGACTCCCTCGCTTCCCGCCCCACCTGCCTCCCGCCCCACCCTTCCAACGCTGCTGATATTACTGCCGCTGTCGCCGTCGCCATGCAACCGTTCGTCCAGCGAGTCCACCGGCGCCTAGCCTCCCTCGAGGCGAAGGCACGGACTCCCCATGCTGACGAAAGTACTCGCCCCGGTGCTACTGCCCCAGCTCCGGCCCCAACTTCTACCACCTCGCCTGTGCCGTCCGGTTCCTACGCCGCTGCTGCTGCCGCCTCTGCCGCTCATCCAGCCTCTCCTCCCAAGAGATCCTCAGCGAGCACACAAGATGTTCTGCGCGCGTCGGTGGATGCCAATGAGACAGCTGCCCCTCGTCCAATTCCGTCTCGAAGGTGTCTGACGAGGGTAACGCTGGTCCGGTGACCCCCAAGCCCGAGGAGCATGCTCCGATCCTTGATTCACTGCTAGACATGAACATGGAGGGAGAGCTGTTCGACAGTGATGGTGAAAATAAGGCTGAGGTCGACCGTCAACTGAAGGAGGCAGAAGATGTACAGTTCGTCAATACATCCCGCCGCGAGCTAGTGCCCGAGCGACTCGGAGGACAGACGCGCGGTCGGACGACTGTTACGGCCAAGCAAGTAGCCCACAATGTTGCGGAGGAGCATCAGCTGACGCAGCCGATGCCCACTTTACGCGAGCGGTCCGTTTCCCCGGGCAGCCTGCCCGCTCGGCGGGAGCCTCTCTACGCATGTTCGGCAAGTGTCATCGCCGTTTACTCGTTGAAACTGCTAATCGCATTTGACGTCGTTGAGGTCGAGCCCGAACCTGTTACTCACCGTTTTCCTCGTCGCGCCAAGATTGTTGCAATGAAGCGCAGCAAGGCCGAGTCAAGTGAAGAGGAGTCGGATCTTGAGGACGTCTACATGCCTGACACTGCGGACGATGATGAGGAGGACGAGACGGTGCCCTCTAAGAAGGACGGGTCCGTCAACCCGCCCTTCTCTTTCCAAAACCCCGTTCATCCTCCGGCGTACCTTCCGTTGTGGTGTGCCCCAATGCATGCGATCCAGGTATGCCCCTCGTTCTCATATAGCTCTAATATGCTAACTTCGCAGTTGCTTCTCCCTAGTGCCTCCTATGCTTCCGCCAGCAGGTTCCCAACTCATGCTTCTTCATGGAGAAGCATTCGCAGTGCCTGAAGTGCCAGCGGCTTCACAAAAGCTGTCGCTTTTGGTCGCTGTGGTCGGAGCCGGACCCCAAGGACGTCGACAATTGGGTACCCCTTCCCCAGATCTATGAGAAGCGCGGTTGGAGAGTACCATATAAGCGCAGCCGGCCTGCCGTCGACTTCCTGCCGCACATTGTTATGCGTAACCTTGCACCGAAGTACTCGGGTGCGGCTTCGTCGAACAAGGTTGCTCGTTCGTTCTCGAATGCTGATGCTGCCTCTTCCTCGCGCGAGGCCCGCTCGGGCACGAAGGCTCGCAAGGACGCGAAAGCTCCTTCGTCCTCTCCTGCCGCTCGCCCATTGAAAAGTACGAAGTCGGCTGCTTCATTGAAGGATATCGAAGTTGAGTGGTCGCGTGGCGAAGTGCGTAGTGTCGCGGCTGAGTTATGGGGAGCGACGAAGCAAAGCAGGATATAGATTGCGCAGAATTGAATAAATTCATCGTCTCCATCGTGCACTGTAGCCCAAAGTGGCCTTAAAATGTTTGCTGTATCATCGTCATCGCTGCAATTCAATTATCCGATTCCTCTTAGACAAGATATCAACGGTGGAGGGTCTGTGGTGATCATATAGGTTGCGCCAGAGAATTGCAAGTGTCATGATGACAATAAGTATTACAGGCAATATCGACCGTGTTCACTACGAGTCTCGACTTTCAGCGTGCGCGCCATTTGTAATCATTTCCGGGCCGCCTTTAGAGAATACCTCTAGCTACGGAGGCCTTGCTCACCGTCTTTTGGTCCATGCTAGGTTCCAAATCTATGACAAGCGGAAAATGATCGAAAGCATCAGCCTTGTCATACTCGACGGAGCCAAGGGCGGCATCCGCATAACGGGCGTGAGGCTGAAATTTTGCGCTACAATGGTGCCTTCGTGGTGTGACCGATACTCTACCGCGTCGACCACTCTGATGTGGGAGACGATCCGTGCGTCGAAAAGGCATTTGGAGCTACGCCAATGGCAGCAACCGTCTAGTCCAACTACCTTTTCAACTTTGAACTTGTATCTGATGTCCTTCATGATCCATGCTCAGTGGGCCTGGGTGAGCTGTTGTTGCTAGTAGAAGGATGTTGACACCGTCGACTCGGAGAATCGAGATACCCCGAATTAGTACCCGAAGAATGGCTGTGCGACAACGTCGCGTTGTTTGAATCTCTACCGAAGTCGTGATTAAATTCTTGTGCGAAGTCAAATGTGACGTACGTCTGGGATCATAATCTTCTGTGTGAGAGCGCAGTGGCTGCTCGTATAGTTCATTCAGCCACAAGCGCGACGAGAACGATCCAAAAAAGGCAATTTTAGTTGTTCGCAACACTCGTCAATCGCACTGGTACTAGGGGCCTTTCCTGTCTGGACTGTGACGGTTCTCAATCCGCCACTGTTCTTTACAAACCACCAATGCTTCGCGCCAGAACTCCTCGTCAACCGTCGCACTGGGAAAAGAACGAATTGCCCAACTATGCATCTCACGTCTTGCCTCCACGTGTAGGAAGAATCCGTCTCTCAGATCACAGGGAACCACGCAAAGTCCCCCGCAAAGCAACATATAATATTTCCCCGAATCATCGACGTTCATCGTTTATCTGCGTAGTTCTTGCTGTCTTTGTTGTTACGGTGATATGCTTCCTGTCCATCTGGCCTCGCAATCGCACTCTCCCTGCTGCTGGACCGAACATCCATGAGTTCCGTATAATAGCTCATAAAGACAACCAGTACAATAATAGGCACCCAACAGCAGCAACCACGAATGAAACCGGAGCTAGCAACGCGACAAGACCACTCGCAGCGCCTACAGTCCAGCGCGCTATAATGGAGAAATTGAACAGCCATCGAGGCATGGATCCTGACCTCGATATCGATGCAAACGACCGGCTTGCACGCAATCAGAAAATGCGTTGGCCGCCACTCGTCACAGCCTTGCCCGAAGCTCGTGTGGCAAACACCGCACGATCAAAGCTAGGAACAGCTACATTCTCCACTCTCACCAACGACGAAGTCGACAAGCAATTCTGCGGCAAAGCACCATGCCGACTACTTCTCCCTCTCTTGATCACTGAACGAGAGTCGAAAGCCCAAGCTCAACTGGTACAGCTCCTCCAGATCGCGCAGGCTCTGAATCGCACGCTCGTTCTCCCTAACGTCGGTCGCGGACGCATCGGGACCTGCCTCCGTTGGGAATTCAGTGTCTACTACGATATCGCAAGTACGGTTCGTCAAGTGGGAGAACGCGTCATGATGATGGACGATTTCCGCACTTGGGTGGACATGCGTCCTGAGCAACCCGCGGGACAGATCGTTTCAGTTGATGAGCTCAACCCGGCAGAAATGTCAGCGGAATTTGATTCGTCCTCGGATGCTGTGCAAGTCGAGGTTCATGAATTGCAAGACATGACTTTGAAGAGCGCACGCTGTCTACACGCCCGGTATCCGCGTCTCGACTTGGACTCGTTTTCTCACCTCTCTCTGCATCTGGAGCCTCCCTATGGCTCGCGCGTCTTGGACTCGGAACAATCTCTCCGCTCTTTACTGGTGGCAGCGCTGCACGACCGACACGAGGAAGAGTACTCTGTTCATCAGGATATACCGGCGCCGGACACTGACTGGCCTGTGGCCGCTGAACAGCAACCATTTGAGGTGCTTGACAAACGATCCGATAACGACGCTGAGGTTCTGCTCCTTCACTGGGACTTGCATCAAGAGCTCTTTCCAGTCGTGTCACAATTCACTCCGATACAGTATTCACAACAGCTCTGGAATTTTGTGGACAGGCTTGTAGCGCCTCTAGGTCCATATCTTGCAGTGCGTTGGAACATGGAGAAGATAGCGCCAACAGTGCTGTCTGCATGTGCCGATGCATTAGTGGACACGCTTGATACACTACTGCATGACGAAATGCTCGGGATGGGGATTAGCACAGTTTGGATCTTATCAGATGTGTCCGTTCGTCCAGAAACTAACGGGGCCGAAACGCGCGGGGAGGCAGCCAGGTTGCTGCGCGCAGCATTCCGGCCTGGAGGAGAGTTGGAGAAGTGGGAGATTACGGATTCATCTCACGAGATGGTGAGAATGACTGCAGTCATGAATGGGAATCCGACCATGGAATTGAGTCCCGGTGACGATGAAGCATTGGTACTCAAAGACGCGGGAGTGCTGGCAATTCTAGACACCATAGTTGCCATGAAAGCCGCGCTCTTCGTGAGCAGTGCGAAAGGGTGTGGCAAGTCGAGGTGCGTGGAAACATACCTGTATGCCTTGCTAGTCGGACCCTGATTCCAGGGGCATACCAGCGCGACAACGAAGCAAGTGGTGGAATCGAGAGTGCGAGCGAAAGGGAATGACGCACCAAGAAATGTAGTCAGCGTGTTCGGATAGTCCTGTGCCGCTAGACAAATTGGAGATAGTGAAATCGATAGCATCGTGAATCATAGCATAAGCGACGCATGCAATACTCATACTACAATTTTGCGAGAGATGGCAGGGGGCAACCATAAACACATCATAAGAGCCCCGCCCACCGCTCCGCCCGGCGACCTCTCGTGTGGCCAGTGCTGGGAAGGTAGAAAAGCTGGTCTCGCGCACAACTCTACTCCGCGGGAGCACCCCGTCCGACGCCGCCTGCAAATCGGGGCCTGTATTCGCCAGGCGCATCCTCCTTCTTCCTGTAGTCTTCCCGGTCGCCGCGAGGCGCGCGGTAGGCACCCTCACCAGGGCCGCGAACGTTTGCGGGGCGCGGGGGACGGGCTGCCTTCTTGTGCGTTGCAGGCACAATCTCGGCAGGGAGGTTCAGCCTGTAGAATACGAATATGGTTGCTATGAGGCACTGAATTTAGCGGGAAACGCACCATTCACGGAGGTACTCAACGCCTTCCGGGGTAAGGACGTAATAATACCACTGCCAGGAGAACTGCGTCTTGACGAAATTCTTGGAAGTCAGACTCTGCATGGCCTTGATGACCTCGAGATTAGGCACATCAAGCTCTTCATGTTTTGGAGCGTTGTAGTCCTTCTTGGCGACAAGGACACCCTCTGCATACAAGAGACATTATATCATCAGTTCACCGATTACCTGCATGATAGACAAATGGCAGCGGACCCTTGAAGAGAGCTTCATAGATGATGCGCCTGTGGGCTTTGGAAATGATCATGCTGGGCGAATTTGGTTGAGAGGTCGGAAGCTGATTGGGAAGGTCAATCTTGCTCTATATGTTAAAGCACCGTAGAACGCACTGCGAACGGCTATCGCACTTGTCCGGCTGCAAGGTATCGACAGGATCAGCCTCCTTCTAACGAATCATGTCCGACAGTTATGCCCGTCATCCGAACACGCGTCCTTCCATCCAACCCCTCAGACTTTTCAAAATCCCCCAACAGCCTCCCCCACGCACCCTCACGGATCACAGGGCAACACAGAACACTCACATGGCTTGGAGAGGCGGAGGGTGGGCTTGATTGTGTCTTGAACTCGACCGGTAGCAAGGACTGTGGACCCGACGGCTAGCGCAATCCCAAAACGGCAGGAAATGCGACAGGACCCCGGGTACAATGCCGCGCGCACTGTCCCGGGTCTTCATCGAGGCGACCTTTGCCACGTGCAGCTCTGCATTGATTTAGCACTCTCGTTTCTTTCGTTCGCGGCACAATATGTCTCGTATACCCCAGCCTCCGTCCAACCGTGCTCCTAGCACTCCAGCAGTCACCTCTTCTCCTCAAACTTCTCGCTTCACTGCTAGAAAATCTCCTGGGTCGACCCCTTCTCGCCCTTTGCGTGCTCAACAGAGTCTACAGTCTCTAAAACCTCCCAAGTCTCCTTTACTAGCCAAGTCGCCTTCTCGACCTCCAGCGCGTCTCAAATCACCAAATCCCGATGAGAATCCGACACCTCAGCCTAAGCTGAGTATCAAGGAGCAGATTGCCCTCAAACGAGCGCAAGCGAAGAAGGCGCTTCAAGCCGAACAGAGCGTTGGTAGCCACCTAGACTTTGGGGGACTGGAGGATGCACTTCCCGATGCATTAAAGAAGAACCAGAGTGACGATGAGCTTGATCTTGGGCGGTGGTCCGTGAAGGAGGCCATTGAACGTGCCAGAAGTTCAGGTAAGTTGTCATTTGATCTGTATGCATGCCGGGCAGTGCTTCGATGAAATGTATTGTTGTACATCCGATGTCAGATTACTGGATATGTCCCATGGATGTTGTTCACGAACGCATGCCTCCAGGACCATAATCCTGAGACTGGTTGTGTTGAGACTAGAAACTCGTTCAATCCATTCGAAGCTTCGCAGCACAGTCGATAGCTTTGTTAAAGGCCAATTGCAGCCTTCGTAGGATTTGTGGTAGTCGCGTTCTTCTTCAGCACATCTCACGTGCTCTCCTGCGGCGTCTCACACGTCAACACCGATTTTGATATATTCTGACCGCATTGTTCGTCGCGTCTGCCTGGCATGCCTACTGATCAACCGTTTAATCGCACTGTACGCTTGAATCAAGGCTTATCTTTCTAGGTGCTCTGAACCTGGCCTCTCGTGCATTGCTTTGTCTGCCTTCTGCACTCTTTGAGATACATCTCGGTGTTAAGCCTGAGCGTCTGAAGTCTGTGCCGGAGGAGCCATCTATATCGACGAATGACGACACTCCTTCACATCGGAGAGCTGCGAATTCGAGTGCACCATCATGGTATGAAGCACAAGATCTAGAGATTTTGAAGGCATGGTCCAACGAGATCGTTGAAATCCAGCCCGAAATATCGATGTTCGGCTCGTTGAAAACGGTGGATGTGAGTCATGCGCTTTAACGAATGATTGCCATGTACTCACGCTCCATACAGCTGCATAATAACCGATTGACCATGCTACCTGCCAGCTTTGCAGACCTAACCGCTCTGACGGCCCTTGATCTTTCGCATAACTCACTGACATCTCTACCGGTTAACCTTTGGGCGCTCCCAAACCTCTCCTCCCTCAACATCTCCTACAATGCGCTCACCTCGCTTCCCTTCAGAGCGCCCTTCGATGTGGCAGGCGCAAACCCGCTCGCGCGAACGCGCGATCCTCGCGGTGCCTGGTTCTGCCAAAGCATCACGCGTGCGTCAGCACCACTGCCGCGTCTAACGGTCCTCGATGCGTCGCACAACCAGCTACGGGCGTCTTCGATTGATTACTTGCCGGCGGCATCGAGCTTGCCAAGCCAGCTTTCGAAGGTGGACCTTTCTGCAAACCCACTCGGTGAATGCACGTCTTTAATACAGGCGCTCGCGGGCCTCGATCGATTGCACGAGCTGCATTTTGAACATGCAGAGATTGGCAATGATTCGTTCCCTGTGGACATATTCTCATCCCTGGACTTCATACCGTTTACTGTGCTCAGGATCCTCGATTTAGGCGAGACGCACGTTACGGCTCCCGTCATTGAAGCTGCGTTCAGACAGCCGACGATCAAGCAAGAGCTCGACTTTGAGGTGACCAACGAAGAGCCGCACGAAGGCATCCTGCGGGTTGTGACTGGCAAGAAGGTAATCAAGGAGGCGTGGGAGGTCGAAGCTGAGCGGAGAGCGAAGCTCAGACGACATGGTGCTGCAACTACGGAAGGGCTGAATATAGGTAGTACGAGCGCCTCAAGCGGTATTGGTGCAAAGAGTACGGGGGTGAAGGAAGCTTGGGAGATCGAAGCAGAGCAGGGCTTGCTCACGGAAGGTGCGAAGCGACGGGCGAGGGCGAGGGCTGCTGCCGCTGCCGCGCAAGCATCATCTCAATCTACTCCGGCGCATGGAGGTCCCGGTTCTCTAAAGAAGTCTGCCGTAGCAGAGAAGGAGCCTTGGGAGATTGAGGCGGAGCAGGGTTTGCTTACAGAGGGCGCGAAGAGGAGAGCAAGGGCAATGGCTGCTGCCGCCAGTGCTAACGTTAAAGAGGAAATCAAAGAACCTGCTCCTCTTTCTACGCCTCATGACGAGGTCGCTCCTCTGCCTTCTCCGACACGCGCCTCAGTAATGTCCAACCCTCAGTTCTACGATGCGTCCTCTCGTACGCTCACCCTCCCGCCTTCCGCGCCGCCCCCAAAGTCACCGCATCTTCGCTCGTTTTCACACGCGCCTTCGTCGGGGTTGTCTCTTGGGTTGAAGGTCAAGACTTCTGGCGTGTCGGAGCTCGCGCTCGCGCTCCCGATGCCCACAGTGCCGCTCGCTGCCATTGCCGCCCAGCCCCTCGCACAGACGTTAAAGGTCTTGATACTCACCGGCAGGAAACAGGATGTCGTCTTTAGCCTTCTTGAAGTTGATGGGCTGTCCTTGCCAATCTTGGAAGAATTAAGGTTGGAGGGGTGCAACCTTCCGGATTCTGTCGCTGTCGCTCGGGTTGATTCGACAGCTCGTACGAGTGAACCCCTGCTTCCTTTGCTCAGCAGGTTGTTCCCAAGTCTCAGAACTCTCGATTTCTCGTACAACTTGTTGACGTCTACCTGTCTGACCAAAGATGCGCTGTCTTCCCTCATCCTCGCTTCGGCAGACTCCGACAGCGACGCCTCTGCGCGCAAAGGCCTACGACATCTCCGCTTACGTGGAAACCGTATCAATGAGCTAGACGGGTTTATAGGCATCGCAGAGCTGTTTAAGGGGAACAGAGATTGTCCTACGTGGAAGATGGAGGAACTGGACTTACGGGACAACGAGATTTCTAAACTACCTCCCGAGCTGGGGTTGCTTCCTTTGGATGTATTACTTGTGGATGGCAATCTGTACGTGTGGTTGATATCTTACTCAATCTATGTACTAAGACAGCCGACAGATTTCGCGTCCCGCAACGGAGAATCTGGGAAAGGGAGGGTACAAAGGGTTTGTTGAGCTGGTTGAGAGGAAGGATAGAGTAAGGATATGCTCAAAGTTCGTTCAGTCACAGGTCAATCTGCAAGGATAATTATTAGAGTTCGCCAATCCACTAATTAGCATGTACGCATCAACTATAGCCAATTAATCTACGAACTGGTATCGACAGTTTGACAATTGTACTGAAACACTATATGCGCAACACAAATGACTCTCAGGCGGAGGTTTCTGCTTCCTCAGTCTCCTCATGTTGCTCCCGGTAGGCTTGCTCCATCCACATGCTGTAGTAGATGCCGCCCTTGCGCATAAGCTCGTCATGTGTGCCTTGTTCGGCCACTTGACCGTCCTTGAGGACGATGATGAGATCTGGTCGTTTTTCATGAGCTACCGACCGTCAGCTTTGCAATAGGCTCACCTGCTTCGACAACAGTCCGCAGACGGTGAGCAATGAAAATGCTCGTGCGACTTTTTTCTTGCAGAAGCGCGTTGACATTCTTCATCAATTCAGCCTCAGAGTGAGCATCCAGAGCAGACGTCTACGTATGGTCAGCCTAGCCTACAATAGGGACAACTGCAGCTTCTGGCTCACCGCTTCATCGAAGAAAAGGATTGGTGGATCTTTAAGCAGCACACGGGCCACAGCAAGCCGCTGCTTTTCTCCACCAGAGATCATCAGTCCTCGTTCCCCTACTTTGGTCTTGTACCCCTCCGGCAAACGCAGTATGGCCTCGTGTACATGAGCCTTCTTCGCTGCCTCAGCAACCTCCGCATCAGTCGCATCCAGACGACCATAGCGAACGTTCTCCAGGACGTCCGAATGGAAAAGCGGCGTATCCTGCGGGACGACGCCGATCGCCTTGCGGAGCGACACCAGCTGCAGCTCGGAAATATCCTGGTCATCGACATATATTCGCCCAGAGGACGGCTCGTAAAAGCGGAAAATCAGCCGGAAGACGGTCGACTTGCCGCAGCCAGACGGCCCAACGAGCGCGACCTTCTTCCCGGCCGGGATGGTGAAGGAGATGTTGTGGAAGATGGGCCGCTCGGGGTGGTATGCGAAGTTCACGTTCTCGAACCGGATCGAGCCGCCTCGGAGCTGCAGCGGTTTCGCGCCCACTTTGTCCTGTGAGGCGCATCATGAACGTGAGCGGTAGGAGCATATTCGTGCAATGTGGAGACGACTTACCTTTGGTGGCTGGTTCGAAGTTACCAGGTTGAAGAGTACTTCCATATCGAGCAGGCTCTGGCGCATCTCGCGGTAGATCGTTCCCAGGAAGTTCAGTGGCAGCGACAGTTGGAACACCAGTTGATTGATCATCACGAGGTCTCCGACGGTCATGGTACCTGTTCGGCATCGAGTATACTAAGCGGGCTGAGGCTGCAGCACAGGAGAAGCTGCTGAACGAACCATTGATTACGCCTTGTGCAGCGAGGAACATCATCAGCGTCAGTGCCGATGAGAATATGACATTCTGTCCCGAATTTAAGTAGGCGAGTGATGTTGCAATCTTGATCGATGCCTTCTCATAGGCTGAGAGGTGCTTGTCATACTGGGCGATCTCATACTTCTCATTGTTGAAATGCTGCATGGAGATCGGGATGTAGGAAAGTTGGATAAATGGAGCAAAGTATTGTGGCGCACCTTCACAGCCTCGTAGTTGATCAAGGAATCCACGGCCACTGTGGCAGCTCTATTGTCGGCAGCATTTGCTTCGCGGCGGAATCGTGTTCTGTCACGCGCCATGAGTGACGAAAACAAAGCAGAGCTATTGCAATCCTACCTCCAGGCTGTCGTTCGCACAGTGAACCAGGTGTATGCGGCCATTGTGGCGACTGTTATCGCAGCAAAGTTCCATCCATAATTATAGGACTTTTTCATGCAAATCTACATGATCCACAGTACGAAATAGAGCGAGGATGAAACTCACCAGAATACCACAGACAAGCGATATCTCCAGCGCAGTAGGCACGATCCTGAAAATGATTGCTGATAGAATGAACGTGATCCCTCTAAGCAAGCCGTCAGAGAGTCTACCCTGCGCTGTTCACGCAGAGGCATACTTTGTGCCACGGTCAATCGCTCTTGTCAATCCACCAGTCTGTCTTGCCAGATGGAACTTCAGGTCGAGATTGAGCAGGTGTTCAAACGTCTGCCGAGCGACCTTCCGCACTGCGCGCTGACCGACGCTAGCGAAGACCGCGTTCAACATCTCCCCAAAGAGAGTGGCCCCAATCCGTGCAGCACCATCTATTCAGCTCAGATATCGTTCGGGTGAGAGTCGCAAGTAACAATCGTGAGACGATGACATACAACCGAGGATGAGCGAGCCGGCGACGATCCACACCGTCGTGCCCGCAGCGATGTCCACGTTCAGCGAGTCGATGATTTGTTTGAAGATGAGTGGGACTTGCACGTTCAAAAGCTGCGCAGATAAGCTTTGAGATGGAGAGGACGGCAAATCGCTCACCGTACCTTTCCCGAGATTAGCAGTCCAAAGCCTACCAGCACGCGTCCGCGGGTCGACCAGTCATTCTTTGGCCAGATGTTCTCTGCCAGACGTTTCACTATGCTCCAGTCCTTTCTTCGCTGCTCTGCCAGACTTATGTCTACAGCCTCGTTCACCAGCTCTTGAGGCTTCTGTGCGGGGCCTGGAGGAGCCTGCGTGCTCGGAGTCTTCGCGGCGGGAGCGGCAGGAGTCTGCTTTCGACGGAACAACACTCTCCATGTTGCAGGAACAAGAGCTCTCTTCCCTGAGGGTCCTCGTGAAGTGAAGAGCGTCCGGGAGGGTGGCGGAATAGAGAGCCTGCCAATGCGCGGTGCAGCCGTTTTGAGCATAACCCTTCCCCGGCACGTCGACCAGAGCAGGTGGTTCATCATGGCAGGCCTTGCGCCGCGCGCAAGCAGCGTTAATCCAGAAAGGTGGCCTAGCAGGGGAGAAGAGAAATGCTACAGTCGGATGGGCATGAGGAACTTGTATTATACGGGCTCGGATGGCGTGCTGCAGCGTATGCCGGGAGACATATTAGCGTAATCTAATCTATACAGGATCCAATGTTGCTTGTCCAATCACTAAGCGGACTTTATCAGATTAGAAAGGGTTTATTACATAGATCGATGTCCGACATCACCGAGCTCGTCGGACGCGACACCAGCTGTGGCCCTTGACTTCAGTGGCGTATAGATCGTTCTTGAATTACGTGTATTCAAGAGCATACATATCTTAGAGTGCGTATTGCATATCCAGGCAAGATTGGCCACAGCTCATACCGACTGTGGTTCTCGCAGAGAATTATCACAGTATGTCGAAGACATATCCGTCTCAATAACCAGTCAGCGGGTAAACGTCGCTCTGAATGCCATCACGCTTGACGGTACACCTTGCAAGACCATTGCCGTGCGTTTACGTACGACCCACCATTGACGATACTATAGATGCCGATTGCGTCTCGCGATGCGAATCGTTTACCCTTCATCTGCCTCCATATGTTTACGATTCAGGACGAAACCGAGCAGCAAGCCATCCTACATGACGTAGCAAATACGAAAGCTCGCTCATGAGGCCTTTGGCATGGACTGGAATGCCCATCGAAGGTCGGATCTCGCGTCGTCTTAGGCTCTTCAACTAGCGTCGATCGGCTCGCCCCTAATGCCATAGTCGTGATGGAGACTCTCCAACTTACATCGAGGGTGGAAAAGTCGGGTACGTCGACCTCAGCGAGTGCAGCATTGAACGTGCTTAGAAGAGCCGAGGCTTGGATGAAGGGCTGGTGGCGTGTCAGATGCAGTTCAGCCCTTTTGAAATGGGAATCTTGCCGTACACTTTGAGATGAACTCTTCCATGCTCAGGTTGTACGGAAAGATCGCCAAGTACAGAGCTTTGCTGCCGGCGACACGTAAGCTCGGAGTCGGAATCATCGCCTACTCTCCTCTTGGTCGAGGTGCGTCGCTTCCAGTCTAAAGCAACGTTGGTGGACAATTACGACAAGGATTATCACCGGCCGATATGCGAATGCACCACCACATTGGTAGTTGCAATCTGAGTGATATTATACCAGATACAAGTCGCGCAAGACATTCGCCGCCAAGACGTACGCCAGTGGCTCCCACGGGTCTCCGACAAGGACTTTCCCAAGAACTTGGAACTCGTGGACAAGTTCCGTGCAGCGGCTAGCAGCAAGTACGGAGGGACGCCCGGCCAGACAGCCCTCGCGTGGATGCTCTTCAGCCTGTCCGTGGCAAATGTTGACGTTCATCCCATGAACAGAACTACTGTAGCATTATGCAAGAACCCGTTACTGTCTCGCAGCAAGGACAAGCAAACGATACCTGTCTCTTTCCCGACCCGTGAGCTCGGCCACAATCGCCGCTCAGTCAATGCTATTGGCCTGGGAGCAATGGACCCGCCTCGTCCACGCTCATGACGATGCACAATGCAATATTCACATTCCACAGGTATCGAAGGGTTCTACGGCAAGACGGGCGAAAAGGAGACCTTCGAGACCTGACTTGCGCTGCAAACCGTGGAGTGACGTTCTGGGACACCGCAGACACGTATGGCACTAGTGCATAATTTGTAAACCATCAGGCGAGGCCGCTCTCAGATAGAAGATCGCGACCATCAGACGACGCGCTAAGATCTTCCTGGCGACCAAGTCCGGCAGCTTGGATCTCATCACAGTAGCTGTGGACAAGACGAAACCGAACAGAAAGTCATCCTGCATCGAGCAGCAGCTCGAAAACTCACTCACTCGGCTCTTTGCACGGACTGCAATGCCCATAGAAGGTCGGATCTCGCGTCCTCCTACGCTCTCCAACTAGTGTCGATCGGCTCGCCCCTAATGATAGTCGTAATGGAGACTCTCCGACTTACGTCTAGAGTGGAAAAGTCAGGTACGTCGAGCTCGGCCAGTGCAGTGGAGATACAGACTCGTCTGGTTTTGCTGCCGCGGCGCATAAGCTCGGAGTACGAATTATCGCCTACTCTCCTCTAGATCTCGGTCGGGATGCGTGACTCCCGGTCTAAAGCGACGTTGCTGGACGACTACGACAGGGATGATCACCGGGCGATATGCGAATGCACCGCCACATATGGTTTAGTAGCAACCTTGATGACGATATACCAGATATCAGTTGCAGCCTTGACTTCAGTGGCGTACAGATTGTACTTCAGTTACATGTTTTCAAAGGGATACAAGGCAGTCATATCTTAGAGTGGCGTACTGCATTATGAGACGAGGTTGGCAACAGCTCACGCTGACGGTGGTTCTCGTAGAGAAATAGCACCGTATGTCGAAGACGCATCCCTCTCAATGACCGCATCAACGAGCTAACGTCGCTCTGATCGTCATCGTGCTTAACGGCATACCTTGAAGATATCACAGCCTGCTGTGTGTTTCCCCATACGACGCAGCATTGAAGGTTCTATGGATGGCTGTTGCGTCTTTTCACGGAATATGCGAAGCTTCTGCCTTTCATCTGCCTGTATATGTCTGGGATCTGATACTCAATTTGTTTATGAGACGACAATTCCTTGGCTGAATTATGCATGACACTGCAAGCAGATTGCTGAGGGGTTTTGTATGCGGAAGTACTTCCAATAAAAAGGTGTCGATTATCCTAGCGCATTGGCCGGCCACAGTAACAAAGCAAAGCAAAACAAGAACGAACGGTCTGCTAGATTGAGATCGCTTGAGGTCACCGAACGTACTTGCAAGTATAGCCTCGGCGCTGACGGACAGCCGCTGCGCAGTGATCAAAATTTTGTCGATCATGCCCATTAATGGGGTGCGCACTGTGAAATGCGGATGGGCTCGGTTCCCTGGATTGCGCCGCTTCGGCTGACCACGGGTGGGCGGCCTGCGACAAAAAGCGGCTCATACTGCCTGACTGCCATCCCGAAGCTTGCTGTTGCCCAGTGAAAGCTCATAGACACTATGATAGAGCCATGAGACTTACGCCGATGACAATATGATGGAGGATCCAATGTGGATCGTACCTGTGCACAATTTGAATTGCAGCTATCTATAGATCAGGGGGGTCGTCATGCGTTCGAGTACGTTCTGTGATGTCAAATCCCCTCGACGTGGTTCCTGTTCGCTCGCACCTTAGCACTGCTTGGACACCGTCATGGAGCAATATTCAATGCCGCCCCACCAGTGCACCATCACTCGAACACCATCAAATATCGGCATATAATATTATGTTCCCGCCTTCAAGGAATAGTAAGAATACCATGGAGCTGGATCCATAAAGGATACACGACGGCCGTCGTGCATCTGGAGGATGACGCTTAGAAGCAAATAACTGGGGGACGAGGGCACACCTTGCTGGTCTTGTCCAGTGACAAATATTGGAATAGATGAGGGAAACACACAGTGCGTACGATACAGCAACGACCTTCGCCTTCTCGGAGTGGCAGCCACCGGCAACAGCCGACGGCTTGGCTCGTTATGGAAGGTCCTATGCTGTTTCTCACCGCCAGGCTGACCGTCCGTATCTCTACTTTTGGAACTTGGTGCTCTGGGCAGTACGGACTCAGACGGTGCATGGCCATAACCGTTGATCCGGATGTGCTGAGAGAGGGTACTTGCAAGCGCGGCAGGTGTCGTATGCGTCGGCTGCTCCTCTCATACATGATACTGGCTCTCAGGTGTCTCGACTCAACGAGACGGTTGCGCGAAGTTGGTGCAGCTAGCATTCGATGACCCATCATCGTGAAGCTAGGACAAGAGCGAACGAGGGTAGTTCCGACGCAAGGGCAGGGTGTGGCTCCAACGGTACTAACGATGATCTGGGCATATCTCCACAGGGGCCGTTAGTGCGTACAGAATGCTTCCAGGCTTTCGTTTCCGTACGACTTGAGATTTCAAGGTCATGCTGGGATCCACCGGCGACGATAACGTGGAGGTGGACATGATTCTGGCTATGGGATCTGGCTTGCAGTGCGTTGGAGGTCATGGGAGGACGCATCTTCCACGACGGCGACGGCGACGTGTTGCATCGCGACGTCGCCAGCGGGCTTCTCAGGCAGCGTACGTTGCTCTGGAGCTTCTAGCGTCAAGTTCATAGGAATCATAAAGGCGATGTCGATGGAAGCAAGCCCGGAAGTAAACTACAACATCCCAAAAGAGGCATTCATTAAGCAGCCGCGAAGGACTCCGGAAACGAGTTCACCCCAGCGCTGGCAGGTGGCACTCGAAAACGTTCTGCATGGAACTTCCACTCCAACGGACGTCGGATACTCTTCGGCAAGTACAGGTACGTGAGCGGTTGCGTACTCGCCACCATCGATGAATGGAGGCGAGGGAAGATGTTTGCTGCATCGCGTAGAGCGTGCGAAGGGGCAACGCACACGCCCCGGTACCGCGCACACATACTTATGGTAGGTGCAGCACGCCTCGTGGCCAGTGTTCTCTCTCCCGTCTCGATCTGTCAATGATAGTCAAGCGATCGCCGCCGCTGCCCTTCTCGTTACGAGCTCCCATCCGAGCTGAGTATATGCACATGCCCCTGCTCCATCTGGAGCGTCCATTCCCTCGTTCATCTCCGAGTTTCCACAAGATCTGCACCACTCGATCGCAGCCTCGAACTCGCCTCGCGCTATATCACATTCAACGCTTGCGCCCTCGCTCCCCGACGCGCACGCTCACCTGTCCCCTCGCGTGTTCGCTCTTCACGATCTCCGCCATCACGCTCGAACGCTTCCACCATGAATTGGAACGACATCTTCGAGTACGTCGTCCGCTTCGTTTCTCGCTATCGATCACTTCGTCCAACGTGAATCACTACCAGCTTCGCGTCAATCATGTCGCGTTCTCCCAGCCCCGTCCCATATCTTCCACATCATAATTCGCAAGATATTGTATGTGTTTTTCTCTACACTTTACAACCTTGCAGCAGATCGATCGCAATACTTGAGAGAGATTGTCGTGCGCCACAGCCGCGCTAACCTGAGCAGACTTATGTTTTCAGATGTTAACGCAGACACGACGCTAACTCGAGATTGCAGTGCTCCAACTTCTCCTGTTGCGGCCTCGCGTTGCCTGACCTGCACGCGCTACTCGACCACTTCGAGGAACACCACGTCCTCGTACTCGCGCGCGACGGCCGATCCCTACCCCTCCGCCCCGGGGACCTGCACGACACCTTTGGCGGCTGCTCAAGCCTCGTGCTCGGCTACCCCCAGCCATGCCCGCCCGCCGCACCGGAAAGCGATCCCGACGCGGCGCTGGAGACGCTCTTCGACTTGAACCCCAGGGATCAGCTCGCACACGCACAGCGCACGTACATGGACATCATGGAGCGCGACGCCGCCTCGGACGTCGACACCGCGTCGCTGTCCTCGGAGTCGGTGCTCCCCTCGCCCAACCCGAGCGCGCCCATCTGCCTCCCGCCGTCCCTCCTGACCGTCCGCCCGCCCGTCTCTGCGGAGCCCGGATTCGCACACCCACCAGCCAGCCAGCCATGGACGAGTAACGCGCCTGACGGCGGCACGGGCAAGACCAAGCCGCACAAGACGAGCACGCGCACGGCGCACGCCGCAAAGGCGAAAGGGTGCTCCGAGCAGCGGCGCGCGCACGCAAAGAAGCGCGCGCGCGAGAAGGCGTACAAGTGTCCGGTGAGTCGGCGTGGCCGTGTCGTTCCTGGATGTGGATGGCAGCGTGGGCTGACGAGCGCTGTGTTTGGCTTTGGCGCGCAGCGGACGGGCTGTTCGAAGGTGCGTGGCGCGTGTGGCGTGCGGGGCCCCGCGGGCTTGGGCGCGTGCGCGTGGATCGTGGACTGATATGGTGTGATGGCAGGCTTACCTGAATCCGAATGGTCTCAAGTACCATCTCGAGAAGGGGACGTGCACCATCGATTCGGCGTTGCTCGCTCTCCCTGTGGAGTAGCCGTCGCCTGCTTGTTCGAAGGTGCGCGTCGCATGCTGTTGTCAGGTGGCAAAGTCGCCGCGTTTACCGTTGCTGACTGTACCCGCCCCGTCGTAACCTTCAGCATCCGCGCGCGACGTCTGGACGACGCGTGCAATGTACATCATCAAATCATGAATAAAGTATAGCAGTCCCTGTTCCGCACCGAAGCACAAGCGCCTCTCTGTATCCGTCCCTCGGCCGATCCCGCCCCTTCCCTGCACGAAAACAGCTTGCTCATGCCCGTATACATACAGTGTGTAAATCTAGAGACTTGCATCTGGCCCCGTCCCTGCTTGGCACTCGCATCCACCCGAGCGTCCATTTGCGTGTCTGTAATATGTCATGGTTCTGCATCCGCTTCCCTCGACGGTGCGCATACAGAGACTCGCCTTCCCGTTCTGCACGGACACTGTAACTTTATTAGTATGTAGAGTACTTACTTAGGTATCGCACCTTCCGACCGCCATCGCATCTTCTCTCGCAGTTCGCCGAGCGCTGTGTCATAGACGCTTCTCCTCAATAGACAGTCGTTGCTTCTGGATTCTTAATGTCCGATGGTACTTTGATTGACCGCGAACGGTCTATTCCCTCGCGTGTGTGCGTCCACGTATGATGCAGGGTCTCGCAGAACGGTCTCGCTTGCGTACGCGTCGAGCCAGCTCGCACGCACGCATGAGGATGCGGTAGGCGGCGACTTCTCTTATGCAAGAGATAGCAGGGAGGGGTCAGTGTAGCCCGGGTCACCCAATCGCGGTGCCGGTAGGCGAGCTTACGTACACGCAGGCGATTGGGCCAGCCTGCAGCGAATGATGTGATTGGAAGAGAGGCCGTGGACACGTGAGGTGCATGCTGGGGATGTGATTGGCGGGCGTGGGGAGGTGGCGGAAAGAATCCCGGGTGTGGGACGCGTCTTCACCCGAGGAATGCCCCACGGGGAACTTGCGCGCGCGATCCCGCCCGCGGGTCGTTGGCTGGTGACTTCGGATGCCCTCTGATCATGCGCTGCGCTGGAGCTGAGGTGCACTTACGTGATGCCGCAGCAGCGCACCCCGGATCCTCGCGAATCAGTTGAGTAAACGTGCGAGCGAGGAACTGCAGCACGCGGAGCGGAGAGACAAATTCTTCTTCGAATTGAAACTGCTAATGAAATGAAACGAAACGGTGCATCGATGACCTCAGGATGGCTAACTGCGTTTGCGGCTCATCTGGCCACGGAAGGGGGTGTGTGATTTGTATCTGATGCAGCATCGGCTATGCCTGGACCACCGATTGCATGGGTTGGTGTGGGTCGATCTGTCTTCTCGGCTGGGAGAAACGGCTTGCAGAGAGACGGAAATGCAAGGCAGATGAGGTGGAGACGCCGCGGCGGCCATGGATCCCTCCGGGGGTGCACTCGAGGAGCCATAGATGAGGAGCACATGATAGCCTCGCACGACGTTGCGCTCGGAACGCGCACGGGCGCCTATCCTCCGCTGCACATATCCCAGATCCCATCACCTGGATATGGCAGGAGGATAAACACGGGACAACAAGAGTGCAGCGTGATTGTGCGCGCGGAGCCCGGGCCGCCACACGATTTAGCCCAAATGTTTGAGCTGCCGCAAACAGTCTACCTCCGCAACGCCCTCCCTCATCTCTGCGTCCTACCACGACGCACGGCCACCCTCCTCCCGTCCCTGCTCCCACCACTTTCGAGCGCCCCCGTGGCGCGCTGTCTGGCACGCACACGCCCTGCCGACTGCATTCTCCGGAGCCGGCGGAACAGCACGCCCCTGGCGGCCGAGGCTACACCCGGAAGACGACACATTTCGTGCATCTGCACGCTCATTGCTCCGTCGTTGCGCGCCCTTGCTCGCTCCTGTCCAATTCTTTCCCCGCGCTCTCTATGATTGCGCAATTTCCCTCCCCGGTGCTATCTGTAGCTGCTGATGTCGTCGAGGAGCTCGATGGAGAGGACGCGCTGTACGCGCTATGGAATCGTGAGTCGCGTGCCACGTCTTGTTCGTGTTCCCGTGCTTGATGGCGCTTTGTGCAGTGTTCACAAAATGTAAAGAGTCCTTGAAGGACGGCCGTCGCCTCGAGAATATTTCTTGGCGCTTATGGTACCGCGAGATAGCAGCTGCCCAACACTCGCCGTTCTCCTCCCCCGGATCCCTATCGCCACCGTATTCCGAGAAGCGAAGCTCGCCCCCTATCACTCCGATATCGGAGGATGGCCATGCTCATAATCATCGTGCGTGCCGTCATCCATCACAGGGCTATAATGTCTCAACCCAATTTCTCGATGCAGCATCGGTTCGGCCCCTGCTCGACTCTGCGGCACTTCCGTCCGTACACTCGTGGCACGGCGATCAAACCAGTCTGAATGTCCTCGCTGCAGGGCGACGCCTCAGCACGGCCAGCGCGCCCGCGCACCACGTGCATCCACACCCTGCGTTCTGTGTTGGAAAAATGATCGTTGGTATTTTGCCGGAGAAGCTGAGTCTCGTCGCAAGCACGAACCGCGAGGCGGCACAGAATGTGAAGGCCATCGATGCGCCGGTAAAACCAACCTCTGACGTTCCGACGATTGTACAGCCCCGCCCCGTCGTAGCAGTGCAGATGTCCACCACCCCCTCTGCCGCCGGCCCTGCCCCGCGCGTTGTTGTCGTGAACCCAACCCCACATCCGACACCTCCAGCAACGCCGAGCATTCCCCGCGGGGCATCTGCTGTGCCTCGAACCACAGATCGACCAGCCCGCTTATTGCCGCCGCCTCCCACACAGAACGGGCATGCAGCAGCACGAGCACCAGCAGTCATTCCGGTCAAGCCGGCTGTCACCACATCACGTGATCCGACTACTCGCGTCTCGGGCGATGCGACACTCAAGCCATCCGATAGGCGATTCTTCCTGCAGGGAGCTGCAGAGAGCCCGGAGCGAGACTCCCCGGATAGCGTGGCGAAGCAGGCGGAAGCGAAGTCTGATGTTCACACGCAGAGCCCTAGCAGCGTAGCGTCGAGCCAGTTGAGGTCGGATGGCGGCGGGCGTCCTTCCGGCATTGCGGCCAAGAAGGGAATGATGAAGGCTCACGCGCGGAAGAGCAAGGAGACGGTGCGGCATGTTCCGGCGCGTGCAGTAGGCATGCATCGTGTGCAGACGCAGACACAATTGCATCGCACGCAGACGCAAGCGCAGCTCCATCGTCAGGCTGGCCAGCGAAAGACGGCGAACGGCGAGAAGAAGACGACGTTCAACATCGGCTCGTTGTCGTCGAACGGCTCTCGGGACGGAGGCGCTGTTGTGTCACAACAAGCGCAGAAGGAGCCGGCGCCGATCAAACCTCAGCCCGAGCCGCCTTCCAAGCAGGCACATGCACATGGCGCTGTGCAACCACCACGACGTGGCATCGTTGTCACGTCCTCTGAGTACGAGACGGATACGGAGGACGACTCGGAGTGGGCATCGGAAAACAGTGCGGATGAGCGGGAGAAGCGGCAGCGCGGCCAGCGAGAGGAAAGTAAGGTCCGCGAGGCGGCAGAGGAAGCGCAACGGCAACGCGACATGTTCGCAAAAGTGCCGAAGCGCTCGTATTCGAACCTCAACCGCACGCGTTCGGGCCTGCTCTCACAGCTGCTCAATCCTGACCCGAACTTGTTCCCGCCGAATCACCCGTATCGCATACGCGGGTTCTCGTCACAGGACATGACACAGTTTGGCCGACAGGGTGCGGGCCGTGCGGCGCCCACATTGCAGACGAGTAAGAGTACCGCTGCGATGCCTGTCGCCGCGCAGGTCACGGCGCAGGCGCCCACCTCGAATGGCAGTGTCGCTGCGAAGAGCCACGCGCACCGCCATAAGGGTCGGCCGCAGAGTGCCGAGATGGAGGATGAAAGCGATAGTGAGGAGGAGGGACTCGAGAATGCGCTTGAGATGTCGAAGAGCGTCGCGCAGCAGAAGCTCGCCAAATTCGCAGACGCAAACCCTAGAAGGCAGTCTGAACGCGCGCCCGCGCCTGCAGAGCGTCCTGTGCGACCTACGATCCTGTCTGTCGCGACGGCCCCCATTCCTCTTGGGCACCCGTACAACCTCCCTGCGCCTGCGCCGCCGATGACGCCGCGCACGACGCGTCGGCAGATGCTCGCTACCGAGCTCTCGGAGAGCCTGCGGCGGAACTTGCTTTGGGAACGGCAGGTCAGCCGGAACAATCTGACGAGTGGCCGGCGTGGTGGGTTGCTTGGGAACCCGTTGCGGCCGCTGACGACCGTGCATGGGAACCAGTCGAACTCGGGCACGAATAGCGGGAACGAGGACGAACACAAGCAGCGCGCGATGTCGCGCAACCGTAGCTGGGCGGACGACTATCACTACGCGGGGTGGTAGTCATGGTATGGCATGGGTTCTCTTGGTTTAATGTACAACATCTCTTTCTCTCTGCATAGGATCTCTTCGTCGTCTTCCTCATTCTCAATCTCACCAGGCCGGGTCTGCTCTCACATGCTCATCGGACGATCACCACTCGCAGTCGGGGATTAGTGCAGGTGGGTGGTACATGAGTATACCTCATACGTGCATATCTCCCCGTCGCATCGCATCGCATCACATTCGTCATCTTCCCGCCCACGTTCGCTGCCCATACTGATTGTCGAGCATCATGCAAGTTGTGTGCTATAGTATAATGTGTAAGATTAGTTTCGATAACATACGCGTACATAGCCCGCTGGAGCCGGTAGTGCAGGACGTAATCCAATTGCTGTCTGCAGTCCGTCGCGCGAGCTTTGCGATTCCGAGCGTCATCGATTGGGTCATTCGCATCGATGTGCGCGTTCTTTCGTATATTCCATAGCTCGCCCTTCCATTGGTCCGTGGTCACGCTGTCCTTCTGGAGACTGCCCCAGAGCTGCGCAGGGTCGCCAGCGCGAGCCTCGGACGTCTGCATGGAGCTCCTGCATGTCCTCGGCAAACACTGGATCTCCGCCTCCTTCGCGTTCTCCTCCAATCGCGCGACTGTCCTTGATCTCGGGATGGGCAAAAGGGTGGGGTGCTCGAAGAGGATCCACACGAGGGCCGTCTGGCCGGGCGTCGCTCCATGCCTGTTGGCCGCTGCACGGACCTTGTCTTGGAACTTGTCTTGGTTCTTGGGGAAGCCCTCGTCGGAAAGCCGTGGGAGCCACTGACGCATGTCCTCACTCTTCACGCCAAAGTCGTTGCGAAACTTGTATACTTTAGACCGGGAGCGACGCACCTCGACCGAGAGGAGAGTAGGTGATGATTCCGACTCCGAGCTTATGCGCCGCGGCAGCAAAGCTCTGTCCGAAAGGGCTGAACTGCATCTGACACGCGACTAGCCCTTCACCTGCGCCTCGGCTCTTCTAAGCACGTTCAATGCGGCTCTCGCTGAGGTCGACGTACCTGACTTTTCCATTCTCGACGTAAGACGGAGAGTCTCCATCACGACTATCATTAGGGGGGAGCCGATCGGCACTAGTTGAAGAGCCTAAGACGACGCGAGATCCGACCTTCGATGTGCATTCCAGTCCATGCAAAGAGCCGCACGAGTTTAGTTTCCGTGTTGCTACGTTATGTAGGATGGCTTGCTGCTAAATTTTGTCCTGTCCACAGCTCTTAAGTTGGGGTCCAAGCTGCCGAACTTGATCGGGAGGAAGATCTCATTTCGTCGCCTGATGGTCCCAAAAATCGCGGAGATCAAGTACTCACCTCTATGTATACGTGGATCATTCACTAGTACTTGTCTGCGTGTCCCCAGAACGTCACTCCACAATCTGCAATGCAAGTCAGGGTCTCGAAAGCCTCTTCGTCCGTCTTGCCGTAGGACCCTCCGATACTGGTGGAACGTGAGTATTTACTATTGCGTTGTGCATTGTCATGAGCGTGGACGAGACGGATCCATCCTGATCCATCTGTTCGAGGCCAATGACACTTACTGAGGGGTCGACTGTGGCCAAGCTCGCAGTTCGAGAACGAGGCGGGCGTCATTTCTATTCCCGCTACGAGACAGTAGTAGGCCCTGTATAAAGTTGCAGCAATTGTGTTCGTCGAGTGAACGTCAACAGTTGTCACGGACAGACAGCTCGTTTGCCAGTTGATTCGTATTGAAGCGTTGTTTGTAGGCAGAATCCGCAACCGGAGGTTAAGGTGGGTCCTGGAGTCATGGAATCTTATCCGGCTTCTGGTGGCGATTGCAAGACAAAGCAGCTGCAAGACAGATTACGAATGCGGCCTCTGGTGTTCCTGTGCGTGCCCGTAATGTAACACGTTCAGTTTCAAGCTCATGCGCGCGCCGCGCGAGCGTCGGTCTTTTTGAACTTCGTGAGCACGTGACCGCGTTTCAAAGCGTGTGGCGCGAACTAATGTCTTCGACGCGACATCAGCTCTTGTCTTTACGATGCTCCTGTCTTCTTAATGCCATTCCCTTGCTCTGTATACGTCGGAGGCAAATCTCACCGAAAGTTACTGAATAAGTCATACTCAGGTAACTGTGGCTCACTGTTTCAGGATCGCGGTCCGTCATCCATAATCGGGCGCCTTCTTCTTTGCATAATCCCTCAAAGCTCGTCCATTGCATCCACGAAATGAGTATAGAAAGTTGATTCGGCAAGCGTTCTCTGGTCTCGACTCCATTCCACGTCCTTTGTTCCTGAGTCCGTCACCGGGGACAATGCTGTACCGATTACTAGTCATCACGAGGTTCATCGTTCATGGACGCCTGGGTGGAAGACCGGCCGTGTATGTGATACGGACCCCTTATATCGAACTCTGACGTTGCGATCCGACGGAGGTAGTAGACATCCGCTCTGCGAAGCACTCAGGCCCTGGCCTGGAGTGAGTAGCGCAGAGATTATTGGCACGCAATGACAGCTTTGTGTACCTTGTTGAGCGATGGGCTCAAGGAGGTATGTAAATATCCGCCTTATTTGATCATAGAATTTGATTTGTCTCATCCAGATGCGGTAGGCACGCATACCATATGCAATACTGACTTTCACATCGATGGTGCGATTCGCATGTAGGAATTCTCGAGTCAGTCTGTGGCTCACAACGTACAGCCTGATGCGTCACTCAATATCATCCAGATTCGGGCATTCTACATGCCGTCAAGTTTCCCGGGTGTGCGACCCTCTGCCGGGGTATACCTGCTCCCTTAGCTCTGGACTCTCCGAGTGCAAGTATAGATGTTACTGAAAAATAGGACTACCTGTCATTCCTTCGAGGAAGTGTCGTGCCAGTCGACTTCTGATCGGCATGAACGATGTGCAGGAAACGAAAGGAAATGCAATAACTGATTAGTTCATGTGAGCCTATCAGGTGATGTGGATATTAATGATCACGTTCGTCGTCCTTTTCAGCCGTTCCTCGCTCAGTAGATTTCTTGCTTGACGGAGTTCCTTACTCAGAGTTTTCCTGCTCTGTATGGTCCCTTTCTCAAAAGATCCTTGCTGGGTGGAGTCCCTTGCTCAGTATGCCTTGCTCTATTTGGCAAGGTTGGCTCCCTCAGACCCGACTGTGAAACCCTGGCAGTGATGCGATATGTTTGAACAAAAGGATAAATGTGCCCAGATATGATAAACGACCCTGGTCATGGTCGGCATATCGCAGGACTTTCTTACATCAGGTGGGCCGTTTCTGTCGACTGGCCTTACATGATCATCGACTTCTGAAAGTTCAGCACAACACTGCTTCCAGATAACATTCATGCTGCAAATGTAGATGGCATTGCCTTCAGTCGGCGACACGTTCTCGCTGACGCCAGCAGGCTCTCTGAACTTGGTGCGGGCTCGATGCAGGTATAAGAAGGGCACCATCGATTTCAAACTACCTCCATCCACACATCTACCTCTCCAGTGTGTTTTCGAGCTCTTCTCTTCACAAGATAATGAACACGTACATCCATATCTCGCTCATCGGTGGCACCGACGGCGGGCTGTTTAATGACTTGCACGTGGCGACAGACAAGGATGGTGGGCCACTCATTGTACCATGCTTGACCAACTCTATAGTGAGCTGATAGCGTTCATCAGGCCAACTCACCCTCGATGTTAGCCACCCGATCGCTCGTATTGTCATGTCTCACAGCTGGGAAATTTGCAGTACATCTGTCATTCCATCTATCATTCAGACAAACCATCATCATAGATTGATGGCCTGGAGGTTTCGTATCGGCTCAAGTACCCTGGTACTCAGTCTGCCAGTGTCACCGTCGAACACGGCACCCAGAAGAGCGATGCAACGGTGATTGACTTGAAGCATACATCAGGAATTTAGATCACTTATGAACGCAGCTAAATGTTTCTCCACAGCGACCGAGGTCATCCTGGCCATCTATGGCCGTGCTGGATACCAGAACTACCACAAGTGCAAACTGATCAACAGCATGAGCTTCGTCATCTTCGATAAGGCGACCGCAACCAGTCACATTGAAGGTGTACATCCATTGTCTTTAGGATGCGCAGTAGCATTTATTGACTGAACCGAGGTGTAGCCCTTCAGCAACGGGGACGGCTCTAACAATGGCGAGTCTTTCCACGTCTCCAATGTCATGGCATTCGGCGGCTACGCAAAGCCGGCTGAGCAGCGTAAGTTGGATTAATATGATGATCTGTACGATCTCATCTAACTATGCCCACTTCGTAGTTGGCCTCACTGGTCTTTCGTTCTACAAGAGCATCACTTCTAAGTGAGTTGGACTCTTCGACGGAGAATGAAGATGGCGGCCTTGAGGGATGCAGGGATCGCTTGTGTATCTCGCTGTCTTGATTTACGCGATCGTATATCTACACAGGTCTCTATGCATTTGATCCCATTAAAGCTACATGAAAACAGTGCTACTGGTATGCCAGAGAGAGGTCCTATAATGTATTAGGTAAGATTTACAATATATTACATAGTCAAGTATGCTACCATCAATGTCTGGATTCTCGCTCTGACTACACTTTTGCCCGCAAATTCCATCCCGCCTTGAACACCCGCATTGCGCACATAGCCACACCAGCCAAGAGCACCATGACACCACAGAATATTCGCACCTTCAAATATTGGTGTGTCTCCAAATTGAGAATGGCACCTGCTATGGGCGAGCCGATGAGTAAGCTCAGGCCACTAACGCTGAAATTCATGCCCATCTGCTCACCCATCTGCTTCACGTCAGGCTGTTGAACTTATAGTGGGCTGGAGTAGAAGATGCCTTGTCGAGGCTAGAGGACTTAGTTCTATTCACGCTGTAGCTACCTGGTATATATACATGTGGGATAGGACCCTGTACACCGGTCGTAGGACCTCTGGTATCTACAGCCACATCTACTTACATAGATGAGTAATATCCTAGCTACTTACATGTGACCTGTGGCAACAAGTATAGTCTAATAGAATATTACATATTGGCAATCGTCCGTATCGTACGATCTCTTGAGATTATACGATTGGCTGTTCACTCCTAGACGCCTCTGAAACCTTCTGTGAGTTTCCATGATGTTTTCTTCCTTACACATGACTGTAGCGTCATGTCGTACATGATCGATTGTGTAGATCATATCAGAATACAAATGTTCCAAAAACCCTTCTTGTCTCTTTACCACCATGTCCTCATCAAGCACCCAACCGGCACCCACAACTGACGTCGAGATGGAGGCCACCACTGTAGAGTGTGCCCCCCTGAGGGAGTCTCCGCTGGCTAGTAAAAGTAATGTAGAACCGTTGCCTGTCTCAGCCCCACCGGGAACTGCGTTCCTGAAGGACTTACTCACTAACCTGGAGAACATCCTCCAGCGGCCCTTATACATGGTCAAATTGGCCAAGGACTCAGTTATCGCAAAGGACCTCAGCGAGGGCATCATCGACATCATCGACGCCCTCACGGACATCTTCGCAGACGTCCAGAATAGACTCCTCAACAACGAGGAGGTCATGCACTCGAGAGTCAGCAAAGGGGCATCTGCCATCTTCACCACTGTCATCCGACAGTGCACTGGTGACATGGACCCCCTGGGGGCGTCCACGCATACTAACCCTGCACCTGAACACATACAGTCCGCCATCGCGAAGGGCATCGAGGCAGACATCCGCGTGGTGACCGTCACCATTGATGCACGCCTATCTGCCATCGAAGCCACCCTGGCTCGTTCCCGCCCACTGCCGGTATCTCCGGGTCCCCCCGCAGGTCCGCGCAAGCAAACAACCAAATCCTTCTCCGACGCCACCCGAACTGCAAGTGTTATGAAGCGTTCCCTGCTAGAACGTTCAGAACCACGTGTGCTTTCTCACACGTACTAGTCCACAG